TCGGCCGGGTGTGGTCGATTGCGTGAACCGGCACAATCACTCGGTGAGGGTCGGTTGGGTCGGGCGAGCGGCGTGACCTGTCAGTAGAGGGCCCGTCTGCTACTGACTTCCAGCGTTTCCCTGCTGCTTGGTCTGTGTCTGCTGCTCAGCTTCCCCCTTTCCCTTAGCGTTTTCCGGGCATTCGTTCTTGCGATGTCCCGGCCGATTGCACGCAAAGCAGCGCCCTTTGAATGGTGCGGCAGCGGCATTTGCGGCGACGGCGCGTATCGTGGCGCTCTCGTTCGTCCCACGAGGCCGATGTCCCCAGGTGTTGTTTCCGTAGGACCCCGGTCTCGGTCGGCGAAAGAAGTCGAGCTTCTCCGCCATAGCGAGAATTTCCTGAAACTCAGTGACGCCGCGAAGCTGGATTTCCTGAGCGATGTCCTGCTTCAGGCCGCCGATGTAGCGGTCGATGCGTTCGCTCTCATGCATGTAGCCCACCTGCTCGCATTGCGCCAGAAATCCGCTCGTGTAATCCTGGACGGAACCGAGTTGGCGCCAAGTGCGGAGCTTCTGTCGCGCCGAGATCGAGGCCGCGATTGGCTCAAATCGAGCGCGCAGACCTGCGCACCACGCGTCCCACGTGCGATACTGGGGCACCTCCACGAAATACGACGGCGCCCAGGGTCCGGTTTGTCCTTCCCGTGCCGGTAGTGTCGCGTAGTCGGTCGGCTTCGTGACGATGACGCGCCACCAGTCCATGGCGGGTCCTCGCAGCAACGACACGGCGTATCGAATCTTCGCCGAGTCCTCCGAGACGTAGTTGGCGTCGAAGAAAACATTCATTGTGAATAACCACGCCTGAACGGTAGGACCACCCCGTTGACTCGGGTCAAAGCATGGCGGGCGCTGCGGCTTCAGCGGCATCGGTGACGGCAGTCCTGAATCGTGGGTTGGTGCCGAAATCGTGACGCGAGGCTGACTTGGGGCCGCAGGCGTCGCTCTGGGGTGTGTCGTGCCGTGGTCGTCGTCTCCGTCGGGGCGGACGACGCCATCACTGGCCGCGCTCGCGGGTTGCCCCACACTCCCGTGTTGTGATGTTGAGGGTGCGGGTTGAATCGGAGTGCCAGGTGCTTGAGATTGTGCTCTCAGGAGGTCATTTTGCAGTGATGAGCGTTCTGCCGTCAATGCCACGATTTCCTCGGAGATTTCGTGCAGTTGTCGCAGCAGATCGTTGAAACGCTCCTGCGTGAGAGTGGTGACGTCGATGTTTTCGGCCATGACGAAGGGCGTCGGCTCGTCTTAGTCTAGGCGCAGTCGTGGCTGCACGCGTTTACGAGAGAACGCGAGGACAGCGGCTCCTAGGGGCTAAGGTGCGTGAGTCCCTTCGAGTGAAAAATCAAAAGTTGATTTCCTGGTGTGCGGAGATGCGCGGTCCGAAAGAAAGGGGCTCTGATAACCAAGTGTTACGGGTGCAATGAATCGAGGTAGCGAGAATTGCACTAAGGTGTCAAACGAGTACAAAATGTGAGCGAAGGCATGAGCGAACATTTATACGCGAAACATGCAAAACGGTAACGCGGTGCATGCGAGCTTGCTAGTGCTACGCTGGAGCGAGGCTCGGGCTAGTCCCGAAGCGTAGGCCGATACGGCCATGCCAGCAGTGCGAGGTTTGGTAAAACAGTGCGCGCGAAGTCGGCGAAGTTCCGTTAGCAGTAACGGGCGAACAATCGGCTGTTGCTGTACGCGATGTAGTCGGCTCCGTAAGGAATGCCGAGAAAATTCCTTACAAAAACCAAATTGTACGGTATGGAAGTAAGCTCAGTTACTCAAAGTACCTTGTACAATTCACACAGAAAGTATCAAACTTATTGGCATGCATCAAGTTCCCTGCGACGCAGATTGGTTTGGGCTCAGGAACCACTCGCCGTTCGATCAGGTCGATCGTGAGGCGATGGATAGGCGAGCCGATTTCCCGCCATCACTGACACGGCTGTCAGGTGCCACCGCTCAATTGGGCGGCTCGCGCGTAAAGACGCCAAAACCCGCTCGGCTGAAACTCGACAGTTTTCAGTAACCTCTGACGAAATATTAGTCTCGTTCGCCAGGAGATGTTTTCCAGTAGCGAACGGGTAATCCTTTCCTTGAGATCCAGCTCGCGAAACTGACAACGAGAAATGTTCCGCCTGTTTGGCAATCCATGAGCAGCGGAGGGAATTGTTTGCTCATCCCGCCTTCCTGGCCTTCACATCCACCCCCCAGGCATCCTCTTCTCCCTCCTCACCTAGGAATTGCCTTAGTCCCCATGCTATCCTATTGCAGTCTGGTTCTTCCCTGAATGTCCGAGTCCATAACAGCGTAGGAATTCTCCGCTCTTAGGCTCTGCTCGTATTCATGGCGTCCTTGGATCCATGTCTCATCAAGTACCTCAGCTTTACCAGCCACTACTACGTACCGCTACGTTGATAACAGCAGATTGAGCACGTTTCGTGCTGGCAGGAGTTCCCATGGCTCGACAATGCTTGCCACCTCTCGTGTAGCTGAAGCCAAAAGACTTGACCATCCTTTAACCGCCAGATATTTTGTTTTCCGTTACTATTCATCGCAATTAGTATCAGAGGTGATGTTTCTCGTAAACGGATTTTGCGACTTAACAATGGCGGTGGCTGTGGCGACGGCGTCACATAGATCGTCGACAAAGCTGCACGTTAGTCATGGTTGTCGTTGACGGGGTGTCTACGACGGTGACGATCGATTAGGAGAGTCATCCAACGGTGTGTTGAATAGAAAGCTCTTCTTGACGGCAAAAGCGACAAGACGAATGCGATCAGTATTTTATCTTCTGAGGCGTAACGAACCTGCTGACGAAGCAGTAAAACCTCCACGACCACTGTTACTTGGGAGAAGCGACGGTAGCAGTTTCACGAATAGCAGTACTTCATACTCCATTACTCTCCCGTGACGCTCGCCGTCGTGATGTCGTCGCATTCAGCTGATTCGCGTCCAGCTCAAGGCAAGAGATGTCGTGTTGTGTCAAATCGCGTCCTGCACACGGGAGTCGTCGCATCTTGATACTCGCCGTCTGGAGTCGTCGCAGCTTGATCGTCGCCGTCTGGAGTCGTCGCAGCTTGATCGTCGCCGTCTGGAGTCGTCGCATCTTGATCGTCGCCGTCTGGGGTCGTCGCAGCTTGGTCATAGCCGTCTGGAGCAGTAGAGGAGCGTGGTGGTGATCGGCGGGTTCGAGATTTTTAGATGCACGCGATCATCCCATCAGCGGTCGCTTTCGTGACGTGGTGAATCGCGCACTGCTCACAGTCGCGAGACGTCGCATTTTGGTGAATCGCGTGCTGCTCACGACGCGCGACGTCGCATTTTGGTGAATCGCGTGCTGCTCACGACGCGCGACGTCGCGGCTTGGTGAATCGCGTGCTGCTCTTACGACGCGAGATGTCGCATCCTGGTGAATCGCATGCTGCTCACGACGCGCGACGTCGCAGCTTGGTGAATCGCCGTGCTGATCAAGACGCGAGACGTCGCATCTTGGTGATGCGTGCTGCTCGCGACGTGAAGCGTCGCATCTTGCGTGCTGTCACGGACGAGAGTTGTCGCGCTCGCCGGCGTCGACATCAGCTCTCAAGCGTCGGCGAACTGCAGCGATGGTTCAGTTGTAAGGCAAGCGACAAGGCGATTAAGATTCGACTGACGGCAATCGACAAGGCGATTCGGGCAGCTTGAGAACTCCTTTCGCGAACGGCGACGAGCGGGAACCACGATGGTGAAGGAGCACGATTCTGAGCGACGGACGATGAACTCCGAGCAGCGACGAGTGACGGACGACATGCAGCGAAACGTTTGAGAGACGGATGGTGATTAACGGAAGACGAGCAGCGCACCACGAGTGACGGCGTCTGCCATAACGACCGAGCGACGAGCGAGCAACGACGCTCGGCGCCCTAGCGATCAGCGAGCACCGACGCACGGCGAACTGCGAACGACGAACGGCGAGCGACGCGCGTCAGTGACGAGCGACGGACGAGAGCGTCTATGAAGAGTTACTGGGCGGCGACGTGCCGAATGGCGAGTTACTCAGCGGCATCGGCGACGTGCGGAATGGCGTGCTGCGTGAAACAGTTTGCGGAACGGCGTCGAGCTGCGTGCGACGGTGTGCGGAACGGTGATGCTGCTGCTTGCTGCTCCTCCCTCGGACGAGTCACATTCAACCCCTACTCTTCTCCTTAGCTAAGTTTCCTCTCCCCTCCCCCCCCCCCCCCCGTCCTCCATTGCTCACCATCCGTCTCTTTCACTCTTGGCAAATCTCAAGGCACATTTGTTTCTTGGCTTATGGTGGTGGTGGTCCATGGTGCTATGGCAGCAGAGCTCATGTAGAGTGCAGTGTAATGGGAGCGGTGGGAGAGATTAGTGGGAGAGGGAGTGCATTCATGCCATGCGTGCGTCCCTCTCTACCCCAGTCCCCCCTCGCTGGCTCAGCTAGCTGCTGTAGTGCCGTGGGCCACTGTCGCCATGCGCCTTCCCCTTTCCCCCTCCCACCACGATCCAACCACTCCATTTTCGTTGTGCTCCATTTTCAAGTTTCTCAATACTCGCTCTTTACAGCTTCGGCTCTATTGCCACCTTGATTCCACCTCAAATGCTTCCCAGTGACGGATGGCGAGTGAGGGGCCTCGGCCATATCGACCGAGCGGCCCGCGAGCAACAACGCACGGCGAACGAGCGAGCAGCAAGCGACGCGCCTCTGTGACGGGCGACGGACGAGAGAGTCGGAGGAGAGGCAATGCCGTTCAGCCAGGGCGTTCAACCACTGCCATTCCTGGTGAAGTCCTCTCAACTCCACTCCCATTTCTCTTGTCTCGCTTTTGTTCGCGCACAATCGATTTTAAAACTTTTCGAAAACTGTGCGAGTGGGAGTGTGAGGGCGTGTGGCGATGGTGGGCCGTGGCACAAGGCAGCTGAGCGCATGTAGGTAGAGTTGTAGGGGGTTAGTATAGAATTCATTCATCCTCATGCCCGCGTCCTCCTCCTCCTCAGTCCCCCCTTGCAAGCTCGCTCGCTGCCAAACTGCCACGGGCTGCCATCCGCCACACTCCCTTCGCCTCCCACGCTCCTCTCAACCCCTCCCATGCCGTTCTGCTTTTGGCTCGTTTGCTTCCATGCTCTCCTGCACCTTCCCATGCGTCTTGCTTGCTCCAGATCTTGTTGCATGCCTCCGTTTCCCCTGTTCCTCCAACCTCACCCCTCTGTGGCTGCAGAGGCAGCAGCAGCAGCAACCAGGAGCGTAGTGGGCTGCAGGGAGCTCGTTTTGTCCGCCTTCCAGCAGAGGGACCTTCCACAGCAGGGAGAGTATGGGGAGTGATTGGAGCGCGGGAACGCGTCAAGCGAAATCGGCGAGCGGAAACGCAATACATGGCGCGCGCATGGCGCGGCGAGCAGACGCGGCGACGATGCGAGCAGAGCGCGGCGAGCGCGGAATGACGAGCAACGAGCAGCTAAGTTCCCTCCTCTGCTCTTGCACTCCCCCCTTCCCCCCACGCCCTCTTGTCATTGCACCACTGTATTGTGTCGCTGCATCCCGCATTTCTTGTCACACACTTGTCCCTGTGAGGCGCATGGTGGCGGTGGGTCAGGGCGCACCATGGCATCTGAGCTTATAAAGAGTCCAGTCCAGAGAGTCTAGTGGGTGTGGCTTAGGATAGCAGTGCATTCATGCCATGCATGCGTCCCTCTCTTCCCCAGTCACCCCTCGCTGCCTCAGCTCGCTGCTATGGTGCCCTTGGCCCACCAACTCCATGCGCCTTCCCCCTCCCCCCACTCCCAACCACTCACTTGTCGTTCCACTCAGCTCACCGTTCACTGCATGCTTGCTTGCCGTTTTTCCCTTCTGCCACTTGCGTACTTCCTGCTAGTCACTGGTCTTCTCTCCTCTTTTCCTGCCTGCATCCCTCTACCAGCGCATCTACTGGGCGGCAGCGGCAGGGAGCAGGGAGGAGCAGTGGGAGCAGCGTGGTGAGCGGGAGAGGCGAGCAGTGGGATGACGCACGGCCTGGGCTGGCCTTGCTGACCACTGCTGCCGATCTGCTGGACTACTGCTGGGAGGGCGCCCTGCTGACCACTGCTGCCTCCTAGATGCCCTGCTGACCACGCCACTCCCTCACGTGCCCAGGGACGTTGAGTGCTGTTGCTGGGAGTGTTGCTGCTGACATAAGCAAAGCGACGAGCAGCTTCTGAATCCCGCTAAGTTCCCTCCTCAACCCTTGCCATCCTTACCGCCACTTTACCTTGTAATTCGTGCTCACAATTGCCCAGCTCTCTTTTCAAGCATGCTTTGAACCAAAACGCCGCCTTCGCATGAAGGTATTAAAAACGTTCGCATGGCGATGGTATCACATGGCTCTGGGGCGGCTTGAGCTCACACTAGAGTCCTAGGGGGGCTAGAATAGAATGCACTCACACTCACGCCCGCGTCTCGTCCTCGTTGCCTGCTAGCTCGCCAACCTAGTGCCATGGGCTACCATCGCCTCCTCTTTCACTGACGTTTCTATCTTCCAGCGTTCACTTTATTATCCCTCAGTTTTGTTTTCCTCCTTCTACCACTGCTCCTATACAATCATACAATCATGTCCCCTTCTGCCTTCCCTCCTCCCTCCCACTCGCTCCCTTCCCTCTCGCACAGGGCTGTGGCAGCGTGGTGCGGGGAGGGAGGGCGGTGGGATGACGCACGGCAGGCAGTCACAGCGGCGTGCGTGCCTCCTGCTTGCCCTGCTGACCACGCCACTCCCTCACGCACCCAGCGACCTTGAGTGCTTCTTCTGGGAGGGCTGCTGCTGGGAGTGCTGCTGCTGGGAGTGTTGCTGCTGACATCATCAAAGCGATGAGCAGCTTCTGAATCCCGCTAAGTTCCCTCCTCAACCCTTGCCATCCTTACCGCCGCTTTACCTTGTAATTCGTGTTCACAATTGCCCAGCTCTCTTTTCAAGCATGCTTCGAACCAAAACGCTGCCTTCATATGAAGGTATTAAGAAGTTCGCGTGGCGATGATAGCACATGGCACTGGGGCGGCTTGAGCTCACTCTAGAGTCCTAGAGGGTTAGATTGCACTCACACTCGCGCGCGTCTCGTCCCACTTGCCTGCTAGCTCGCCAACCTAGTGCCATGGGCTACCATCGCCTGTTTCCATTGCATCCTTCCTCCTTGGTTTCACTTCTGTTTTGCCTGCCTTTGCTTCATTTGTCACTTGTTAATATTATCTTTCACTGCTATATTTCATCCCTGGACCAGTTTCCTGCATCCCGTATCCTTTTTTCTCCCTCTCGCCAGCCCATGCCCTGGTTTCGCTTCAAAAGCGAAACTCGACACAGCTGTGGGCCATCCAGCCTGGTTTGACATCCAGCATCAGCACTCGTTTCACATTCATGCATTCATCGTTATCATGCATTCATGTATAGCTTCAATACTCCTGTTGTCCTGTTGTCATTTACTCTCTCATTTCCTCTCCCTGCCTGTTTCACCTCCACCACCTGCTCCCTCCACCCATCCTCCCTCTACCCACCCCCCCTCTCTCTACCCATCTCTGTTCAGCAGCGTGAACTCAATTCGGGTGGAGGGGTGCGATTGCTGATGGCGCAGCGTGTGCCACTGGTGAGTGTGATGACTCGCTGCTCTGGTGAGAAGCCTTTATCTGACTGCAGGGCAGCGCCTAACTACAGGTACGCTAACCCCACTCTGACTACAGGGCAGCGCCTAACTACAGGTACGCTAACCCCACTCTGACTACAGGGCAGCGCCTAACTACAGGTACGCTAACCCCACTCTGACTACAGGGCAGCGCCTAACTACAGGTACGCTAACCCCGCTCTGACTATAGGGCAGCGCCTAACTACAGGTACGCTAACCCCACTCTGACTACAGGGCAGCGCCTAACTACAGGTACGCTAACCCCACTCTGACTACAGCGCAGCGCCTAACTACAGGTACGCTAACCCCACTCTGACTACAGGGCAGCGCCTAACTACAGGTACGCTAACCCCACTCTGACTTCAGCGCAGCGCCTAACTACAGGTACGCTAACCCCACTCTGACTATAGGGCAGCAACTAACCCTGATCTATGGAGAAAGGGATAATGAACAAGCAAGCAACGAAAATTAGCAGAATGGAAAGAATGAAGAAAGGTTAACTTTGTGAGTTGTCAAGATAAGCTTGATCTGCTGTAACTCTTGTAGGCTGTTGGCTGTTGACTGTTGGCTGTTTGCTGTAGGCTGTAGGCTGTAGGCTGCGATATGTGTCACTTTACTCGTAAGTTGTAGCTCTACGATTGTTTTAGCATGAAGAACAGAGAGCAGCGGAGCAGAGGAGCAGAGGACAATCCACGTGGAGGGAAAGGAGAGGAAGCAGAGGAGGAGAGGAGGAATTAGAGGAGGAGGAGGAGGAGAGGAATCAGAGGAGGAGGAGAGGAAGCAGAGGAGGAGAAGAGGAAGTAGAGGAGGAGAGGAAACACAGGAGGACAAGAGGTTGCTTCAGCAGACCTGGTAAGATCTCCCTTGCCCTTTCATTCCATCGTCTCCATCGCCCTTTTATTTCATCGTCCCTCTGTTCCTGTACTCGCATTCTGCTCTCTTGCCACTTCAACTCAGTATGAGTTGTTGATCTGCCACTGTCTCAGATGTTCAGAAGCTCCGGATTATGCACAGAGAGCAGACAAGAGGGAGCAGCGTCGAGGGAGAAGACTTCCGTCATTTACCCCTCTTATCCTCTTCGCCTCGCTCCTTCAATGCTCTGCATGCCATTCACTCCTCCGCGTCACTCTCACTTGTCTGCCTATCTCCACATTTCCTCCCCTCCCCCAATTGTTCCTTGCCTCCCACTCACTGTGGCAGCAGAAGGAGCAGCAGCAGCAGCAACTGAGAGTGTAGTGGGCAGAAGAGAGCTCGCTTTGCCCGCCATCTGGAGAGCTTGAGGAACAGCAGAGGGACCTTCCACAGCAGAGGGTCCTTCCACAGCAGAGGGACCTTTCACTGAAGGGAGGCAGCGCTTGTACCAGGGAGAGTATGGGGCTGGCCGTGACCTATCGAGGTATGCCACTTTTTCCAGTTCTACATCGAAAACACCACTCTCCACCCTTCCCATGCCTTGCTGTCATGTGCTCATTTGCTTCGAGTTCAGTTCCACCCCTCCCTCTTCCCATCCTTTTCTCTAGTTCCAGTTTTTGCTGTATGCCTCCTTCCCCCCGTCCCTCCCTCCTCCCCCCCACCCCTCAGTTTCCTCCATTCTGTGTTAAGTCTTTCTTGCTAATGTTCTTACATATCTCGTGCTTGTCTTTTGGCCTGCACTCACTCGCCTTCTGCCCTTCCCTCCGCCCTGCTCCATTCCCTCCGCCCTGCCCCATTCCTTCCGCTGTGCCTCATTCCCTCCACTCTGCCCCCTTCCCTCCCCCCCGCCCCATTCCCTCCGCCCTGCCCCATTCCCTCCGCCCTGCCCCCGTTCCCCTCCACTCTGCCCCATTCCCTCCGCCCTGCCCGTTCCCCTCAGGCCACTCATGATGCAGCAGAGGAAGCTGAGTGGCACACTGGCAACATCAGTTGCTCCAGCAGGGGCGGGTGCAGAGCGAGCGCTAGTGCAGGAAGGGAGGGAGGGAGTACGGGACAGCATCTGTGGGTGGCACTTCAACTGCTAGCTACGTGGCTTCTCAAGTGACTCACCTTTCCGTTTTTCACCTGTGAGTCAATCTCCTGACCTTCCAGTCACCCATCGCCCTCGCTTTCCTGTTATTCAACTCTCTCTCCTTCCAGTGGGTCAGCACTTGTCCTTCCAGTGGGTCAGCACTTGTCCTTCCAGTGGGTCAGCACTTGTCCTTCCAGTGGGTCAGCACTTGTCCTTCCAGTGGGTCAGCACTTCTTTGCTGTTGCCATTCCTTCTTTGTTCATTCACGTCATTGCACTCTTTGCCATGCAGTAACACTCTTCTTGTGTGTCGTCGTTTTGGACCAACAATTATCCATTCTCAGTTCATTCCGTTGCATGTCACCTGATGTTTTTTTATGTGCGCAGCTACAGAGAGGGAAGGGAAGATGGACGAAGCGTGACCAAGGGTGCTACATTTGTAGCAATCATAGTCACAGTGACAAGATTAGACATAGCAGTAGCTAGTTCATTCCGTGACGCCAAATTTCTCGCCAGGCCACGATGCCTAGGACTTTTAGTAGGGTAGGAACAATGTTGTGGTATGGTATGAGGTATATAAGTGGGTAAGGTGGGAGGTATGGTACGGGGCAAGGTAAGCAACAGGGGATGGGGTGGTGCAGGGGGTCTGCTAGGCACAACAACAGGGAGTGGTTGGGCTGGCAAGTCAGGAGAGCATCAAATGCAGGGAATGTTGGCGGGGACACACTAGCAGCAGGGAAGGGTGGCAGGGTCACACAAACAGCAGAGAATGGAGGCAGGGACACATTAAAAGCAGGGAACAATGGAAGGGTCACACTGACAGCAGGAAAGAGTGACAGGGACACAATAACAGCAGGGAATGGTAGTATGGACACACTGACTGCAGGGAATGGTAGCATGGACACACTGACTGCAGGGAATGGTAGCATGGACACTCTGACTGCAGGGAATTATGGCAGGAACACACTAACAGCAGGAAATGGAGGTACAGACACACTTACAGCAGGGGACAGAGGCAGGGACACACTAACAGCAGGGAATGGTGGCAGGGACACGCTAACAGCAGGGAATGAAGGCAGGAAGCCCTCAGAATGAGGGACGTCGATGGAACAGCAGAAAATGGCAGAACATACACTAGCAGCAGGGAATAGTGGCAGGCTAAACACTGTCAGCAGGAAATAGTGGCATGCCAGACACTAACAGGAAATAGTGGTAGGCCATACACTAACAGCAGGAAATAGTGGCAGGCCAACACTAAGAGCAGGAATATTGGCAGGCCATTCACTAACAGCAGGAATAGTGGCTGGCTATTCACTAACAGCAGGAATGGTGGCAGGCCACAAACTAACAGCAGGAAACAGTGGCAGACTATACACCAACAGCAGAGACTGGTGCCAGACGCACTAACAGCAAAGAATGGTGGCAGGGACACACTAACAGGGGGAAATAATTCCCTTCCCCACAGCCGACCCCTTGCCCCTTGTGTCTGGGTCCTGTCCGTTGCTTCATCCCTAGTGCTGACCCTAGTGACAATTTTTGCCACAATACTAACCCTACTGGCATGCTTCAATCCTAGTACTGTCCTTATATTTTCATCCCTAGTTCTGACCCTAGTGGCAATCCATGTCGCTTCATTCCTTGACGACACATAGAGCTCTATGGATCTTGCTCAGAGCTGCCCGTGCCTCGCAAAACCCTGATCCACTACCCTTCCCATCCTCCCTCCTCCCCCCCTCATCTCTGAGTGCTCGCCCGCGTGGCTATCCTTGTCGCTTCATCCCGCGACGACAAATAAAGCTCGATATATCTCGTGCCCATGCGCTCCCGGTCCTTGCCCAGCGCCGCCCTCGCCTCATCCGTGGAGCCAAACTCCACAAAGGCCTCCCCTGTGAGGCGGCCGATACTGTTGGTGATGATGTGCACTGCTGCGTCTGCCAGAGGGTACTCGCCAAAGAATTCGAGAATGTCCTGTAGGTGGGAGGGAGGAGTATGGGGAAGGATGGGGCATGGAGCAGGGGAAAAGGATGCTGTTGGTGATGATGTGCACTGCTGCACCTGCCAGGGGGTACTTGCCGGAGAACTCGAGAACGTCCTGATGTGACTTTTGAGTCGACTCAAAAGGATGCTGTTGGTGATGATGTGCACTGCTGCACCTGCCAGGGGGTACTCGCCGGAGAACTCGAGAACGTCCTGATGTGACTTTTGTGTCGACTCAAAAGGATGCTGACTTTTGAGTCGACTCAAAAGACCACAAAGTTACGTGGTCTCACCTTACTAGTGGCGGCGATCGGCAAACCCCTCATCTTCACAATACTCGACTCCAGCTGCCGGCCCTATCCCCCCCTCGCCTCCTTGCCTTTCACCCCCCCAACATGCGCATTGCATGCCCGCCCATTCCCATGTCGTCTCACCTTACTAGTGGCGGAGAACGGCAAACCCCTCATCTTCACAATACTTGATTCCCGCGCTGCGGGGCCTATTCCCCCCTCGGCCCCGCGCCCTCCCCCTCCCCCTCCCCCTCCGCCTCCCCCATAGGCCGCATGTGCATGCCCGCCCATGCCCTCGCCCCCATACCCCCGCTCCCCCCGCCCCCCTCTATCTTCTGCAGAATAAGCAACAAAGGTGTAATGGGGAGTCGGGAGAGCACGGGGAGGGGGGGAAGAATGATGGCGGGGGAAGAAGGATGGCGGGGGAAGAAAAGAAAAGTTGGCTATGACATTGCGGCACTCTGCTTTAAGGCAAAACAGCAGCATAAACGCGAGTGATTGTGTGAATGGGAAAAACCAGAAGGGGGAGAAGGGAGAGCACAGCGGGGGGGGGGGGGAGGGGGGGAGAGGGGGGGAGAGGGGTAAGGTAAGCAGAGAAGGTTGGCTGTGACAAGGCAAAACAGCAGCATAAACGCGAGTGAGCGAGTGAACAGAAAAAACCAGAAGGGGGAGAAGGGAGAGCACGAAGGGGTGGGGGTCGGGGGTGTGGGGGCGGAAAGAGGGGCGGGGGGGGAGGTAGGGATGGGGGTAAGGGATGGAGAAAAGGTTGGCTGTGATGTTGCGGCATAAACGTGACTGAGAACCCACCCCCATGGCCCATCCACCCCCATGGCCCATCCACCCCCATGGCCCATCCACCCCCATGGCCCATCCACCCCCATGGCCCATCCACCCCCATGGCCCATCCACCCCCATGGCCCATCCACCCCCATGGCCCATCCACCCCCATGGCCCATCCACCCCCATGGCCCACCCACCCCCATCACCCACCCACCCCCATCACCCACCCACCCCATCCCACCCACCTTGCCCTCCCCCACGCCACCTACCTCGGCCCCCGCCGTGGTAGGTCCCCCCGTCCTGCGCCACCTCGTTGGCGATGGCGTTATAATACTCCGCCGTCTTGGCGCCCCTTGCTGCAACTTGCTATCCCCTTTCCCAGGCCACCCACCCTGCACACACACGCCACGCAACGCCACCTACCTTGGCCCCCGCCGTGGTAGGTCCCCCCGTCCTGCGCCACCTCGTTGGCGATGGCGTTGTAAAACTCCGCCTTCTTGGCGCGGAACACCTCGATGTACCGCCGCCCCATGTGCATCTTGTTGCGCTGCCGAGGAAGAGGGGTGGGGGGGAGAGAGGACAGGGGGGACACAAAGGGGGAAAGGGAGAAAAGGAGATTGGTTCCCTGTTGGTGCGAAACACCTCAATGTGCCGCCGCCCCATGTGCATCTTGTTGCGCTGGAGAATGGGGAGGGGGGGAGGTGGAGGGGATGGGAAAGTGGGGGGGAAGGACAGTGGGAACGCAAGGGGGAAAGGGGGATTGGTTCCATGTTGGTGCGGAACACCTCGATGTACCGCCGCCCCAAGTGCATCTTGTTGCGCTGGGGGTGGGGGGGGAAGGGGAGGGGTAGGGGGGAACAAGGGCGGAGGGTACGGGTGGAAGGGGGAAAGCTAGGTCCTTGTTGGTTCAAGTGTGGGGGAGGCGCGGGGAGGGAAGAAAGACAGGGAGGGACGCAAAGGGGGGGAGGGGCGATGGGTCCTTGTTGGCGCGGAACACAACACCTCCATGTACCTTCCCCATCCCACCTGCCCCCATCCCACCTGCCCCCATCCCACCTGCCCCCATCCCGCGTCCATCCCCCGCGCCCATCCCGCGCCCACCTCGCGCCCACCCACCTGTAGTGCAAGCTCGGAGTGGAGAGTGGAGGCGAAGAGCACAAACGCTTCCCCCACGAGGCGATGCTCCTTGCGCACGAATAGAACGTCCACGATCTCGAGCCCCGCAAAGAAGTCCGCCACGTCCCCCTCCTCCACGCGGAACGGCAGCCCGCGCAGCTTCACCACCGGGATCTGCCGCGCACCTGCGCGCCCGCCCATCATCCCCGCGCCCCCCCCCATCCCCGCCCCCGGACCCCCGCCCATCATCCCCATCCCGCCCGCGCCCATCATCGCCCCCCCCGGGCCCCCCATCCCGCCCATTCCCCCCATCCCCGCCATTCCCCCCATTCCCGGCATGCCCCCCATCCCCGCCATTCCTTGCATCCCCCCCATCCCGCCCATTGCGCCCATTCCGCCCATCCCCCCCATGCCACCCATCCCCGCCATCATCATGAGGTTCATATTGGCGAGCGCGGCCGCGTCCGCTGCGCCCATTCCGCCCATGCCCTGCGCGCCCGGGGGTGCTGCACCCGCAGGGAAACCCGAACCCGCGCCAGCACCGCCGGCGGGAATCGAACCCACGCCACCAACGCCCGGAGGACCACCCGCTCCAGCCGCACCGCCCCCAGGAGCACCCGCACCAGCACCACCCGGACCGAAACCGCCCGAACCACCACCACCACCTCCCGGAGCCGCGGCACCACCCAAACCTCCCCCGTAGCCGGTCATGCCTCCCGCACCACCACCCACACCTCCTGGCATATTGCCGAACCTGCTTGCCCAACCCAAACCCCCATAATCAGTTCATCCAATGCGAGTCTAGATGAGACACATTTGCCCTAAATTTGACCAGTCTAAACACTCAAGGTGATGACAGATGGACGGACAGAGAAATCCAGAGGACAACGGAGTGGGCGATACACGAAAGAGAGCGATGTCCGATTTATATTAAGTGGGTAATATCAAGTTGCGATGTGCGAACCCTTGACAAACGCTCCAACCGAGACGCGGATATGACAAAAAAAAAGACCCTTCCCTTCCATTTCCCCGTTGCCCTTGTTCCCCTGGTCCACCCATCCCTCCACCTTAACCCCCAACCCGGCCCCCAAAAATAACCGAGTCCGGGAAAGGGGAAATCCCGGAGCATTATTGAATGTCAAAAGGCGGTAGGGCATGAGTAGGCAGAAAAAAAAAGATAAGTCCGCGGATCAATAAACAGCAATACATATAGAAGGACGGCAATATATTACCCTTGAGAGTACATTTCGTGTGGTTTCCGCCGGCCGTGAAAAAAACGCGAAAAGAAACTTTGACGATTCTCTGATCAGCTGTCCGCGATGCGCGTTCTCGGGTCTAGACGCTGATTAGAGAGATCAATATGCGGAAACCAAGGAGCAAACTGGGATAAGGAAAGAGAGGGAAGAAGCAGCGACAGCTGCACAATCGTGAAGGGTTTGACCAGAAAGCTGATGACCACAATTGTGTGGTTGTGGGTGGAAAATCAGCGAAGGGTGATGCGACGAGTGTTACGCGGTTCCAAGTGTTTCAAATTACAGTAATTAGTTCCACCTGATGCAAACATCTAATACCACAAGAATGTCAAGGTTACTGAACCAATGCAAACATCTAATACCCAGCGCCTACCCATGGAAAATCCTGCTTTTGAATTTTGCATGCATACAACCCTCGACTCAAAACACAATGTTTGTGTACAGAATTTGCCATTTCACAGGTACAAAGCCCAATCAAGTGGTGCGGGCCAGATGAATACGAAGCTGCTCCTTGTGTGTAACAGCTAAGGTTTCTGCTTCCCCGTTTTGGAGAAAATGCGATCTAGGTCCTCAGTTGCCACATTGGAGCTGACGGACGCACAAGGGAGTGATGGTGGCAGGAGATGAGGGCATTAAGAGGGGAGGAGTGTGTGATGCATTGGATAGGGAGGAGTGTGATGCATTTGATAGGAAGGAGTGTGATGCATGGGAGGGGAGGCTTGCGATGCACAGCGCAATCCTCATAAAAGTATGAGGAAAAAAAAATCTGCGGACATGTGTCACGCAAAGGCCGAAGACAAGATAAAAAATAGGTAGTGCAAGTGTGATCAAGCCAGGAACGAGTTGGAGAGAAACACAAGTGGAGGATCGACAATTCCACTGAGAGGCACTAACCGGCCTCGGAGTTGGGGTGGTAAAAACGAATTCACAGCAACTGCCGCTGCGCCTAATCCTCCTGCTCTTCCCCCTGCTCCTGCTGCTGCTCTGCCTATTCCTCCTCTTACAGAACCACTTCCTGAAGCTGCCAGACCTGCTCCCGAGCCTCCCTTCAGAGCCTTTGACGGAGGCTTGGGAAGAAGCATGTTAGGGTTGGGATCAGCACGCTTTCTGGAACCTTCGATTGTACTTTCTGTTGGTCCTTGCAACCTCCCACTCGGACCCCCTCTCCCGGCTGTTCCAATAGCGAAGCTGAGACTATCGGCAGAATCCCCTAAGAGATTCGCAGCGCTCGGTAAAATCACACGGGACGGTTGATTGGCTGGCAGGTGCTGGATCGGTGACTTGGAGGACATTCCCAACGAAGGCTTGACAACGCGTTGCGACGAAGCTTTCCCCTGCCCTGATGCCTTAGAAGGTGCTGAATTGCCAGGAGATGAGAGCTGGCTAGAGTCTGAATGGGCTATGGAAGCTTTTGCGGAACTTTCTAGTTCAGCGGCACAAGAGCCCTCTGGTTCGGCACGCTGCGGCGCGCTGGCCTGCGCCGGTCCTTCCGCTGGTTCCTGCGTGCCGCGCTCTCCCTGATCGGAGTCGTCCGAATCGTAGTCGTAGCCGACGAGAGACGCCATTGGGATGGAGCGTGATCGCGAGTGGGGTGCAAGCCGATCAATTCTGGAGAACGGAAAATAGCTGGATGATGGAGAAACTCTGAAGTCAAATCAAATGGAAACAAACGTTGACAGGCGAGTGCTGTCGCAACGATCTGCGAACTCTCTTTGCGATAGCAAGAACGGCTCACAATTTGGGAATCAAAAGAACTCGGTCCATCGTAGCCGTTCACTCCCTGAAAAAAAAAACGAAACGCGATTCTTGGTGCTTCATCTCTCGGGTGTCCAGCCGATCTGTTACCAATTTCTGTGATAGCATGTTTCGCCATACCATCTATGGACGTGGATACAGCTTCTACGGTCAAACTAGGTTAATTGAGCTTTAGAGCGGTGAAGCATGAAACCACTCCACTAGCCCCAAGAAAGCATGCACCAGGTCATGTCGTTTGGCACTTCCGCAATGGCATGCGAAGGGGCCACCCCTGTGTAACAAGCTCGTGTGCGATGAGGAGAAACGCGTGCGACATACGTCTCTTGCGCTGCGTGCGACGCATTTTCTTGTATTTTTTGGCTTTTCTTTTACACCGCACTTGCCTCATTTGTCTGCCTTTCTGTTCTTTCTCTTCCTCCATTCACTGCAACTTGCATCTCTTCTCCTGCCTGCTTTTGCTGGCGTTCTAGGTTAGGGTTACAGCAAGTTGCTGGCAAGCACGCAGCAAGCAGCGGCAAGCGAGTAACCACACGGGCAGCAACAGTATATCGTTAGGAATTTCAGGGGTCATTATTCCTCTTTTCCCAATGGCTGTTGCGTTTCGTCTCAGCACAGCCCTACTCCCCTCGCTCGCGGCACCCATAGTGTCTCCCACCAACGCCGCAAAGCCCTCCCTTTCTTCCGCATCCCGCGCCGCCTTGCTACCTTTAATTGCCGTCCGCGCTACCGTTACTCCTCAGCGATCCCCCGCGTGTCGAGCATCCACGGTCGTCGACTCGGCCACGTCAACAGAAACCATGGCTGACGCGGCAGCTCCGGCGACTGACGTCAACGCGTCCGCTGGCGGCGTCGATTCGCGCAGCGGGTGCAGGATCTGCGCGGCGGTGACGGCGACGACGGTGGGTGGAATGCGGGAGCAGATGGCGCAGGTCAAGGCGGCGGGAGCGGACACGGCGGAGCTCCGCGTTGACCATTTGACCGAGTTTGACCCGAGCGTTGACCTCCCTGCGCTCCTAAACGGCCGCTGCCTGCCCGTTATTGTCACATGCCGGTATGCTCCCTTATCCTGCTAAAGTGCTGCCATCCTGTCACTAGAATGTTGCTAACAGCACGTTGCTAGTCGTCCTACCACTCATACCGTTCCTCCTCTGAGGCGCCTCGAAACTTGTTCCTTTATCCTGCTGCTGGCATGCTGTCACTAGAATGCTGTCAGCGCGCTGCTACTGGTCCTACCACTCATACTGTTCCTTTCCCCAAGCCCAACCTTTCTTTCCAATCCCAACCTTTTAGCCCCACGCCCAACATCCCTAACCCCCCATGCAGCCCACGTGGGAGAGGGCGGCAAGTACGCCGACCCGGACGAGGAGAGAACAGTTTCCATACCTCTTACCCCTAGGATAATTACCATGCAACGTCCCTATCACCCCGTGCAGCCCCACGTGGGAGGGCGGCAAGTATGCCGACCCGGACGAGGCGAGAACAGTTTCCATACCTCTTACCCCTAGGATAATTACCATGCAACGTCCCTATCACCCCGTGCAGCCCCACGTGGGAGGGCGGCAAGTACGCCGACCCGGACGAGGAGAGGCGGCAGCAGGTGCTGGCGATGGCCATGGAGATGGGAGCTGAGTTCATTGACGTCGAACTGCAGGTAACGCGTACAGGGAGTGGGCATGTCCGCAAAGGGTAACACCTTATGCAGCGGCAGCAGGTGCTGGCGATGGCCGTGGACATGGGCGCCGAGTTCATTGACGTCGAGCTGCAGGTAGGTAGCTATAACGCGTACAGGGTGTAGCATAAGGTGATGGCTGTGGACATGGGCGCCGAGTTCATTGACGTCGAGCTGCAGGTAGGTAGCTATAACGCGTACAGGGTGTAGCATCAGGTGATGGCCGTGGACATGAACATGGGCGCTGAGTTCATTGACGCTGAGCTGCAGGTAACCATAACGCGTACAGGGTGCAGCGGCGGGGTGGTGGCTAGCAATGGTAACAATTGAAGAGCTTGACTCGTTAGAGCTCATCTTAGACTCTCGAGCCTCCTTCCCCTGAGCCTCACGATTCTCTCTCTCTCTCGCCTTGCACCCCAAACCTTCCCATCTGCCCTCCCCTCCTCCGCAGGTCGCCTCCGAGTTCATCCAGAAGCACGTTGCACCCCGCCGCGCCGCCGCCGCTGCTGCTGCCGCTGGTGACGGTGTGACTGCAACGCGTGTGATTGTATCGAGCCACAACTACAGCGTGACCCCGCCATTGGAGGAGCTGCGGGCGCTGGTGGCGCGCATAGAGGCTGCTGGGGCAGACATTGTCAAGTTCGCCACCACGGCCACTGATATCACTGACAATGCACGCGTGTTCCAGATACTCAAGGAGGCGCAGGTGGGTGCATGGGTGGGTGCTGGTTTTAGGTGATGTTTGAGGTGGTGAAACCCTGACTGGCGCTGACGTGGTCAAGTTCGCCACCACAGCCACTGATATCACTGACAATGCACGCGTGTTCCAGATACTCAAGGAGGCGCAGGTGGGCGGGTTGCTGGGTGGGTGGGTGGGTGGGTACTCGTCTCCCCCCCCAGCGCAGCGCCCCAGTGCCCCACCACAGCTCTGGTCATGGGTCCCGAGTGCCTCATCAACCGCCTCTTTGCGCCGAAATTATGATGATGCCTGCTCTGCATTCTCTGCCTTACTCCCCTCCCCCCACTCCCCATTCCTTCTTCCCTTCCCCTCCTTCCCCCCCGTCTCCCTCGCTCTCCAAGCCCCTCCCCAGCGCCCCACCATAGCACCGGTGATGGGACCCAAGGGCCTCATCAGGCGCCTCCTCGCACCCAAATGTGATGACTCCATGTGATGACTCCTTGTGATGACTCCATGTGATGACTCCATGTGATGACTCCATGTGATGACTCCTTGTGATGACTCCATGTGATGACTCCATGTGATGACTCCATGTGATGACTCCTTGTGATGACTCCTTGTGATGACTCCATGTGATGACTCCATGTGATGACTCCTTGTGATGACTCCATGTGATGACTCCATGTGATGACTCCATGTGATGACTCCATGTGATGACTCCTTGTGATGACTCCTTGTGATGACTCCATGTGATGACTCCATGTGATGACTCCATGTGATGACTCCATGTGATGACTCCATGTGATGACTCCATGTGATGACTCCATGTGATGACTCCTTGTGATGACTCCATGTGATGACTCCATGTGAAGACTCCATGTGATGACTCCTTGTGATGACTCCTTGTGATGACTCCATGTGATGACTCCATGTGATGACTCCTTGTGATGACTCTATGTGATGACTCCATGTGATGACTCCATGTGATGACTCCATGTGATGACTCCTTGTGATGACTCCATGTGATGACTCCATGTGATGACTCCATGTGATGACTCCATGTGATGACTCCATGTGATGACTCCATGTGATGACTCCATGTGATGACTCCATGTGATGACGCCTGCTCTGGATTGTCAGCTCGGCCTTACCTAACCCTCTCCGCAAATCTCCATTCCTCATCCCTGCCCCCCCCATTCACCCCAGCGCCCCACCATAGCACTGGTAATGGGAACCCAAGGGCCTCACCAGTCGCCTGCTCAAGGCTCACGCCCTTCCCCTCTCCCCTCTTCCCCCTCTAACCCCCCCAGCGCCCCACCATAGCGCTGGTAATGGGACTCAAGGGCCACATCAGCCGTCTCCTCGCACCGAAATTCAATGACGTCTGCCCTGCCTTACACTCCCCTCTTCCCCCAACCCCCACAAACCCCCCTCCTCCCTTCCCCCCCCGGTTCCCTCCCCCCTCTCCTCCCTCAGCGCCCCACCATAGTACTGGTAATGGGACCCAAGGGCCTCATCAGCCGCCTCCTCGCGCCCAAAGGCAATGGCATCTGCTTTGCACTCTCTCCGCCCCCCTTCCCCCACCCTCCATCCCTCGTTCCCTTCCCCCCCCCAGCGCCCCACAATCGCATTGGTGATGGGTCCCAAGGGCCTCATCAGCCGTCTCCTCGCGCCCAAATTCAACGCCTTTCTCACCTTCGGGGCGATCACCCCTGGCGCTGAGTCAGCGCCAGGTCAGCCGACGGTCGCTGAGCTGGCGGGCACGTACAGGCTGGCGGGCGTGGGCCCGGCAACGCACGTGTTTGGGCTGGTGGGGAACCCGGTGGCGCACAGCAAGGGCCCTGTGCTGCACAATGCGGCGTTAAGGCATGTGGGGTATGACGGCGTGTACGTGCCATTCCTGGTGGACGATGTTCCGGAGTTTCTGAAGACGTTTGACGGCCCCGATTTCAAGGGGTTCAGGTGGGTGGAGGTGGAGGTGGAGTGGACTAGGGCCTTTTATGTTGTCTGCTTTTTTTTTCTTCGTCCCGCTTTCTCCATCCACCAGTGCCCTGTATGCGTTCCCCACTAGCTGTCCCCCTCGCTTCTTCTCCTCCCCGTTCTCCCCCCCCACCCCCCCCCTCCCCAACACTCACCCCCCCCTTATCACTCCCCCACCACAACACCCCCCGCCCCTTTCTCGTCCCCACCACCCAGTGTGACCATTCCGCACAAGCTCGCGGCGTTGGAGTGCTGCTACGATGTGGAACCTCTCCCCTCCCCCCTTCTCTTTCCAACCCCCATCATTCGCCTCCCTTCCCCTCCCCCCTTCTCTTTCCAACCCCCATCATTCGCCTCCCTTCCCCTCCCCCTTCACCGCTCACCCCTTCCCACACCGTCTCTCCCAGTGTGACCATTCCCCACAAGCTCGCGGCGTTGGAGTGCTGCCACGATGTGGAACCTCTTGCCAAGGTGACCCTGCTGTAGTGACCTTGCAGTAGTGACCTTGCAGTAGTGACCTTGCTGTAGTGACCTTGCAGTAGTGACCTTGCTCATGTGCTGTGCGCTTGCGTAGATGACCTTGTTTGGTGGTGTGCCATATATCTCCCTGTACTCTCACCTCACACGCATGTTACCATGTGTCTCCGACCCTTGTTGTGTGTCATGCATGACACGGTTCCATTGTTGGCATCAAGTGTATGCTCCCACCTCTCTCCCTTCCTCTACCACTAATTCGCATGCGGGTCTCCCCCCATTAGAGCATAGGTGCTGCCAACACCATCATTCGGGGAGAAGATGGGCGGCTGAAGGGGTACAACACAGACTGCATGGCAGCCGTAGAGGCCATCGAGGACGGGCTCAGGCAGGCAGACGGATGCAGCAGATACACAGAATCCTTTTCCCCTGTCATCTCAGTCTCCTCTCCCCTTCTCTTCCCATCTCCGTCCCTCTGTCTACCCATCAGAGCATAGGCGCTGCCAACACCATCATTCAAGGGGAGGGCGGCCGGCTCAAGGGGTACAACACAGACTGCATGGCGGCCATAGAGGCCATCGAGGACGGGCTCAGGCAGGCAGATGGAGGCAGCATCAGCAGTAGCAACGCGGAAGCTTCCTCCTCGCCCCTCGCCGGCCGACTCTTTGTGGTTGTGGGGGCGGGGGGTGCCGGGAGGGCTCTGGCTTTCGGTGCTAAAGCAAAGGGTGCGGATGTGATTGTAACAAATAGGAGCTACGGCAAGGCGGAGGCGCTGGCTGCGGCTGTGGGCGGCACTGCCGTGCCTCTGCCGTCTGGTTCTGGTGACGTGGCAGCGGGTGGCGATGAGCTGGCGGCGGTGTTGCAGGAGATGCAGAGAGGGAGGAGTGGGCGTGCTGTGCTGGCAAATACGACCTCTGTGGGCATGCACCCTCATGTGGACGATACTCCGGTCAGCAAGGTGAGAGATATGTGTCTGCAGTTGTGTTTTGTTCGAGTATTCTCAAACCACATTAGGAGATGCAGAGGGGGAGGAGTGGGCGTGCTGTGTTGTTGAATACGACTCCGGTGGGACTGCACCCTCGCGTGGACGATGCACCTATCAGCAAGGTCTGTTCCTGGTGGATGGGCAGCATGACAGAATTGTCACCCTTCTCTTATTGTCACATTTCTCTTATCGTCACACTTCTCTTATTGTCACCCTTCTCTTATTGTCACCCTTCTCTTATTGTCACCCTTCTCTTATTGTCACACTTCCACAACATATGTCGATGTTTCCCTTTTGCATGTTCCCAAGCAGGCTGTGTTGCAGGAGTGCAGTCTGGTGTTTGACGCGGCACCCACCCCCATGAAGACCCCGCTTCATCAAGGATGCAAAGCAGGCAGGAGCCTCAACGATCACACTTCCACTAACACATTTCGGTATCCTTATCTTTCTTGTGTTCCCAAGCAGGCTGTGTTGCAGGAGTGCAGTCTGGTGTTTGATGCAGTCTACACCCCCATGGAAACCCGTCTGCTCAAAGAGGCGAAGCAGGCAGGAGCTGCAACGGTCAGTGGCGTCGAGATGTTTGTTGGCCAGGCGGCTCGACAATTCGAGCTCTTCACTGGAAAGCCAGGTGGGTGTACTTTCATCATACGTATGGATATTAAAGTTTTAAGCTTACGCCATGCGTTATCTTGTTTGCGCCCTTGTGTTGATGTACCCACTCCCTTTTTCTGTTATACCCCCCACCCCCCTGTGTGCGTGCTTTGCAGCTCCTGTGTCGTTGATGCGTGAAGTGGTCCTTGCATCGTTATAGGAGCCACTAAGGAAGCACTAGTAGAAATCATGCATTGATGAAAAAGTGGCACCTGTTAATGCTTGCTGTACTCTATTTAGTCTGGTAATGTGTTCCTACTGGTTCAAGTATCCATCGTGTAGTTCAAGATCTTTCAACTTCATCCAGTCACGAAACAGCTTTATTCGCAAAGCTCTTCGTCGCTGCTGCAATCCCGATGGCGATAAAATGGTAACAAGTCTTTGCCAGATCAAGTGCCTTGGTCACCAACCGAGCCTTGAGGTCGCTGAGCCTCGAATTTGCCAGGGAAAGCTACTTGTGGGGAGGCGTGATAAATGTCAGCCCAGCTGCTGGACATAGTTGTCAGTTCTTTCGTTCTCTGAAGACTAGGTGTCGAGCGCACGGCAGCTCACATTGTCTGCCATTACGGTGAAAACCACGCGTTTCGAAATCTCTGTGGTCCTTCTCTCAGAGTCCTTCAACGCTAGAATTTCCGCCAAAGTTCCGCCGGCATTCCGCAACCCTCCTCTCGCTCCCCTCGCATCATGGAAGCGGAGGAGCCTCCGCGCGCGCGCACTCTCCGTAATGCCGCCAAGCGGTGGAGCGTGCCGGCCGTCCTGCACCCCGCGTCGGGCCGGCTCGTCCCCATGGACGACTGGGCGATCTCCGCCGCCGTCGCCGCGCATAGCGACGGCGCGCCGGTCGCCCCGTCGGCCGCATCTTCCAGCCACGACGATTTCTTGAAGAATCTGACCAATCGGAGCCGGAAGTGGATTGGCGGAGCGCGCACGGCCGGAAGGCCCGGGACGTCGTCGTTTCGGGACGCGGATAATGCGGCGGCTGCGGCGGCGACGCCGGGCGCGGCGCCGGCCGCGCCGCCGTCGCTGAATAACGTGCCGGATCCGGTGCTGCTTAAGATTCTGATGCGCGTGGAATCGCCCAAAGACCGAGCGTCGTGCGCGCTGGTAATGCCCTTTGTCATTTTGAAGGGCAGCCAGCGGTGTGCGCGCTGGTAATGCCCTTCAAAACTAGCGTCGTGCGCGCTGGTAATGCCCTTCAAAACTACAGATTGTCATTTTCATAAGAGTCATTACCAAGTTTTTTATGACATTGGGAATGGTTTTTTTCCTTTTCGTGGTCATTTTTCAATGAATCGCTTGCCGGCCCTGTCATAAATAGAAATGACTTCTTCCCAGGTCTCTCTCTGTCTCCTCTTTCAGTCGTCGCGCTTCCTCCTCCTCTCCCCTTCCCTCACTTCCCTCCTTCCCTTACCACACCATTGGTGCCCCCCCCAGGTCTCCCCGCGCTGGTTCTGGCTGGAGAAGCGTTCCCGCCGCGCAGTGACCCACCTGGACCTCTCCCAGCCGTCGCGCTTCCTCGAGTCGCTCCCCCTCGCCTTCTTCCCGCGCGTCACCTCGCTCTCCCTCAACTGCTCTCTCTACCGCCGCCCCTGCTCCGCCGATAGGCTCTATGACTTCAGGGAACTGCACGTGCTCGAGCTGCTGCATCTCAAACGGATCCTGAATCAACGGCCCTGGGAGAATCTCGAGTTTGTCGGCTCGCATTTCCTGCTAGAGGGGCTTCCTAAAACGGGGATGGGGTACGGTGGAGGGTTTGTGGGCGCGGGAGGGGGAGGGGGAGGGGGAGCCGGTGGTGGTGGCGGTGCTGTTAACTTGCAGAGTGGGAGTTTCAGTGCCAGCGCTTCGGTTTCCACTCCAGGTGTTACGACCCCGGCTGTTGCAACTCCGGGTATGGTGACTCCTGGCGGGGTAATCACCCCGGGCGGGGAAACTACCCCCGGGTTTCCCGGCTCGGAAAAACCCGCGAGTAAATTTTCCCGGGATGGTGGCGCGGGGTCAAAGTCAGGCAGAGGGCGCTCAGGAGGGGGGGGCGGGCCAAAGGTGTGGGATATGATGGAGGAAGAGGAGGTGGTGGGAGGAGGGGGGGGAGGAGGAGAGGTGGCGGGTGCAGGGGAGGGAGTTGGGGGTGGGAGAGGAGGGGTTGGAGCTGAGTTCATGCGGATTGGGTTCTTTGACAAGTGTGGGGCATCGCTGCAGTCTCTGATCCTGGAGGGGGGACGTAACGTTACCAACATTGAGAATATCGCCAAGGAGATATCCATCAAGGTGAGAGGCAGGAAGGGTAAGGGAGTCGGGTAATAAAGGGAATAGGGAATAGAAGGTAGCGCAAAGTGAACCAAGGGATCATCGCCGTGAAAGGTCTGCTGCTTTGGTACTTGGTTATAGGCTGTTTTGCCTGTTCAACAAAGGTGCCTTTTGAGTCGGCTCATAAGTTGTTTTGGTCCTTGGTTATAGGCGGTTTTGCCTGTTCCACAGTACGTATTCCCAGCGTCTCTCATCTCTCTCTCCTCTTTTCTCTCAGCTCACCCAATCGCTCCATACTTCACCACTCCATTCCCACCTTTCCCAACCTCCATTCCATCTATCCCACCCTCTACACTCCCCATTTCCCACTTTCGACACCCTTCCCTTTCCCACCCTTCCCTTTCCCACCCTTACCTCTGCTCCGCCCATTCTCCTCCTTTCTTCCCCCACAACCTCCCCCCCACAGATGCTAACCCAGGAGCTAGCCCAGTGCTCCGCCCTGCGCCATCTGGTCATCTCCCAAACCGTCAAGGGCAACCCGCGCCTGCTCGAGCGAGCCTTCTCCTCGCTGCCCCTGCTCACCTACCTCGACCTGGGCAACCTCAAGATCGAAACCCCGGGGGCGTCTGGTCCCCCGCTGCTGGGGGCAACGGATGGGATGCTGAGGGAGGTAGCGCGGTGGTGTGCGGTGGTGGAGGAGGTGTATGTGGGCCCGCATGCAACGGTGGTGGGGGTGGAGGCGGTAGCGGGGAAGTGCAAGCAGCTGCGGGTTCTTGGGGACGTGACTGCTGCGTGCCGGGACTCCATGCATGTCATGAACAAGGTGAGATGCTCTTATGGGACGTCCCAACCCAAGGTGTATGTGGGTCCGCATGCGACGGGGGTGGGGGTGGAGGCGGTAGCGGGGAAGTGCAAGCAGCTGCGGGTTCTTGGGGATGTCGCTACTGCGTGCCGGGACTCCATGCATGTCATGAACAAGGTGCGCTGAGGGGGAATAAGGTGAAACGCAAGGAAGGGGAGGGGACTGGTTTGGGAAGAGATGTGAGGTCGATCTGTCCGGACCATCCAGGGTGCTCTGTCAAAGACTCTGATGCCCCAACCCCTTTGTGACCTGTACCCTGGTTTCTTCTCAATGCCCTGAAGGTGGGACGCTCGTCCCTCTCGTTCATCCAGCCTCACATTACCACCATCTACCTCTCCCTGTTCCCCCCCATCCCCCCACCCCACCCTCGTCCTCTCTCCCTCCCCTTAGTGGGCCACTAATGAGACGCTAGAGGAGGTGGGCCGTTCATGCCCCTCCCTGCGCTCGCTGCTCATCCGCTGCAACGCAGACATCACAGACGCAGGCCTGGTGGCGCTAGCAGCACTCAACCCCAACCTCACCCATCTCAACGTCTTCGCCCTCGCCCACTCCCTCACATACATCTCTCTCGTCTCCGCCGCCCGCCACTGGACCTCCCTCGAAACCCTCATCCTGCCCTTCTGCGAGCGAGACGACCGAGCCGACCTGCCCGACCTGGTGAAAGTCCTTTCCAGCTGCCCGAAGCTGAAAGTTTTCTCGATCGGGCTGTGTGCGCATAGGTATTTTGAAGCGTTGTTGGAGCTGCTGGGATCGTGTTCGTGGCTGGAGTATGTGTATCTGTATGAGAGCTGCCAGGAGGGGCATGAATTCACCATGGCTGATCTCAGGAAGGCTGCTGCCAAGGAGAAGAGGAAACCGCTGATTTGCTACGCTGCTGGGTCGGCTGAGGGGATCTGATGACGACTGGGTGGTGAGTTGCGGCTGCAGCTGCAGTTGGTGACCACTGGGTGGGGAAATGGAGTGGAGTGGAGTGGAGTGGAGTGGAGTGGTGTTTTGTGAGGTGCTGGAGTCGTGTTCGTTGCTGGAGTATGTGTATCTGTATGAGAGCTGCCAGGAGGGGCATGAATTCACCATGGCTGATCTCAGGAAGGCTGCTGCCAAGGAGAAGAGGAAACCGCTGATTTGCTACGCTGCTGGGTCGGCTGAGGGGATCTGATGACGAGTGGGTGGTGAGTTGCGGCTGCAGCTGCAGTTGGTGACTACTGGGTGGGGAAATGGAGTGGAGTGGAGTGGAGTGGTGTTTTGTGAGGTGCTGGAGTCGTGTTCGTCGCTGGAGTATGTGTATCTGTATGAGAGCTGCCAGGAGGGGCATGAATTCACCATGGCTGATCTCAGGAAGGCTGCTGCCAAGAAGAAGAGGAAACCGCTGATTTGCTACGCTGCTGGGTCGGCTGAGGGGATTTGAGGATAAATGAGCCGTGAGTTGCGGATGGGGCGGCTGCAGTTGGTGCCTACCGGGTGGGGAATTGGAGTGGAGTGGAGTGGAGTGGAGTGGTGTTTTGTGAGCTGCTGGGGTCGTGCTCGTGGCTGGAGTATTTGTATCTGTATGAGAGCTGCCAGGAGGCTGCTGCTTAGTCTCTCTTGGTATACTGCTGGGTCGGCTGAGTCATTCTGATGATGACCGGATGGGGAGGGGAGGTGTAGTGGAGCCTTGAAGTAGAGGAATCTGGGTAACTGCTATACTAATGGATCGGCCGAACGGGCTTGATGAAAAGTGGGTGGGTGGGGTAGTGTTGTGGTGTGGTGGAGTGGACATAATATTTCCAAGGGATGTGAACCTTGCCAGTCTATACTGAGGTTTGAATAACAACTTCGAAGAAACATTTCACATCTGTTTTAGTTCCTGAGCAGCGCTTTTACGTCCAGCTTGTATTCTACCGAGGTCGATATAATGAGTACGGAAATTAAAAATCTGGACCACGTGTCACCGAGTCGGGCACCCTCATAGCTGGCCCGTGCATTCGAGGACGAGTCACGCGAAGTTTGCTAAAGGACACTAATTCATGCGCATCAGTCAAATGCGGCACCGCGGGCGGGTACATCGCGCCGCGTCCATTCGCCAATCATCGCGAATGAGGAAATCAAACGCGAGTCGGAGGCATCGGGGCTGCATGATGAGATGCGGCGCGAACTCGCAGGAGGAGGCATCGATGGCGCAGGAAATTCCTCCAGCAGAATCGCGCGCAGGCTCCATGAGCGCGCAAAAAGCTGGCCCTCTTATTCCCCTGCGAGTGTCCTCAGGCTCTCTCGCTAAGCGTGTTTGGTTGTCCTTCCAAAAACATTCTCCCACTGCGCTGAGTAGATCTCTCAGCCTTGGCAAAGTTTAGCATTCCAGCGCAGTGACGTGGTTGTTGCATTTGTTTCACCTCGTGATTTCATCTGGTACTGCGAGCTAAGCAGTCAGTCAGACACCGAACAGAGCACGTGCAGGTGCAAGTGCAGTAGCAGCAGTAGCATACGGCGGCATGGCGACCAGCACTCGCCCGCCCGAGAAGTCGCCCTCCCCGTCCCGCCCTGAAGAGGTAGGCGCGGCAGTATCTCCTCCCTCCCGTTGCACACCCCTTTCACTCCCCATCCTCTCCGCCAGCCGTTCTCCCGCCCACCCCCCAACACTCTCCCCCTTTGCCCTTCCCCCTCCCCAACACTCTCCCCCCTTGCCCTTCCCCCTCCGCATACAATCCCCCCTTGCCGGGCGACGCGCCTTCCATGGGGACTCGCGCCCGCATGTTCACCCCCACGCTGCTGTAACTTTTGACAATCGATTGTACAAAAAATAGTCCTTGCAGCCGCTCTATTCCTGTCATCACGTGACTACTCACTGCTCCACGACCATTCCCGCTTTGCCACTCTCTCTTTTCTCTCTACCATTCTTCCTTTTCCCCCCTCCCAGGTGCCGGGCGAGGCCCCTTCTATGGCAACATCTGCACTCGCGACACAGCTTCTCTTCTGCTGTCGTTCCGCCCACTCACTTCTGCTAGCACGTGAGCACGTGGGCGCAGATTGTGTCATCCTCTTCCCCGCGCCCATCCCCCCGCACCCCATGCCCCCACGCCCCTCCCGCCCACCGCCTTCCCCAGGTGCCAGGAGAGGCCCCTTCCATGGAAACATCCGCCCTCGAAGGCAACCGCCTGTGCGCGTGGGCGCAGTACGCACAGAGCCCAATCTTTAGTGGGTGGGCGTCACACACTGCTTCTTGCTCCCCACTCCCATCTTTTCCCCTCCCTTTTTCCCTCCCCCAGGTCCCTGGAGAGGCCCCTTCTATGGCAACATCCGCCCTCGAGACAACTGCCTCCCTCCTCAAGTCGTTCTGCCAGCACGTGAGCACGTGAGACAACCCCTTCCTCAGCACGTGAGCACGTGAGAGTCAGTGTTACCCTCCCTGCCCGTCCCCTCCCTTGTACTGTTCCCATCAGGTGCCGGGAGAGGCCCCTTCCATGGCAACATCCGCCCTCGAGACGACTGCCTCTCTCCTGCAGTCCTTCCGCCCACTAAAGTCCTTCTGCCAGCACGTGAGCACGTGGGCGCACTACGCGCAGAGCCCTGGGCGCATGATCGAGACGCACCACCTCGTGGTGCGACTCACAGAGGACGTTCTTCAGTGCATCGTGTTTGACTCTGACCAGCCCAACGCTCGCATCGTTGGTAAGTTCAGTTATTTGAAAGTTTCCCTTTTTCCTCGCGTAGTCTCTCCTCTCCTCTCCTCTCCTCTCCTCTCCTCTCTCCTCTCCTCTCCTCTCCTCACCTCTCTGCTCTCCCCTCCCCTCCCCTCCCCTTCCCTCCCCTCCCCTCCCCTCCCCTCCCCTCCCCTCCTGTCCTATCCCCTCTTTCCTCATGGAAAACTTGAATCCTCTGTTTGTGTCACGCCAACCCATCTATCACCCATCACCCTCCAGGTGTGGAGTACATCGTAACCGAGGCGGTGTTCAAGAAGCTTCCGGAGGAGGAGAAGCACCTGTGGCACTCGCACTACTATGAGGTGAGCATGCATGTGGTGTGCATGCATGTTCGGAACATGCACTGGAGGAGGAGGAGAAGCACCTGTGGCACTCGCACTACTATGAGGTGAGCATGCATGTGGTGTGCATGTGGTGTGCATGCATGTGGTGTGCATGTGGTGTGCATGCATGTTCGGAACATGCACTGGAGGAGGAGGAGGAGAAGCACCTGTGGCACTCGCACTACTATGAGGAAAGTACTTACGCATGCATGGCTGAAAATCATTGCTGATCGCTGATGCTTGTGATTTTTCTCAAAAGTTGGCTAATGCTTTAGCCATGGCTAAATATGGCGTGTGATTCTTCTCTTGTGTTTGCATGCACCACCAACCTGGGTTGGTTCTGGTTTCACGCTGTTACAGAATTTCTTGCATATGTCATGCCATCCTCGCATGCCTCTTCCTCTCACTGGTCATGGATCCTCCATTGCATATCCCCTCACATGCCTGTTTCCATTCCCGCTGCCCTGCTCTTGCTTCTAACTCATGAACATACCTGTGACGGCCAGTGGATGAATCCCGGCCTCTTTCTTTTACTCTCCTTTGCCGCTCTTCCCTGTCTCTCCTGCAGATCTGTGACGGCCTGTGGGTGAACCCGGGGGTGCCAGAGACCATGCAACAGCAGGAGCTGAAGAAACTTGTCAAGACATCCCTTTGTTCACTCTCCTCCCACCCCTCTCCCCCTCTTCGTCTGCAAGGCAGATCTGTGACGGCCTGTGGGTGAACCCGGGGGTGCCAGAGACCATGCAGCAGCAGGAGCTGAAGAAACTCATAAAGACGTACGGCAAATTCTGGAATACCTGGCAATTTGACAGGGGGGACCCTCTCCCCCTCGGCCCCCCTGCCCTCATGCTCTCCCCCCAAGATCACCCCTTGGGTCGTGTTTCTCGTGCTCTGGTGGAGCAGAGGGATGCGGCGTTGTGGATAGAGACGGGGGAGAAGCGGGAGCAGCGGGCGGCGCTAGTGGACAAAGAGTGGGCGGCGACGGGGAAGGACCGGGCGGCGGACTGGTGGATGGAGAGTGGCAAGGGGTGGGTGACTGAGATGAGGGCAGTTGAGCTGGAGAGCATGGGGATGGGGAAGGGGGGGCAGGAGACAGGGGGTGTGCCGTCTGTGGTTATGGGGGGAGGGGGAGGGGTGGAGGGGAAGAAGGAAGGGGAGAAAATGGGGAAGGAGCGTGGCATGGGGGTGGGGGAGGAGACGGGTTTGGCTGGGCGTCCGGCCCAGTCCTCTGTGATTACTCTTGAGTGACCATTCCGAGATGACTGTTAGTGACCATGGCAGGTGGTTTAGTGCTGAATGATAGCTTCATGTGATGTGCCACACCACTCAGGGTGGGGTGTGTGGTGGTGGGGGAGGAGACGATGGGTTTGGCTGGTGGTCATCTGACTTAGTCTTCTGAAATGAGTGTGGTGTACATACAAAACTTGTTGATAGATACTTACCGTTATACCCAGGTGAAGCTGTAATTGTGGTGTGGAGGAAGTAAATCCATGTGTACCATTCCAAAAAACTAGTAGATTGGTCAGCTACCTACGGTACTAGCTACATTGAACATTCCTTATACAATATGTCAGAATATTCAATTACTCTCTGCGTACACTTCAATGGCCCCCTTACATTGCACTGAAGTTTCTCTGTTCGGCAGTATCAACCCTCTGCCCCGAACTGATACCCTTGTCGTCGATCAACAGCTGTCTCATGGACTTTTAATCGATTAAAGAATCAGCTCATGTGTTGTCGTCTTTCTTAGTCTCAGCACCGTCCGCTGTTCCAACACCTTTGCTTGCATCCTTGCAATCATCATCCTCATCCTCATCCTCCTGCCCCGCCTCTCCCCCATCCCCATCCCCATCCTCCCCATCCTCCTCTCCCTCCTCATCCTTCTCCCCCTCGTTCTCATCCTTCTCTCCTTCATCCTCCCCCTCATCTTCCTCCCACTCATCTTCCTCATCATCATCCTCATCCTCCTCACTATTGTCTCCCTCTGCTGCTTTCTTCGCTGCTTTCTTTGCCATGCTGTTTGCCGCCCCTGCATTGCCCTTCTCCATCTGCCACACATAAAATCCAACGGCACCAGGATGGCAGGCAGTTTTGAGACTTTCCAAACCTTTGCCACGCTGTTTGCTGCTCCTGCATTGCCCTTCTCTATCTGCCACCACAACAGAACCGGAGGCAGCACAAACACAACCAGCAGTCATGTGTTGCGCGTCCATTTCTCTGAGCACCAGCATTGAAGGACAACAGAAACGATGCTCACAAAGCTTGAGCCTTTTGATGCTCTAGACCATGGACTAGGGGGAAGGCTCTTAGACACCTCAGGAATTGAGCACACCTGAGCACCTGAGCACCTGGAGACACCTGGACACTTGGGTAGCTTGGCACCTGGACACTTGGCCACCTTGACACCTGGACACCCGAGCACATACCACACGCAGCAAGCTTCGCCTCTCCCTCTCCCTCAGCCTCCCGAGGGCGTGCAGCACGCAAAGCAGAGTGGCACATCTGGGCATACCTGGGCACACCCAATCACCTGGGCAGGGGGGAAAGACAAGCACGTACCGCACGCAGCAAGGGGGAAAGACAAGCACGTACCGCACGCAGCAAGGGGGAAAGACAAGCACGTACCGCACGCAGCAAGGGGGAAAGACAAGCACGTACCGCACGCAGCAAGCTTCGCCTCTCCCTCTCCCTCAGCCTCCCGAGGGCCTGCACAGAGAGAGAGCACAGTGGCAGAGAGTGGAGAGCAGACAAGGGATGGGGCTTTAAGTCCACTCGAAAGTTCCCTCAACCTTCAAAGAGCTGCACACAGAGGCAGTGGCGGAAGCAGAGAGCCAAGAGGGGGGAGGGGAGAAGGGTTGCAAACAAAAACAGAGCACATTGTACCCAGGTATGCTCTGTATATCGCCCCCTCACCTCCTCGAGTTGCTTCATCTCATTCTCCCGCACTGCTGCTCCACTGATGCATGGGTGGGTGGGTGGGTGGGTGTGCAGAGCGGTGCAGGCATGGACAGCAGAGTAGACACAACGAGAAAAACATTATGGGAGGGAATGGGAGTGGAAACGAGAAAAGGAAGCGAGTCGAGGGAGGAAGAGGAGGGGGGTTAGAAGGGTAAGCGTCTTATGCTTGCACAATCTGTTTGGCAAAAGGCACGAAGGCAAACAGTGCGAGGGCAGAGCAGATGGGGTTGGGGGTGCAAGGATTGTGCGTCTCGAATGGTCTCACTCTTGCACGATCTCTTTGGTGGGCTGCCGGCACTTGGCACACAACCCTTTCTCCTGCGCACATGCTGTGTGCCATGCATGGATGGATGGGGCAATGGAATGGATACATGCAGGGAAGACAGAAGAAAGGCATGAAGAGGGACTCTTCCACGATCTCTTTGGTGGGCTGCCGGCACTTGGGGCACAACCCTTTCTCCTGCGCACATGCTGTGTGCCATGCATGCGTGGACATGCGTGGAGCAACGCATACATACATACACACGCAATGCATGCATGCATGGATGGATGGATGGATGGATGGATGGATGGGGGGAAATGATGGGGGAAGACATACGTAAGCTCAGGCAAAAGTTTCTGACTCTTGGATCTTTTTTATAGCTGAGATGAGGTGAGGAAGGAAGGAATATATGGATGAAAATCCTATCATGCAATGGCATGATGGATAGTGCAAGTGAATGGCATGGCGCACACCTTGAAAGTATCAGATAGTTGGTAAGATGAAGCACCTTGGCACCTTGGCAACGTGACATGCACTTTTGCAGATGGCATGGTATGGCATGAATGGCATGCCTCACCTCTGCAGATGGTATGGTATGGCATGAGTGGCATGCTCCATCTTGAAACTATCAAATGGTTGGTAACTTGGCATGCCTTTCACACGCACCTCTGCAGATGGCATGACAGTGCAGGGATGGAATGCGCACCTCTGCAGATGGCGTGGTATGCGTCTTTCACATTCCTCTTGCCACATGCTTGGCTGTGATTGGTGGACCCAGGATTGGATGAGGGAGAGAAGGGCAAGGGAGAGAACGGGAAGAAGGGTGAATGAGTGGTGGGAGGGAGATACAGGCACCTCAGGGATAGGGCAAGTGGAAAGGAAGGGGAGTGGAGGGATGACGAAGGGAAACCAGACTTAATGGATGAGCGAGAAAAAAAACAATCAAGAGAGCGCACGTCAATTTCCCAGAAGAAAACCCAGCAACCATATAGCATGTGTAGCCTGTTTGAATCGACTTAACCCAGCAACCATATAGCATGTGTAGCCTGTTTGAATCGACTTAACCCAGCAACCATATAGCATGTGTAGCCTGTTTGAATCGACTTAACCCAGCAACCATATAGCATGTGTAGCCTGTTTGAATCGACTTAACCCAACAACCACATCGCTGTGTTGGCCTCACAGCTCTATCAGCCGGCAGGCGTCACAACTGTAACGACTCAAGCACCATTTTCTGGTGTTGCTTCCGCGTCTCACCACTTGGCAGGCTCGGTGAGAGGCTTGTACTTGCCGTACCTGCGCCCAGGGGCGGAGAGGGGGGACAAGGGCGATGAGAATGGGGTGTGGGTGAGGGGAGGTGTGGGAGGAAGAAAGAGAGGACTGGGGTGAGTGGTGTGTGTGGGGCGTGGAGGTGACGTTTGAGTCGACTCAAAAGTCACCTCTCTGTATGTGGAGCGTGGAGGGTGTAACAGAAAGCTGAGAGCTGTGGCGACAGAAAGGAGGGGCAGGGAAGAGGGGAGTTGGGGAATAGGGGGAGGGAGACGTAGGAGGAATGTGCAGGGGAAATGCTGGGGTCGGTCAGCAGGGAATGCAGCAGACGGAGACATTCATGTGCAGAGTGTGTAGCACCCGTTTCCGCTACTAAAGATTCTCCCCCCTTTCTCGTCTCTCCTCTTTCCTCTCTCCCCTCGCCCATTCAATTCCCCAGCACTCCTCATCCCCCGCCACTCCCACTCCAGCATCCCTCAAGTCAGCCCGACCAGCCCACAACTAGCCCTCCTGTTGTGGCCTCACTCAGCCCCTCACAGCACACACCACTGACATGAGAGGCTTCATGCGATCTGGTCGCAGCAGCGCCGCCACACGAGAAGCCCTCTCGCGCCCGGCCCATTCAACCCCACTCCCAGCCCTGCTCAGCCGCTTTCAACCACTCACTTGCGGCGCCATGCGATCTGCTCGCTGCAGCGCCGGCACACTCCTGAGATGTTGGCGAACGGCCTCGACTTGGTGCCCAGCTCCTGGTGGGAAGTTGGGATGGGAGGGGAAGGGGGGAGAAACCAAAGGGGTAGAAGGGTGTTAGGAGGGGGGAGTCAGGAAAGCGAAAGGAGGTGTTGGCGAATGGCCTCTCGACTTGGTGCCCAGCTCCCTTGTTCTTCGCTTTCCTCCTCCCCACATCCCACTGCCTCCTTGTGCCCCGTGCCCCGTGCCCCATGACCCATGACCCATGACCCATGACCCATGACCCATGACCCATGACCCATGAACCATGACCCGTGCCCTGTGCCCTGTGCCCTGTGCCCCATGACCCATGAACCATGACCCATGACCCATGACCCATGACCCATGACCCATGCGCCGTGCCCCGTGCCCCATGAACATATAGCTCCGAAACCCACACTGCCCCTCTCCCTCTCGTCCTCACACTGCTCCCTCCCTACTACCCGCTCTCTCTATCCTTCTTTCTTTCCTTCTTGAGAACTCTCCAAAGTTTTCCCCTCGTCTCCTCCCTTTCTCCCCCTGTCTCCCACCCCTTCGCCTCACTGTCTCCCACCCCTTCGCCTCACCGTCTCCCACCCCTTCGCCTCACTGTCTCCCACCCCTTCGCCTCACTGTCTCCCACCCCTTCGCCTCACTGTCTCCCACCCCTTCGCCTCACTGTCTCCCACCCCTTCGCCTCACTGTCTCCTTCTTCTACACGTTGCTCTCTGAAACCCATGCTGCCCTGCCATGCCATACAACCCAAACGCGAGGAAGGGCGCGCACTCACACCTTTCTCCCCCTCACTCCCCGCGCTTCCCTCCTTCCCCCCCCCCCCTCTCTGGGCTCACCGTTTCTTTCTTCTGCACGTTGCGTTCCGGAACCCATGCTACCCTGCCATGCCGTTGGGAGGGAGGGACGTGCACACAGCCAGAACACACACACACACACTCCAGGGTTTAACCGGGGTTCTGGGTTCAGCAATCCATGCTACCCTGGCACGCCACGGGAATGGCACAGGACGGGGACAGTAATCCATCAAGGGTTCAACTTGAGTTGTGGATTTGGCAGACCCACGCTGCCCTGGCAGGAACAGCATCTTGCAAAAACCACTGCCTTGGAGTGCGTAGGCGGGTTCTGCAAGGCACACGGGACGGTCGGGCAGAGGGTTTCGCACGTTTCGCAGAGGGGCTCACTTGTTCTGGTGCTTGGGCGCGCCTCTCGATGGCGCTCCCCTTCTCGTCGACATCTCCGCCCTCCCTCCCCCGCTTATCGATCACCACTCCTCCTCACTCCTTTTCACTCGTTTGTATTCCTCTACAACCCTCCGCTCCCCTCTGGTCCCTTCCCTCACAGCCTGTTTCCGCGCGAAGTCCTTTACGACTCGCACCTTGCAACGGCTAACCTTCCTAACCCGTTGCAGTGGTCTCAGTGAGAGGACAAATCAGGCGCCTCAAAACCCGCAGGGTTCCACGTGAGAGATTTCAAGTTTAGCCGTGGAATGCGGGCGGCTAGACGGCTGAAGTCTACAAGTCCCGGGTCTTTCTGGTAAGCGCCGAAAGAACCAGGTAGACAGAGTGGGGGCAACGGCGCGCGCGTTACCTACGACTTCGCGCAAGAACTAAGCAAAACGAGTAGGAGGTTCTCCACTAAAAGTGGAAGAAAAATTGGTTATGTCCGCTCGCGCGGGATGCCTTAACCGTTGTGTGTTGAGAGCCCGAAGGCTAATCTCGTCCTTGTCGAGGGAGATGCTAACCTTCTCTCGGCTCAACGAACACACAGATAGTGAGTAAACCAAAATCCTAGAACTATCGTGTTTTGAAATGAAGTGTTTCATGGGCTCGTTTACATTAGTGCTTTATTGTGCTATCAACTGCTCCATAGCACGTGGCATGCTCAACACGGCGAATGGCTTGTACAGCTGGTAACAGCCACCTCGCTATAATCTCTCAGTTTGACACCCTTGAAATTGCCATGCTGGTGAACAGCACATCCTGGTGGATGTGGTAACACGAGTGTAACCACCCTGACAACCTCCCTCCTCCCTGCGAAATGGCGCGCGCTACAAGCCGGCTGGTGCCGCTGACGACAGCATTTGATCGGGGTGAAACAAAAACGTTCCAGAGAGATATGCCGCGTTGGAGAGGTTTGTCTAGTTGCCGAGTAAACATGAACCATCTGGAAACGGGCAGCTGGGCCAAACCAAGTCAAGCGGCCCATTGATAATGGAGGTAGAAGAGTGTAAGGATGCGCATGGCTATGGTGCAGCGCAGAACAAGCTCTGAACGAAACCGAGCAGAGAGACCGAGAGATCACCATTATTATACCACATCGCGCACCGCGTGCGCCGTTTTGCACAAAAAAAACTCCCGGCGCTCTTCTTTTTGTGATCTAGAGTTTCTTATGACGACCGTGTGATGAGGATGTAATGGCGATGGATTTAATAACTGAGGACGTATTTCTCTGTGACTAATGTCCGTTCGCTGTCCTAATAAGGTACATCTTTCTGACGAATCACGAGACTCCAAGCGTAGACGGATTAGTTCGTCGCGTATTCCCGATCCAGAGCCTGGGAGCGTCTCACTCGGCACGTCGCGACTGATCCAAGAGTCCGAATCGAGTCTGTTCAGATCCGGCTCCTCGATTCTCTCCCGCAAACTCGGAATCGCCTCCAAGGCGAAAGAGCAGCAGCAGTCAGATCAGCTTGGTCAGCCATCGTCTCTCCAGGGTCCGTCGGCATCGCTTCAATCGCCGTCTTTTCAGCTTCAAGCGCAGTCGCGTCCCGTTCCTGGTTCGACATCCTTCAAACGATCTTCGCGCGTCGCTGAATCTCCCAACTCAATCGCCACGCGTGCTTATCCGAACGTATCTCGTCCCGCGTCGCCTGGAATCGCTGCGGCTTCAGGAAAAAAAGAAGTCGACGAAGCTGGAAGATCACGAAAATCTCAACGATCTTGCAAATCTCGAGGACATCTAAGGAGTTCGCGGCAATCCCAAGGGATTTTACGAGGTAGAGACTTTGAAGGAGCGACAGGTGCTTACAAGCGGTTCAAGATGTCGTGGATGGGGGGATGGAAGCGGGAGACGGACAAATTCCAGCTCGAGTTAGGCTACGGGGAGAAGGAGAAGCAGAGAGAGAAAGATCTCCCCGTTGAAACCAACGGCTTAGATGGGACCACGTCGTCCGCCGCATCTGACGCTGGGGATGAATCGGACGGCGAGGGTGGGCCTGGCGCGGTGGCGAGAGCGTTACTGAGCAAGATTCGCGAGCCAATGGTGAGCGCGGAGCGACAGTGCAGGTTTCGCATTCAGGTCGATTGGTCTGCTGGCGACGACGAGGAGCAGGTGGCGTTACGGTTACAATCACTCGTGATGGTAACCCTACCTCCGCCCCATGACCACGTGGTGGTAGGCATGCACGTGGAGCCACGTGGCGAAGAGAATCAGGACAGCAAGGCAGCATCACCCGAAGCAGCACCAGACGAAGCATCAAAAGACTCAGGAGATGAACGGCTGAGATTGCAGGATTCTGGGAAGTGGACGGTCCGGATGAACATGAGAGTGCACAAGCAGAGGGAACCGCTGCACGTGCTGCGACTGACGCGAATAGCCGCCAGCAGCAGCTCGTCCTATTCAGGCAGCGATGGGCTGTCCATGCTGGCTAAGCTGCTAGACGCCAAGGGTGTCGCCCTCCACCGGGCTGACGTCGCTGCTGCTGCTGCCAGCGCGATTCCCACAGGGACCTCAGGTGGAATTTCAGGTGCAGGAGGGGGTTCTGTTGGTTCAGGTGGCGGTTCAGGGTCGGGCGGGAGTGCAGGGAGTGGTGGGGCTCTGGTAAGGTCAGGATCGGGAGATGGAAGCGAGAAAGGAAGAATGTCAGCAGGGGGACGACAGCAGCAGCAACAGCAGTTTCAGTCAGTATCCGCTTCCCCAGAGCAGCAGCAGAAGCAGCAGCAGCAGCAGGTGCTGTCAACAGCAGAAGCGGAGAGCATGTTGGGTTACTCCGACCACTGGCGCTCGTTGAAGGCCCTCTCCCTCTCCTCCTGCTCCCTCTCTGTAAGCACATCAACCTTTCTCAGACCTCCTGTGCCCCGTTTATAAGCATATCAATCCCTCCCTAACCTTTTGCCTTCTCTGTAAGTGCGTGTTGCCTTTTTTAGGCCCATGCTGAGGTACTGGATGCGGAAAGCAACCTTCTTAGTGCTCGTCTTTGTCCCCTCTCTCTTCTTCTTTCTTCCTGACCCAATGTCCTTCCCATGAATCTGCCCCTGCTGGAGGTACCGGAGGTGGAGAGCAAGTCCCTAGCGCCACTGTTTTTTCCTCAGTAGCCCTTCTTCTTCCTACCCCCACCCCAGGTCTTGCCCAATTTCACCATGAACCTGCCCCTGCTGGAGGTACTGGAGGTGGAAAACAACCTTCTGAGTGCTCCTCTTTGTCCCACCCTCTCTACTTCTTTCTCCTGAACCAACCCCACTCCAGGTCCTCCCCAACTTCACCATGAACCTGCCCCTACTGGAGGTACTGGAGGTGGAGAACAACCGCCTGAGCGCGCTGCCGGGGGAGATCGGGCAGCTGCAGCAGCTGAGGGTGCTGCGCGCTGATAACAACCAGCTCACCACCGTGCCCAGTGAGTCACGCACACTTGGCAGCTTCTGTGTGCCCAGTGCGTATCTCGTAATGCACCATAAAGAGGGGTTAGCTGCAGCAGCTGAGGGTGCTGCGCGCTGACAACAACCAGCTCACCACCGTGCCCAGTGAGTCACGCGCAGCAGAATCTTTAGGGCTTGTTAGGCATTTCAGAATCAATTTTCTAGGCCCGTGTGTTTAGTGAGTGATTCTTAGTGTTACTAAAAGAGGGGATTAGCTGGTGCTGCGCGGATGCGCTGATAACAACCTGCTCACCTGCCCAGTGAGTCACGCCCACAGTATAGTTTTGATTGAGGTCTGTGCTGTGTGTCTAGTGAGTCTCTCTTCCCATGGCACACAGCACAGACCACCTTAAAGAGAAGGCAGCTGCAGCAGTTGAGGGTGCTGGATGTCATCTCTTCCATATAGCAAGTTCAGTTTGAGACGGCCAAGGAGGCTACGAAGAAGAGAATTTCCGACGTGCAAACTCAGCTGAGGGAAAAGGAGATAGAGCTGATGCGGGAGAAGGAGATTTTTGTGTCAAATGAGAATGAATCTGGCCAAGCTGAGAGGCATGGTCAATGAATTCTCCTTTGACATGAAAATGCTATTTCTCCCGCATGAGCTCCATCTCTCTTTTCTCTCAACTGAGTCACACACAACAGAGTTGAGGTGTCTCAGGAATTGAGTATTGAGCCCTCTGTGCAGAGGAAGTTGTCTAATAAAAGTGTGCACCATCCCTCCCTTGCCATGCCAAGTGCGCGTGTGGACTTATCTGGACCGTGCTCCTCGGTGCCTAGTCCTGGGCCCTGTGCCTGGTCCTGGAGACCTTGCATGCATTGACTAAAGCATGTTACGTGCTCCAATCGTTAATTTCACACACACCCTCTTGTTCCTCTCCCCTGCCCTCTTTCTCCTGTCCTAAACCATCCCTCCCCGTGGCAGTCACACTGCGGGAGTGCACCAACCTGAGGGAGCTGTCCCTCGAGAACAACCGCCTTGTGCGTCCCCTCCTCGACTTCAGGTGCGTCTGCTACGTGCCTTTCACTCCACTTCTTCCCGCCTTCCACTCTTCCGCTACCCCTTTGCCACTCTTCTGCCACTCGCCTTCTGTCGCCACTGCTCCTTGCGCTGTTGTTCCATCCCCTAATCAACACACCCCCTTCCACTTGGCAACTCAATCCACCCCCTTGCAGGTGCCTGGCGGACCTGAGGGTGCTGCGGCTGTTCAACAACCTGCTCGAGTTCATCCCGGAGATCCTGCCTGGCTCGTGGAGCGATCCCTACACCATCCCCAATCCACAAGTCCCAACCATTTCCTTCCCCACCGCCTACCCCTCGCCTGCCCCCCTGTGCGCTGCAGGTGTTTGGCGGACCTGAAGGTGCTGAGGCTGTTCAACAACCCGCTCGAGTTCTTCCCAGAGATCCTTTCTTGCTTGTGCCACCATCCCTACATCAGCCACATTTCACAACACCGCCCTCCAAGTTCCAATCACACTCCCCCCCCCCCCCCCCCCCCCTTCTACCCTCCATCTACCCCCTGTCCAGGTGCCTGGCAGACCTGAGGGTGCTGCGGCTGTTCAACAACCCGCTCGAGTTCTTCCCAGAGATCCTGCCCTGCCGCCACCTGCGCATGTTATCCCTTGCCAACGTGCGCATTGTCAGCGACCCAGACCTCAAGATCGTTGACGTTAGCATCGTGGTGAGTCCATCATTGCACAGACTGTCGCGTTTAACAGCGTTTGAGGAACACGTTTGCCCTCATACTCGGCCACTCGCCCATTCCTCGTTCTCTTCTCTCCCGCCCGTCCCGCCCCCCTCCCCTCTCATGCATCTTCAGCAACTGGAGGCGCAGCAAGGCTCCTACTTCTCTGCGTCCAAGCACTGCCTGAGCGACTTCTTCGCCCTCATCTTCCGCTACTCGTCCGTGCACCACCCGCTGCTGGCGTCCGCCCTGGCACGCATCTGTGAGGACCGCGAGAACCGCGCGGCCATTGGCAAGGATGAGAGCGCGATCAGGCAGATCGTGAGCATGCTGCTTGCTGACTCCAAGCACGTGGTGAGTTAGAAGGGGCCGCATGGGAGGAGGGCATGGGCTGTGGCGTGTGGAGTTGGGTGGGGCTGGAGAGCAGATCAGCAAGGATGCGAGCGCTATCCGGCAGTTCGTGGGCATGGTGCTGGCAGACTCCAAGAATGTGGTGAGTGGGAGGTGGGTTTGCTTGCGTGGGGCATGGGCTATGGGGCGTGAGTTGTGGTGCATGGTTGATGCGTGGGTGGTGGTGCATGATCATGCCACATGCCCTGGCGTCACATAGTAGTGGTGTCATCTGCTCATTGCTGTGTCTTGAGGCGGCTCAAATCCTCTCCAAACACCCCTTCTCCACCCACACCAGGTGGAGCAGGCGTGCCATGCCCTCTCCTCCCTGGCAATGGACGATGCACTGGTGACCCATCTGGTGAAATCGGACGTGCTGGCGGCCATCTGCTCACTGCTGCTCTCCCAGCACTCCCGTCAATCCCCCAACCCCCCATTCCCTCTTCCCCTTCCCCCACCCTCATCAGGTGGAGCAGGCGTGCCATGCCCTCTCCTCCCTGGCAATGGACGACGCACTGGTCACCCACCTGGTGAAGTCAGACGTGCTGGCGGCCATCTGCTCGCTGCTGCTCTTTGAGACACCTCAAGGCAAACCCTAAACCCCCCGTCTTCCTCCGCCCCTTCGTCCACCCCCCTCCCCCCCGACACCAGGTGGAGCAGGCGTGCCATGCGCTCTCGTCCCTGGCAATGGACGATGCACTGGTGACCCATCTCGTGAAGTCGGACGTGCTAGCAGCCATCTGCTCGCTGCTGCTCTCCCAGCAGCCGGAGATCCTCGTGTCAGTGCTGCGCGTCATTGCCAACCTCGCCCTCGCCTCCGACTCCGTCGCTGCACGCATTCTGAACGTCGATTCTGCGGCTATTCTCACCAGTCTGTGTCATCATACACACATGATGGTACGCGTCTGTGTCATCATACACACATGATGGTACGCGTCTGTGTCATCATACACACATGATGGTACGCGTCTGTGTCATCATACACACATGATGGTACGCGTCTGTGTCATCATACACACATGATGGTACGCGTCTGTGTCATCATACACACATGATGGTACGCGTCTGTGTCATCATACACACATGATGGTACGCGTCTGTGTCATCATACACACATGATGGTACGCGTCTGTGTCATCATACACACATGATGGTACGCGTCTGTGTCATCATACACACATGATGGTACGCGTCTGTGTCATCATACACACATGATGGTACGCGTCTGGGGGGTAGGGGGTGGTACTGGATGGGTGGTTCGGGTGGGGTATGCCATGTGGCGTGCAGGATGGTTGGTAGGGGTAGGGCATAGTGTGTGGTGGTGTACTCCCAGCAGCCGGAGATCCTCGTGTCCGTGCTGCGTGTCATTGCCAACCTCGCCCTCGCCTCTGACTCCGTTGCCGCGCGCATTTTGAACGTCGACTCGGCGGCCATTCTCACCAGTCTGTGACTCTGTGCCACCACACGCACATGATGGTATGTGTGTGCGGGTGCGGAAGGGGGAGAGGGGGGGGGGGAGGGGTGCTATATGGCGTATGTGCAGCATGCAGGGTGGTATGTAGATGAGATGTATGGCTCGTAGCGTGCAGGATGGTATGGGTCGTGTGTGGGGTGTGGCATGCTTAGAGCCATCTGCTTGCTGCGGCTATGACTGTTGCATCTCTCCTTTCCCCCACTCAAAGTTCTACCTTGTGAAGCGCCCTGCTCTGCTGCTCTCTCCCCCTCTCTTCCTCCATCCATACCTCTCTCCTCGAAACCTTCTGCACCCTTCTCACCGCCACCCTACCTGCACCCTTTCCGTTCTAACCTCTTCCTTATTGGTCGTCCAACAACCCCACGTTTTTTTCCCTCTCACCCCCTTCCCTCCATCCTCCTCCTTCTCCTAGGTGCAAACTCAAGCCCTCATGGCCGTGGGTAACTTGTCATTCTGCCCGGACAACCGCCGCCTGCTGGTGGCCCAACCAGGCTTCCTAGACGGGCTCTATCACCTCGCCACAGGGGGCGGGGGGCTGGGCGGCGGGGGCTTCGGGGGCGGAGGAGGGGGAGAGGAAGCGGGAGAAGGGGGTTTGGGAGCGGAAGGGGAGGGGATGAGGGGGGGTGGAGGGGGTGTGGGCAGGTACCAGCACAGGGCGCTAGTGGTGGAGGTTCCAACTGTCTTCTCGTTTCGCAAGGCGGCAGCGCGGGTGCTTGCTATTCTGGGTAAGCTGGCTTGCTATATCGGGTAGCCTGACTTGCTATTTCTGGTAAGGTGCCTTGCCATCTTGGTTTGCTAGCATATCTCCCTTCAATCTGTCCCGTTCGTGGGCATTGAAAGGGAGAACCGGCTGATGCAGGAGGCGCTATGCACTAGGCCAGTGGGGCAGAGGTGCATGCATGCGCGTGCTGGTGATGGAGGAAGGGGGCATGCGCGGCATGGCAATGGTGCGGATGCTGCGCAGCTAATCCCACTCCTCCTCCCTCTCATTTTATCCTGTCCCTGCTCGCTCTCCACTGTGCTATGATGTGCTGTGATGTGCTGTACTGTGTGGTGTGGTGTGGTGCGGTGCGGTGCACTGCAGGTGAAAATCGGCTGGTACAGGAAGCATTGTGCACGAGGGCAGTGGGGCAGAGGGGTGTGCGTATACTAGTGATGGATGGGGGCGGCATGCGGGGCATGGCCATGGTGCAGATGCTGCGGCAGATCGAGGGGCGCACGGGCAGGCGCGTGCACGAGCTGTTTGACCTCGTGTGTGGCACGTCCACTGGTGGCATGCTGGCAGCTGAGTTGGGAATCAAGCGCCTCACTTTGGACCAGTGTGATGATGTCTACAGGCGACTGGGTGAGTGGGTTTTGGGGGGTTTGTGTGGCTGTAGGGTAAAGGGAACTGGGTTTGGGCAGGCGTGTGCACGAGCTGTTTGACCTCGTGTGTGGCACGTGCAGTGGCGGCATGCTGGCAGCTGAACTGGGGATCAAACAGTTGACTCTGGATCAGTGTGATGGCGTCTACAGGCGCCTGGGTGAGTGGCTTTCAGAGGTTTTCAGGGGTTTCTGTGGCTCTAGGGTGAGGTGCGTTTGGGGCACGAGCTGTTTGACCTCGTGTGTGGCACGTGCACTGGTGGCATGCTGGCGGCTGAGCTGGGGATCAAACGGTTGACTCTGGAACAGTGTGATGACGTCTACAGGCGCCTGGGTGAGTGGGGCTTCAGGGGTTTCACATGTGCTGGTTTTCTATGGGTGTGGTTTCTGTAAGGTTTGTCGTGTGAAGTGGATTCTGGGCACGAGTTGTTCGACCTGGCATGTGGCACGTGCACGGGCGGCATGCTGGCAGCAGAGCTGGGCATTAAGCGCCTCCCAACACCGTTCCAGGAGCTCTTTAAAGATCAGTGCGATGATGTGCACAGCCGCCCCACAACACCACCACCCGCCCCCTCCTTCCACCATGCCCCTTGCTTTCCCCCCTCCTCCCAGGCAGGCTGGTGTTTTCAAACATGGAGGCAATGGAGTCGGCATCATGGCGGAACAAGCCGACTGTAGATGTGCCTCTAAGTCAAGTTGCGACCAACCCCTGCTCTCTCCGTGTTCAACCCCCTCTCTCCCTTCCCACCAGGCAAGCTGGTGTTTTTGAACGTGGAGGCGATGGATTTGGCGTTGTCGCAGGACAAGCTGGACCAGCTGTACAAGAGCTCCTCGCATAACCCCTTTTTGCACACCCCTTATTCTCTCCATGGTTCAACCCCCTTCCCCTCCCGCCAGGCAAGCTGGTGTTCTCAAACTCGGAGGCAATGGAGTCGGCATCGTGGCAGGACAAGCTGGACCAGCTATATTGTATCCGATACCAACCCTTCACCACGCCCCTTGCTATCCCCGTGTTCAACTCTTCCTTTGTTGAACCCTAATCAACCCCTCCCCTCTCACCAGGCAAGCTGGTATTCTCAAACGTGGAGGCGATGGAGTCGGCGTCGTGGCGGGACAAGCTGGACCAGCTGTACAAGAGCTCGTCTCAGAACTACCGCGTGGTGGTGCACGGCAGCAAGGTGTGCAGAGGGGTGACGGGTGGGTGCATGTTAGGTGCTGCAAGGACCATGGGGGGCGGTTGTACACAAGCTTGACCAGCTGTACAAAAGCTCGTCTCAGAACTACCGTGTGGTGGTGCATGGCAGCAAGGTGAGCAGAGGGGTGCTTGCAAGGTAGCCGTATAGCTGAGCATGGTTTTCTCACTGGGGACAACACAGATGGCCGTGTTTCAAGAGCTTTCAGAGTTTGTTACTAGTGCACTTAATGGGTATGAAGTAAGTGTGTGCACTTCATGCGCTGTCTGTTAGGCATTTATATTTAAATTGATATCCACTTTCATTCAGGTGTGCATTTCTGTCCACAGTCAATTTGGCTCTGGAAAAACTTATACAATGTTTGGAGATTCCGCTGAGGATGCCTTCCGTGGAGTTATTTCAAGATTAGTTGAGCAGATGCTCAGCTGATTTTGAAATAACTCCACAAAGAGCATTCTTAGTGAAGTATCTGAACATAGCGTACGTCTTTTCGAATCCAGTTTGACCTTAGGCAAAAATGCACACTTAAATGTAAATGGATGTCAATTTAGATGTAGTTGCCTAACAGCGCATCACGCCCTCTCTCCTCTCCCGCCACCTCATCTTTCCTCGAAGACGCAGCACAACGCGGAGCATTTTGAGCAGTTATTGCAGGGAGATGTGTTGTCCCTGATTCTGCCCCCCCCCCCCTCCTCCTTTTCCCCTTCCCCTCCACTCTTCTCCTGTTCCTCCCACTCGCAGCACAACGCGGAGCAGTTTGAGCAGCTGTTACATGACATGTGCACGGACGACGATAGGGAACTGCTCTGGAATCCGCAGTCATATTCCCTTGCTTGCTCCTGCTTCTCCCCTTCCCTGCGCGCATTCCCTCTCATTCCTCCCACCCACTGGCAGCACAACGCGGAGCAGTTTGAGCAGCTGCTGCAGGAGATGTGCACGGATGACGATGGGGACCTGCTCATCGACTCCGCAGTCAAGGGCGGGCCCAAGGTCTTCGTGGTGTCCACCCTCGTTAGTGTCACACCCGCCACACCCTTCGTCTTCCGAAACTACCAGGTGAGGCTCTTACCAATTGCTAATTGCTGAGTGTGGGGTGCACTCTGCCAATAGCCTTCCTGCCCCCTAACCCTCCATCCAACGGTTTCCATGCCATCCACCCGGGGCTATCCGCGTGCAAGTTGCAGCCCTTTCTGGTCTGCGCCTTCTTTCCCCGGCATCACTCCCCTAACCGTTGCTGCTACTTCCTTCTTCCCTCATCCCTCATCCCTCTTCCCTCTTCCCCCATCCCCAACAGTACCCTCCTGGGACCAGGGAGACCCCCCACCCCCCAGCCGACGGGTCCCCCATGCCCACGCCGCCCCCCCGCATGCGCACATCGGGGCTATCCGCGCTGCTAGGCACGTGCAAGATGCAGCTCTGGCAGGCCATCCGAGCCTCCTCCGCAGCCCCGTACTACTTCGACGATTTCGCTGTTGGCCCCCACCGCTGGCAAGACGGGGCTATTTTCGCAAATAACCCTACAATTGTCGCGGTGAGAGAGGCCCGGCTGCTCTGGCCGGACCTGCCGCTGGACTGCGTGGTGAGCCTCGGGTGCGGCTCGGCGCCGCCGAAGCTGCGCGGGAGGCCCGGGTGGAGGGTGGCGGATACGGGGCAGGTGCTGGCCGAGGCTGCCACGTCGGTGGAGCAGGCGGATCTGGCGTTTGAGTCGGTGATTCCCATGCTGCCCGATGTGAAATACTACCGGTTCAACCCAGGTCAGTGGTGAAGCGAGAGGGAATGATTGCAGGTGAGAAATCTGAACGAGATCACCTGCAAGCTGGTATTTGAGACGTCTCAAAACACGTTTTTTGAGAGTTATAACGAAGAGTTTCGAGATTTGTTAAGGGAGCAATACAAAGAATGGAGATAATATCCTTGACATCATCAAGGGACATAGAATTTTCCACGGTAAGAACGGCAACACTACATTCACTGGCATGACATTAGTCACTTCGGCATCTATAGCGGATGCAGTCGATGTTCTTGCTTATGCAGGAAAAAGAAGGTGAGGATAATCCATCTAACAAATCTCGAAATCGGATAATCCCTCACCTTCTTTTTCCTGCATAAGCAAGAACATTGACTGCATCCGCCATAGATGTCACAGTGACTAATGTCATGCCAGTGACTGTAGTGTTACCGCTCTTACCGTAGAATATTCTGTGTCCCTTGCTGCTGTCAAGAATATTCTCTCCATCCCTTGTGATTGCTGCCGTACTGCTAGAAAATCCGTTTAACAATTTTTAAACTCTTCCTTATAAATCCAAAGAAAAGTGATTTGAACTTTCTACCTTCCTGAGAGTCACCCTTCCAAACCCTTCCTACCCCTTCTAAGTGCTCCCAAACCTCCCTTTTAGCCCTCTAGTACACTAGTGAACAATCGGTGCAGCATGGACTTGACCTGGGCAAGACCGATCCAGCAGAGTGGGAGAAGCTGGAGCTGTTGCCCTTCAAACCTTTCAAACCCCTTTCAACCGCTCCCGAACCCCTCTTCTAACCGCTCCCAACCTTTTGATACACGCAGTGGACGAGCTGTGTGGCATGGACTTGGATGAAACGGACCCAGCGGAGTGGGGGAAACTGGAAACAGCCACGGATGAGTACCTCACAGCAGTCAACTGCGACATGGCAGAGCTCTGCAAGTACCTGCGCCTCTGCTCCCTCCACCTCCCCTTCCCGTTCCCCTTTCCCCCTTTCCCTTTCCTCCGTCCCCATTCCCCCTCCCCGCTTCCCGCTTCCCCTTTCCCCTTTCCCCCTCCTCCCCAAGCAGTGGACGAGCGGTGTGGCATGGATCAGGATAAAACAGACCCAGCGGAGTGGGAAAAACTTGAAACCGCAACTGATGAGTATTTGACAGCAGTCAACCGCAACATGGCCGAGCTCTGCAAGTACCTGCGCCTCTGCTCCCTCCACTTCCCCTCCACATTGAATACTTCCCACCACCCTTCCCTCCTCCGTCTTCCCCCTTCCCCTTTCCTGTTTCTCGCTATCCCTTTTTCCCTTGCCCTTTCCCCCTCCTCCCCAAGCAGTGGACGAGCGGTGTGGCATGGATCTGGACGAAACAGACCCAGCGGAGTGGGAAAAACTGGAGACAGCCACTGACGAGTACCTCACAGCAGTCAACCGCGACATGGCAGAGCTCTGCAAGTACCTGCGCCTCTGCGTGGCTCAGGAGGAGGCAGACAAGGCCGCCGCCGCAGCACTGTTAGGCGGAGCAGCAGCAGCAGCAGCGGCGGCAGCGGCAGGGGGGTATAGGAGTCGGCCGGGGAGTCGGCCGGGAAGCATGCCCGGCACCCCGAGAGCCGCTGGCTACTCTAGCCCTGCAGCAGCACCTGTTTACCCTCCCATTGTGCTCCCAGCATCGCCTAGGTCGCCCAAGACGTCTGCCCCCGCGTCGCCCCTGGCCAAGGTGATTGGGCCGCAGGGGGATCAGAGGAGGGGAGCCAGTGGCAGCTCGCTGCACGCGATCAATCCATACCGTCGGCACGTGCTGCTCGTGGACTCCATCCGGCCGTCCGTTGCCCGCCGGCCCTGGCAGCACTCGGCTCGTCTCTGCTGCTCTGCCATCGGCGGCGGCGGTGGCTATATCAACAACAGCAGCATGGTTTCTTCTCATGAAGCAGCAGCAGCGAGGCTCGCAGGGATCATCAGCAGTATCAGCACGGACGGTGGCAGCACTGGCAGTCTGCTGTCCCACCTGCGCCGCCCCCCTAAGGTAGACGAGCATATCTGTGAGCCCTGCGACCCTCCCTCTGGCAGCACTGCTGCTGCTGCTGCGTCCACTGGGCTGTATTTCTCCACCTCTCTCCAGTCCCCGTTCAGCTCCCGACCCTCCAGCGTGCCTGGGAGTCCCCGAATCACAGGGTCAGCTTCGGCCATGGCTGCTGCTGCAGCTGCGGCTGCTGGAGCATCTGCTAGTGGTGGCGCTAGTCCCCATTTTGGGTCTGCTGCAGGACTGGCAGCACCAGCAGCAGCAGGGATAGCTTCAGCCGGAGCTGCTGGGATGAGGAGGTCCGGTAGCAGCACGGCCATAGCAGCAGGTCTGGGAATAGGCTCGGGAGGCTCGGGTGGTGCGGGTGGAGGTTCGGGAGGGACAGTGGGAAGGGCAGGTGTCCGAAGGGGAGTGGATGGAAGGGGAGGAGGGGGTGGTGGTTCCCCCGTGTTCCGAGTTCCCTCCAACCTCGATCTTAACAAGCCAACAGGGGAAACCTCACGTCCTGCTACTGCCAGCATCACTCCTGCTGCTGCTGCTACTCGTGCTGGGGCTGGGTCTAGTACCAGAGCAACTAGTACAGAGGACACACCTCTGGGAGTGGAAGCAAGTTTCCGGCCCTGGATGGCCGAAGGGGAGGACTCAGACGGGGAAGAGGAGGGGCAGGGAGGCAGGAGCACCAGGCAAGCAGGCACGGGAGCGGTCACACGGGGTTACACGCCAACATCAGCATCAGGCGCAGCAGGGGCAACGGTATCGGCAACAGCAGGGAGAGCAGCGGCGGCGGCGGCGGCGGCGGCAGCAACGCTGCCGAGTGTGGGGGCACGGCTGAAGCCAGTGTGGACGGAGGGCGGGTCGAGGAGGGCGGTGGCGCTGTCGCTGTCTCCCCCGGCAGCAGCACTCATGCAGCGCCTGCAGCAGGCTGCTGGCGTGGGCCTAGTGCACCTGGCGCTACCCTGCGACCAGTCAGGCTTCATCCTCACGTGAGTGCCATTGCTCACTTGCTCTCCCTGGTCTGGCTCATGCGCAAGGGCCTTCCCTGGCTCCCGGTCTCAGCTGTTCTCTCGGCCCATCCGCCCTCTTGCCCTCACCCTATGTACTGCTCTGCCTGCCCATTGTCCTGTGTTGTTCTCCTCCTCAGCTGGACCACTGAGGTCATGTCAGTTGCACAACTCAGTGATTCCACCTCCCACCTGCTCTCTCACACCGTCCCTCATCTTTCTGTTTTTCTCCTCTCCTCTCCTCCCTCCTCAGCTGGTCATCTGAGGTCATGTCAGTGGCAGAGCCTAGTGACTCCGCCACGCGCCTGCTTGCCCGTGCCATTGACAGCATCGGCTGGTGGAACCCCGCTCGCCGCCATGCTGCTGCCCTCGCCCACTCTCTTGCTGCTTCTGCTGCTGCTGCTGGTGTTACCGCTGCTGCTGCTTCTGCTGCTGCCGGTGCCGCCAAAGCTCCAGTTTCTGGTTCAGGTGGTCTTGCTTCGGCGCCTGGTTCGGCCTCAGCTTCGGCGGCTGATCTGGTCGGGCTTGCTGCCACTCACCATGGAGCCAGCTCCCCCGGGCTTGGTCCAGTGAACGCAGCAGGTTCGGCAAGTGCAAGACTGGCAGCAGGTTCGGGATCAGCAGGCTTGGCAGGGGTGAGTGCTTCGGGTAGTGGCGGCGGCAGTGCGAGGGGCATCAGTGGAACTCCGAGTTCCTCTGGCGCACCTGTCACTGCTGCTGCCACGGCAGCTGTTGCTGCTAGCCCTGCTGGTGACTCCGCTGCTGCTGCTACTGGTGCAGCAGGTGGTGTGAGAGGTGCCGGGCCGCCTGGTGCTACTGGGGGAGCGGTTGGAGGAGCAGGAGGAGGGGGAGGGAGGGGGAGTAGGGGAGCAGGGGAGAAGGCACCGGCGAGTTTGTGGGAGTTGGTGCATGTGGCGAGCTGCTTTGTGGTGGATGGGGTGCTGCATCGCTTCATGGGCTGCCACACTCAGGTATGCCACGTGCTGCTCCTCTTTCAAGCCACCTCAAAAGCAGTCTGTGGGAGTTGGTGCATGTGGCGAGCTGTTTCGTGGTGGATGGGGTGCTGCATCGCTTCATGGGCTGCCACACTCAGGTGTGCCAAGTCTTGTCCTTTTCAATGTATGGGTTGTCACACGTGCTATGCCAAGTGGCTTGCCCTCACTGCTACTTCTCCAAACCCTGGGTTGTCACACGTGCTATGCCAAGTGGCTTGCCCTCACTGCTACTTCTCCAAACCCTGGGTTGTCACACGTGCTATGCCAAGTGGCTTGCCCTCACTGCTACTTCTCCAAACCCATCACTGAGTGTTTCCCCCGACATCCCTTTCTGGCTGCCACTGTTTCCCTGTTTGTCATTTTCCTGCGCAGATCCTGCCGGGCGGCATGGAGGTGAGCACGTATCTCTTCAGCTGCACGGCTCCCGCCGTCCACCTCACAGAAGCTGACATTCGCTGGATGGTGAGTTGGGATGGAGATGGGGTGATTGTTAGAGTGATTGAAGGTTGGAGGGCTGGATTATGGATGGCGCCTGGTGGCCCCCGCCGTCCACCTCACAGAAGCTGACATTCGCTGGATGGTGAGTTGGGGTCGGGTGGTGGCATGCTGGGTGGTGGGTGGTAGGTGGCGGACGGTGGATGGTGGATGGTTGGCTATGCATGGGTGTCGGATGGTGATTTGCATTTGAATGATGGCTGGATGGCTGCCTCGTGGCTCACTGGCGTGTGGCTTCATGCTGCATGCTGGTGGAATCTCTATGTGGGTCATGTTTGGGCACCAAACGGTTGTTGTTCTGTGTGTGCACATTCTGCCTTGCATGCTGGTGGAATCTCACTCTATTTTCTCTTCCATCGAATCTTCTCTTCCATCTTTCCTTGTCTTCCTGCTGCCGACCTGTTTCCTGCCTCTCCGTCGCCCTGCCTCTGCCCTGCAACCACCCACACAGGCATCTTCATGGAGGGATTGCATCATAGTGTGCACGGGCCAACAGGGGGCTCCCACCGCCCTTATACACACCTTTCCTTACCTCTCTGCCTCCGTGCCCTTCCTATTCTGCCTCCCTGCCTGCCTGTAACCACCCACACAGGCATCTTCATGGAGGGATCGCATCATAGTGTGCACGGGCCAACAGGGGGCTCCCACCGCCCTTATACACACCTTTCCTTACCTCTCTGCCTTCGTGCCCTTCCCATTCTGCCTCCCTGCCTGCCTGTAACCACCCACACAGGCATCTTCATGGAGGGATCGCATCATAGTGTGCACGGGCAAACAGGGGCCCCCCACCGCCCTCACAGAAGCTTTTCTGGACACCGGAGCCAAGGCTGTCATCGCTCCTCCTCCTGCCGGTTCCTCTTCATTCCCTGGTCACTTTGCATTAAATGCTGCTGCTGCGGCAGCGGCAAGTGGCATGTCTCCTTGCGTCGACTCTGCCTATCAAGGAGTTGTGGGTTTGGATTTAGCGGCGGCAGCAGCTGGTGGGGATGTGGGTAGGTTGGGGAAGAGGGAGGCCTGGTTGGATGACGTAGAGGCTTGGATTGGCCGGGAGGATCGGGTGTTTGGTTTAGCGGTGGAGAAAGAGCAGGCAAGTGCTAAAGTGGAGGAAGAGAGGTTGGGGTTGTTTTTGAGGGATCTGTACAGTGGGTTGTTTGATGATGGATTCTCGGCTCCTGTAGCTTTGGAGGAGACCCTGAAGGCACATCCGGGGATGAAGTTCTCATGTCATGTCAAGAAAAGGTAAAGTTGTATCAAGAGTATATTCATACAAGATGCTAAACACAAGCCTACCGTGAGTGTTATGAGTATCTGACTATTTTAGCGTATGAACGAGCCGACCTGTACCGCGCAAATGGTTTGCGTTTCCGCGCCAATGCGTGCCAGCGGTGCTTGCTGCGCTGGCGCGCGGCGATGCTGGAATGTCAGGAAACTGCACCAGAAGCATCGCAGATTTTCCATCTCCACCCCACCGATCTCGTCTAAAACGCACAAAACCGCATTCAAATCAGCCCGATTCACCAACAACCTCCATGAACTGCCTTTCTCCTCCTCCTCTGCCACACGCTTCTCCCAATTGGATCATCTCGAGGCAGCTCTGCACTCCCGAGATGGCTCGAGTTTTTCAACTCGTGACTTTCCTTCTGTCTTCAGTAAAACTCTGAGTTCACCATCAGCGTTCCTTTCAGGAACTCGGCTTCTTTATCAGACACGTTTCCGTATCGTGCCTCGCTGCTAATTGCTTAATCCGTCTCCGCTGTTTCGCAACGATCGCCGTCCACCGCGTCTAACTGTAGATCGCGTACCGAACGTCCGAAAAGCGTCATCGAGCGTCTTCGCCGATCGACAACAGATTCTTTCGTCAACAGCTAACGGACTGAACAAAAGAAAGACGCAATGGCCGACTCTGCGAGCGGATCTGCAAGCGCGCCGAGCTCAGATTTCTACACCGCTGCGGGATTCAGAAAGTGGGTCGTCGAGAACAAGATCAAGGCTGTTGGTGAGCGCAACTAAAACCCGTTAGTATCACTATTGTCCCCAAATTTCTGCTGCTCGAAAAAACGAGCAGCGACAAGTTACACCGAACGGATCTTGAAAACGAGTAAAGAATCACAACGATCACGCTTTGGTCTGTTTGCTGCGTCTGGTTGTGACATTAGAGTCTGGTTCTGCCAGTCCATCATGTGATTTATAGACGTTGGCGGTATCATGAATGACTGCGTCAATCCCTATCGCTCGTGGGCTTGTTCCGAGGTTCTCTATGGCAGTGTTCGAATATCAGAAACATTGCTAAAGTAATTTCCACCAAAACTCTCTCATTCACCTCGATTGTGTCCGGCCTCTCAGGTTCACTATGGGCGTCAGCGGTGGGAGGCTCCATTCTGTATAACTTCAGGAAGCCTGGGGAGAAGATGAGCGTCAAGATCATCCATGCGCGGTAAGTTCTAGGAGTGCTGCTGTTCTAGTCTTTGGGTCCTCTCTTCGATAATCATGTGCAGCACTGACATCTCACAGATGACATGTGCCTCAACGCTTCTGCTATTTGCAGCTCACAATTGGCCATGCTTTTGTGTGCTCTAGCGGCCTCCTCAGCTCATTTCTGATTCTTTCCTCATGTATTTCCCACAGGCTACACGCTCAGGCATTGACATTGGCGGCATTGCTGGCTGCTGGCGCTGTAGAATACTACGAGCATGCCTCGGGAGCAAAAGTGGAGAAAGTTGCTGAACAAACGAAATTGCATTGATGTCTCGACATTGAAACGTTATCAGTTCCATGAAGTGCATGCGCAATTCTTTGTACATTAACATTCCACAGTACTCTAGTGGTCAGCTCTCTCTCTACGCGACATTGTGAGGCACATTGGGATGGTAGATGGGAGGTCTGGTCTGGTAACATTATGTTATTTACCGGAGTTCCCTAGTTTGGTGGCCTCATGCCCTGCTGTTAGTGGGTGGTTCCCTGCTAGCAGAGTTCCTCTGCCTTGCCATGCACTCTCTTGCCATGGTAGTTTTTCTTCTGTTTAGAGTACCTTTCCGACTTGCCATCATTCCCTGCTACCGTTTTGTTGTGCTAGCCTCATGCGCCGCTGTTGGTGCGTCACTTAGCAACATCATTCCGTGCTGTTGAGTTCTCCTGTGGCATTCCCTGCTTTTAGTGCATTGTGTTCCTGCCCACATTCCCTGCTGCAAGTGTGTTAATGCCACTACAGTATTATTCCCTGCTGTGGTAATGTGTCCCTACCATCCCTGCTGTTAGTGTGTCCCTGTCATTTTCCCCTGCTGTTGGTGTGTCCCTGCCACTCTTCCCTGTTGTTAGTGTGTCCCTGCCATTCTTCCCTGCTGTTAGGACGCAGCACCTCTAGCACCATCCTGAGATCTACCCTGCGCAGGATCGAAAAGTGGAGGAGTTTGAAATGGCGCTGAAAGCAGTACATGCTTTTGGCAGGTTTCCAGTCCGCTGGAATCAGCGATCCTGAGATCGATCGAGCAAAATTGCTAGAGGTGGCGTGTCCTTAGTGTGTCCCTTCCCTGCCATTCTTCCCTGTTGTGTGTTCCTGCCATTCTTCCCTGTTGTTAGTGTGTCCCTGCCATTCTTCCCTCTCGTTAGTGTGTCCCTGCCACTCTTCCCTGTTGTTAGTGTGTCCCTGCCATGCTCCCCTGTTGTTAGTGTGTCCATTCCCTGCCATTCTTCCCTGTCGTTAGTGTGTCCCTGCCATTCTTCCCTGCTGTTAGTGGATACCTCCTGACCTGCCTGCCCAACCACTCTGTTGTTGTGCCTAGCAGACCCCCTCCAGACCATCCCCTATTGCTAAACCACTTTGCCCCATACCATACCTCCCACCTTACCCACTTCAGTATACCTCATACCATACCATAATGTTGCTCCTCCTACCCTACTAAAAATCCCAAGCATCATGGCCTGGTGTGGATTTTTGACAACACATACTACCGGTATTTAGCCTAATTTGGCAAGCCACGGACTACATCTGCTACAAAGGTAGCACCCTTGGACACCATTCTTCTGTCTTCACTTCCCAACCTGTAGCTGCTTACATAAAGATAGCAGGGGGGCATGCAACAGAGTAAACGGAGTACAAATAAATGTTGCTTGAAAAAGGAATAGGTATGAAATATGTCTTGCATTGTGAAGGGCGTGATCGCATGAAGAATCAAGGGAGGAGTGACAACAGCAAGGAGAAGCAGGATGCGAATGCAAGATCTGATGAGTGCATGTGAGAAGGGGACGAGGAGAGCAGGGTAGTTACGAGCTTACCCAAAAAGCCCAGACCTCCACTTCCAGTGTCTGTGTATGTGCTGCTTCGCTACCCTCCCAAGGACCTGTACCGGCCTTTAATGCCTGGGAAATAAGGGCGTATTCCTATCCTCCTATCAATCTGACCTCCTATCAAGCTCACACTGAAAAATCCCCTATACCCGAAACCTCTCGCTACTTTTCACAGGCAAAAGGTACAATCTTGATAGAAGGTGGCTTGATAGGAGGCCGTAGGAATACGCCCTAAAGTGGGAGAGAGAAGCACGTACGGGTGTAGCATGCAATGAGCGCGGGTAGAAATGTCGGTCCAACCTTCGTACAGGTGGAGATGCACCAGCCCCGGGGATGGGGCCATGCTCACCACTACACCAGGCCCACCACTACACCAGGCCCACCACTACACCAGGCCCACCACTACACCAGGCCCACCACTACACCAGGCCCACCACTACACCAGGCCCACCACTACACCAGGCCCACCACTACACCTCCTCACTGCACCACCGCTGCTTCACAACAAACAGTGAACCACATGCAATTGAAAGGCTCTTCGCAAGAGATTGGTGCAGAGCTTACAGAGTTGAGCATGAGATGGAGCGAAAGGAGAAGAGCAGCATGGAAGGAAAGATGGTGCCAACACGTTGCTACCGTTCGGCCAAAGGATTGAAGGCTGGACCAGAGGGTTGGTGGTGGCCCGACCACAGGGTTTCCAAAGGGTTGGTCGATCAGCCGCAGGGAAAGGATAAGCGTTGACTCACTGGAAGGAGAAGTGTTGATTCACTGGAAGGATAAGCGTTGATTCACTGGAAGGAGAAGCGTTGACTCACTGGAAGGAGAAGTGTTGACTCACTGGAAGGAGAAGCGTTGACTCACTGGAAGGATAAGCGTTGACTCACTGGAAGGAGAAGCGTTGACTCACTGGAAGGAGAAGCGTTGACTCACTGGAAGGAGAAGTGTTGATTCACTGGAAGGAGAAGCGTTGACTCACTGGAAGGAGAAGCGTTGACTCACTGGAAGGAGAAGTGTTGATTCACTGGAAGGAGAAGCGTTGACTCACTGGAAGGAGAAGCGTTGACTCACTGGAAGGAGAAGTGTTGACTCACTGGAAGGAGAAGCGTTGACTCACTGGAAGGAGAAGCGTTGACTCACTGGAAGGAGAAGTGTTGACTCACTGGAAGGAGAAGTGTTGACTCACTGGAAGGAGAAGCGTTGACTCACTGGAAGGAGAAGCGTTGACTCACTGGAAGGAGACGCGTTGACTCACTGGAAGGATAAGCGTTGACTCACTGGAAGGAGAAGCGTTGACTCACTGGAAGGAGAAGCGTTGACTCACTGGAAGGAGAAGTGTTGATTCACTGGAAGGAGAAGCGTTGACTCACTGGAAGGAGAAGCGTTGACTCACTGGAAGGAGAAGTGTTGACTCACTGGAAGGAGAAGCGTTGACTCACTGGAAGGAGAAGCGTTGACTCACTGGAAGGAGAAGTGTTGACTCACTGGAAGGAGAAGTGTTGACTCACTGGAAGGAGAAGCGTTGACTCACTGGAAGGAGAAGCGTTGACTCACTGGAAGGAGAAGCGTTGACTCACTGGAAGGATAAGCGTTGACTCACTGGAAGGAGAAGCGTTGACTCACTGGAAGGAGAAGCGTTGACTCACTGGAAGGAGAAGTGTTGATTCACTGGAAGGAGAAGCGTTGACTCACTGGAAGGAGAAGCGTTGACTCACTGGAAGGAGAAGTGTTGACTCACTGGAAGGAGAAGTGTTGATTCACTGGAAGGAGAAGCGTTGACTCACTGGAAGGAGAAGCGTTGACTCACTGGAAGGAGAAGTGTTGACTCACTGGAAGGAGAAGCGTTGACTCACTGGAAGGAGAAGCGTTGACTCACTGGAAGGAGAAGTGTTGACTCACTGGAAGGAGAAGTGTTGACTCACTGGAAGGAGAAGCGTTGACTCACTGGAAGGAGAAGCGTTGACTCACTGGAAGGAGAAGCGTTGACTCACTGGAAGGATAAGCGTTGACTCACTGGAAGGAGAAGCGTTGACTCACTGGAAGGAGAAGCGTTGACTCACTGGAAGGAGAAGTGTTGACTCACTGGAAGGAGAAGCGTTGACTCACTGGAAGGAGAAGCGTTGACTCACTGGAAGGAGAAGTGTTGATTCACTGGAAGGAGAAGCGTTGACTCACTGGAAGGAGAAGCGTTGACTCACTGGAAGGAGAAGTGTTGACTCACTGGAAGGAGAAGCGTTGACTCACTGGAAGGAGAAGCGTTGACTCACTGGAAGGAGAAGTGTTGACTCACTGGAAGGAGAAGTGTTGACTCACTGGAAGGAGAAGCGTTGACTCACTGGAAGGAGAAGCGTTGACTCACTGGAAGGAGAAGCGTTGACTCACTGGAAGGATAAGCGTTGACTCACTGGAAGGAGAAGCGTTGACTCACTGGAAGGAGAAGCGTTGACTCACTGGAAGGAGAAGTGTTGACTCACTGGAAGGAGAAGTGTTGACTGAATGAAAAGTCAAGAAGTTTACTCACAGGAGCCAATTGAAAAGGTGAGTCTACCAACAGCTGGCAGTTGAAGAGCCACCAACAGCTGCTGCCCCACATTCCCTCCCTCCCCTCCCGCACAAGCCCTCCACACTGGCGCTCCACAGTTGCAACTGGTGTTGCCAGTGTGCCACTCAGCTTCCTCTGCTCCATCACGAGTGGCCTAAAGGGAATAGGGCAGGGCGGAGAACATGGGGCATAGTGGAGGGGAACGGAGGCAGGGCGGAGGGAATGAGGCATAGTAGAGGGGAACGCGGGCAGGGCGGAGGGAATGGGTGCAGGGTGGAGGGAATGGGGGCAGGGCGGAGGGAATGGGGGCAGGGCGGAGGGAATGGGGGCAGGGCGGAGGGAATCGGGGCAAGGCGGAGGGAATGGGGGCAGGACGGAGGGAATGAGGGCAGGGCGGAGGGAATAGGGGCAGGGCGGAGGGAATGGGGGCAGGGCGGAGGGAATGGGGGCAGGGCGGAGGGAATGGGGGCAGGGCGGAGGGAATGGGGGCAGGGCGGAGGGAATGGGGGCAGGGCGGAGGGAATGGGGGCGGGGCGGAGGGAATGGGGGCAGGGCGGAGGGAATGGGGGCAGGGCGGAGGGAATGGGGGCAGGGCGGAGGGAATGGGGGCAGGGGGGAGGGAATGGGGGCAGGGCGGAGGGAATGGGGGCAGGGCGGAGGGAATGGGGGCAGGGTGGAGGGAATGGGGGCAGGGTGGAGGGAATGGGGGCAGGGCGGAGGGAATGGGGGCAGGGTGGAGGGAATGGGGGCAGGGTGGAGGGAATGGGGGGCGGAGGGAAGGGCAGCAGGCGAGCCAAGAAACAGGCATGAGATATACACAAAAGACTTAACACAGAATGGAGGAAACCCGGGGGTGGGGGGGGGGGGGGGGGTGGTGGGACGGGGGTGAAGGAGGCATACAACAAGAACTAAAAAGAAGGACAGGAAGTAGGAGTGTTGAGCAGAATTCGCATGGGAGGGGTGGAGAGCGGTGTTTGCGACCTACTCAGGGGTGTAGAACTGGAAAAAGTGGCATACCTCGATAGGTCACGGCCAGCCCCATACTCTCCCTGGTAAACGCGCTGCCTCCCTTCAGTAGAAGACCCCTCTGCAGTGGAAGGTCCCTCTGCTGTGGAAGGTCCCTCTGCTGTGGAAGGTCCCTCTGCTGTGTCACAAGCTCTCTGGAAGGCGGGCAAAGCGAGCTCCCTACTGCCCACTGCGTTTGGCTCCCAGTTGCTGCTGCTGCTGCCTCTGCTGCCACAGGGAGGGGAGGTTGGAGGAACGGGGGGAAACGGAGGCATGCAACAAGAACTGGAGCACGCAAGCAGCATGGGAAGGTGCAGGAGAGCATGGAAGCAAACGAGCCAAAAGCAGAACGGCATGGCGGGGTTGGGAGGAGCGTGGGAGGCGAAGGGAGTGTGGCGATGGCAGCCCAAGGCAGTTTGGCGGCGAGCGAGCTTGCAGGGGGGGACTGAGGAGGAGGAGGAGGAGGAGGACGCGGGCATGAGGATGAATGCATTCTATTCTAACCCCCTACAACTCTAATCTACATGCGCTCAGCTGCCTTGTGCCACGGCCCACCATCGCCACACGCCCTCACACTCCCACACACAATCGTATTCCGCTTTGAGAAAATTTGGAAATGTATTGCGCGTCAACAGAAGCGAGCCAGGAGAAGCAAACGGAAGTGGATTTTAGAGCACTGAACCAAAGAAGTGAGCCGAGAGAAGCAAACGGTTGAGAATTTCAGACCACTTCACCGGAGTGGCTGTGGCTGAACGGTGTAAATTCTCCTCCAACCCGACTCTCTCGTCCGTCCACGATTCGCCACCCGCTGATCGGGTGCTCCGTTGCTCACAGGTCGCTCGTTCGCAATGGGCGAGGCCTATCCCTCGCCATCCCTCCCTCGTTGTTCACTGCTCGGACGGGGAAACGAGGAGGCATGCGAGAAAAACTGGACCAAGAAAGAAACTCGCAAAGGAAGAAGAAGTGAGAGGTATCGAGAGAAAACAAGTACATGGCAGCACAACGTGGGAGGGGTTGGGAGGAGAGTCGGAAGCGAAGGGAGTGTGGCGAATGGCAGCCCGTGGCAGTTTGGCAGCGAGCGAGCTAGCAGGGGGGGACTGAGGAGGAGGAGGACGCGGGCATGAGGATGAATGCATTCTATTCTAACCCCCTACAACTCTAATCTACATGCGCTCAGCCGCCTTGTGCCACGGCCCACCATCGCCACACGCCCTCACACTCCCACCCGCACTCGCACAATTTTCGAAAAGGTTTGGAATTGTATTGTGCGCGAACAAAAGCGAGACAAGAGAAGCGGGAGTGGAGTCGGGAGCACTTCACCGGGAGTGGCAGTGGCTGAACGCTCTGGCTGAACGGCATTGCCTCTCCTCCGACTCTCTCGTCCGTCGCCCGTCACTGAGGCGCGTCGCTCGCAATTGGGCGTGGTTGTTGAGGACTGGTGTTGACTGGCGTTGACTGGTGTTGACTGGTGTTGACTGCTGTTAACTGGTGTTGACTGACGCTTACTGCAGCCACCGCTCTGCGGCTCTGCTACCTGCAATCCATTCGCCTTGAGGCCAGAAGGGGGACAAAGGCACAGGGAGAAGGAGATGCAAAGGAAAGGGATCGGCCTAGGAACTTGAAATGAGTGGGAGCAGCAAGAACGTCAAGGTGGCAATAGAGCAGAAGCTGTGGACCATGGCGAGGTGGGAGGAGGGAGGAGGGGGGAGGGGGAAGGCGCATGGCTACAGTGGCCCATGGAACTACAGCAGCGAACTGAGCCAGCGAGGGGGGACTGGGGTAGAGAGGGACGCGTGCATGGCATGAATGCACTCCCTCTCCCTCTAATCTCTCCCACCACTCCCACTGCACTGCACTCTACATGAGCTCTGCTGCCATAGCACCATGAACCACCACCACCATGCGCCAAGAAACAAATGTGCTTTGAGAATTGCAAAGAGTGAAAGAGACGGATGGGGAGCGATGGGGGACGAGGGGGGGAAGAGGAAACTTAGCTAGGGAGAAGCGTAGGGGTTGAAAGTGACTCGTCCGAGGGAGGAGCAGCAAGCAGCAGCATCACCATTCCGCACACCGTCGCACGCAGCAACTAGCCATTCCGCACGTCACCGACGCCGCCCAGCAACTCGCCATTCCGCGCAATGTCGCACACAACTCATATCGTCGCCGTTTCGCACACCGTCGCGTCACCATTCTGCACATCGTCGCGTCGCACCCAGCTCGCTGCAATTCCGCCTGCACTCCATTCGACCTGAGGCCAGAAGATGGATGGGGAACAAGGCACGGCGAGAAGGAAATGCAAAGAGATTGGCGTAGCGCAGGAAATTAAGCTAGAATGATGAAGCGGCAAGCATGACGTGGAAATTTATGAGCATTGGGAAACTTGAAGCAGATGGCAGCACGGCACAGGAGAGGTTGGGAGGAGCGTGGGAGGCGAAGGGAGTGTGGCGATGGCAGCCCGTGGCAGTTTGGCAGCGAGCGAGCTTGCAAGGGGGGACTGAGGAGGAGGAGGACGCGGGCATGAGGATGAATGCATTCTATTCTAATCCCCTACAGCTCTTTCTACATGCGCTCAGCTGCCTTGTGCCACGGCCCACCATTGCCACAAGCCCTCACACTCCCACAGAAAGACAACACAATTTAGAATGAATCTGAAACGGGAGTGAAGTTCGGAGCACTTAACGAGAAGTAGCTGTGGCCGAACGGCAAAGCTTTTTCATCAACGCTCTCGTCCGTCGCTGGTCATGGAGGCGTGTCGCTCGGCACTCGTTGCGCGCCGTTTGCCGTGCGTCGTTGCTCGCTGGTCGCCGGTTTCGGTCGGACGTCTCACTCGCGACGCCTTCCGTCTCCCGTCGTTCGCTGCTAGTCGTCCATCTCTCGTCTTCCGTCGCTTGCCATCCGTTCGCTGCTCGTCGTACGTCTGTCGTCGTTCACTTTTCGTCGTACATCTGTCGTCGTTCGCTGCTCGTCGTACGTCTGTCGTCGTTCGCTGCTCGTCGTACGTCTGTCGTCGTTCGCTGCTCGCCGTCGGTCACTCGTCGACCGTCTCGCGTCAAGGCTCATCTTCCGTTTTGCTGTCCGATTGAACGACGCTGACACTTGATAGCTGAAAGCTCGATCTCGCGTCGACCAGACGAGATTCAGCAAGATGCGGCGCTGCGATTCAGCAAGATGCGACGTTGCGATTCACCAAGATGCGACAACTCTAGTCATTCGGCGATGCTAGGAAATTAATCACCACCACACTCCTTTGATGCTCCGTCCGTTCCGCACTCCCAGCCAGGGCGCGACGTCTCCCGTAAGCAGGACGCGATTCAATAAAATGCGGAATTTCTCGGCTTGAGCAGACGTGATTGATATCGTGAAGGCGAGCATTACCAGACCAAGCATCCTGGAAAAACTGCTACAACAGCTCTGGCATACATTTGAAAGGAGGGGTTCAAAATCCTTGGGAACTTGAAAAGTTGCCCCAAAACTGTGAGTCACACTGTAAAACCCTCAACCTTACTGACAAATGTACACTGGAGCTTTAACAAAGGTTCGACTTCCTCCTTTTTCCAATATAACCAGTAGAGCCAATCGCTACCACGCTCCTACTGCTCCAGTCCGTTTTCACTCCAAGTTGCTAAGGCTAGATCGTTGAGACAGGTGGAAACTACTAGCGTCGCTTTTTCGAGGTAACAGCTGTCGCGGACGTCTAACTGCTTTCGTCAACGCAGTCGCCTCACCTCAGAGTACGAAACGAGAGAATCTACTTCCGAGCGATCAAGGAGATATGCACCGATTGATAAGTCCGAAGGTTCTTCCGACTCGGAATAAAGATCTATAATGAAGAATGATACGATTGAGGTCGGTGCTTCCCGTCGAACGACCCGCTGTTCAAGCCCTAGACGGCGATATTAAGAATTTAACAAGGTGATAAGGCTAATAGGATGTCACCCGCCCAAAAACTCAAAGAATGCGACGACGCCATGGAAACGAGTGTGAGATGAATTTTCGAGGTTCAGGGAAAGAACTGGAATGGGCTGGTGGCGATAGTGGCAATTCCTAGGGACGGAGCAAGAAGGGAGCAATTGCTGGCTGGTGGGTGAATGTGCGAATCTCAGCGGGGTGGTGGCTGGTGGGTGATTGTGTGAATCTCAGCGGGGTGGAGCAATTGCTTTCTGCTGCTTAGCCAAACACGGCGGACCTTATGGTTGTCAGTTCGCATGGCTGGAAGTTGGCGAGAGGATTCTGCTTCGCCAGGGGAAGATCAGGTCCTGCCGAGCACGACACTTGTTTCGTGAGCAGAGTTACCGAAAATCGCCGAGTTTGAGCAAAGCAGGTTTTGGCGTCTTTGCGCGGGAGCCGCCTCATTGATTGGTGGCACCTGACAGCCGTGCCAGTGATGGCGGGAAATTTGTTCAGGTATTGTACACCTCACGATCAACTCAAATCGAACGGTTCTAAGGTGTTTTCCGAGTTCTCAATTTCCATTGAGCTTTTTAGTCGAGTGCATAATTTTTTGCACTCTTGCTTCTGTAGAGGTTCCACGTTTATGGAATCGTGATTCTGGACGAATGCCTTTTTATCGAATGCAGCCCGTGTTGCACGCTTGGGGTTTGGTGCCTCTGTACTGTATTGATGGATTCTCCTCCACAAGTTGGTGCCAATGGGTTGGATGGAAGCATCCTAAAAAAGTTCAGCCCATCGGGCAGACCGTTGTTGACTTTACTGGGAGCGAGCGATCGGTAATGCCGCCAGTCTGGGCTGTCAGCTCCGTTGGGAAGCATGTTGGAAAAGTTCACAAGCTGACCTGATCCAAGATACAGCGCTTGCCGCCGCCGTCCAAGCCCAACCCGTGTGAGAGATTTCCCCCAACCCAACAACCCATACGTGAGGAAGAGAAGCCAACACAGCCCAGCACCGATCAAACAAGACTGGCAATCACAATGTCTAAACAAGACACTTCGACCCGAGTAATCTTGGTTGAAGGAGCTGGAACTCGTTGGTAATGGAGTGGGATCATTTCGTTCTCTTGACACCTCTTCAAACACACGACTACTTAGCTGCCGTGCGGCCTGTTCATAGTCGTAGGTAAAGCTCTCGAATTCGCTTTGAGTTGCATGAAGCGGACGAAGATGCTTGTGAGGGCAATCCAAGATTCTCCGTTGCTGCTTGGGATGGAACGCCTCGTTCCAGCATTAGTTCTGTCATCAGACGGCAAAATTCTAGGTTGCACTCCTGCTTTTTGCAAGATAGTAGGCTTGGCGGAGGAGGAAACTGTAGGCAACAATTTCTTGAACTTCGTACATGGAGATGAGAGGGATTGCGTCCAGGTAAAGCATCCTTAGCGATATCAGTTTCGTTCGCTGAAATAGCTTTTCTAATTAGGTTGTTTAATGACGCAGAGTGCACTTGGGGTGGGGCAAGAGAGAACATGTATTGACCTGCGAATTTCTCGCCACTTGGCCGACTTCGCATGGTTCGAAGCGAAGCTGACAAGATGCGGACGTAACGGCGAGCCGTCACAGTTCGTTTGTGTATTTCACGACATATCGCGATGGAGAAGAGTCGAGGTCAGGAAATCGTTTTGTACGAGCCTGTTATGACTCTTCTCTGCGCACTTACCATAGCCCTGTTTCTACGCAGGATATTGCTCAGAATGCTCTCAAAGAGTGTTTCGCTCTTGCTAGTTCACGGTCGAATGCATATCAGGAAAAAGCGTCTGCAGCAAGTGACAAGGGTCTTCGGGAGCCAGTGTCCCAACTGAAACTAGCCCTTGAGGCTGGGTTGGAAAGCGAGAAATTTAGACGGATATTTGAGATGTCCATGGTGAGTTCTTGCTTAATTGGTCATGGGTTCACTTTTCTGGACGTCAGAGCATAAGCGTAGCGTGGCCGTCACTTGCCTGAGCAGGACCCGATATTCTTGATAGGAGAAGACACAACGGTACATCAGTGTAACGAGGCTGCTCTTCGCATTTTGAAGCTCAACGACATGTCCGAGATTGTACAGAAGCTCACGGTGCCGATGGTGTCTCCAGAATTTCAGCCAGATGGCTCGAGGACACTAGAAAAGCTCCAGGGGTTTTGCCAGCCTTTGTTCGCTGGAGAAACGGTCACGGGAGAATGGTGGCACTACAATGCAGAGGGGACGCTCTTTCCAGTTCTTGTGAAAGTTCAGGTACATGCTTGTTTGTGCATCATGGTCGCTTGGCTTGGTCTATTTTCTCCAGGCCTAACCAAATGTGTTCGTTTTATTGCTACAGAATGTCGTTTCTAATGGGAAAAACTATATGGTCTGCGTATGGCATGACCTGACTGAAATCAAGAGACGTGAGGCTGAGTTAGAGAAAGCGAAGGAGGCTGCAGAGGCTGCTAGCCAAGCCAAGAGCCAGTTTCTGGCTAACATTAGCCACGAAATCAGGACACCCATGAATGGTTGGTGATTGTTTCTTGAATCCGCCTGGAATGCCTTCTTTTTAGGAATTCAACATTCTTACATCATTTATAATGCTTCATGTTGAGTATGCTGCCAGGCGTGATTGGCGTTACTGAACTGCTCCTAAGGACCGAATTGACAGAGGAGCAACGATCATACCTGGAGGTGGTTCGCTCATCAGGAGAGACTCTTCTAAATATCATCTCTGATGTGCTTGATATCAGCAAGATCGAGGCTCGTTCCATAGCGTTGGAATCCATACCCTGCAGCCTCAGAGAAGCCATTGATGAATCACTGTCCTCAGTTCGGGTGTTAGCACTGCAGAAGGACCTAGAGGTATGCCACACTTCCGCACTCCTTGTTGTCCAGTATATTTTTTCTCAACCACGATTATTCCTCCAACTGTTTCTTTCTTCTGCAATGTCAACAGCTCAACGCTTTTGTCGAGGATGCCCTTCCTTCGGAGGTCATTGGAGACCCTACCAGGATTCGCCAAATTTTGCTCAACCTGCTTTCCAATGCAATCAAATTCACCGAGAGGTATTAAGATTGGGAGACGTTGCTTCAGTGTGTGTGTGTGTGTGTGTGTGTGTTTTTGTTTTCTTTTGTTTTGTTTTTCTTTCTTTGTGGCAATATTGACTTCCATTTGTCAACAGTGGCAGAATCGAACTACGAGCCTTTATCAAGGACCCCAAGGATTCGCTGACAGTCCATCCCCGTCTGTCACCATGCACTTCATCCTGTCAGTAAGGAACTTTGAATCTACAAGGAAGGATTTAGTGGTGAATTTGTCCTAATTGTTTCTTCTTGTGACAATGACAGGGGCGGAGGGTAAGGAGCCTGGAAAGCGGATCAGGTTACTGGGTGATGCTAAGGATTCTACGCAGAGAAGTGACCCCACGATCTCTCTCATTCAATTTGAGGTGTCTGACACTGGAATTGGAATATCTGAGGACATGATTCCGACGCTTTTTCAACCGTTCACACAGGTATGTGCACAATAATGTGGCTGGATTTTGGCAGTTTGAAGTGTTCTATTAAAACAATTGTTGTTAATACATATCGAATTGTTTTTACAGGCAGATGAGTCAACCTCAAGGAAGTACGGAGGCACAGGGCTGGGCCTAGCTATCTGCCAGTCCCTTGTGACCCTCATGGGCGGTAAAATATCAATCTCGTCCACACTTGGTCAAGGCTCAACGTTCTCCTTCACACTGCCATTTCGAGTACCAGAGACAGCTTCAGGCCCACCACCAGAGATTTCTCCTCGGATGCTCACCTCAGGAAGGAACAATTTTGTTCCTGGACTTGCAGAAGCATCAGTGCACCTTCCTCCCCTGCATGTCTCAATACCCCATTCAACCTCCCTGGAGTCCCCGTCTCCTTTGGTAGAGCTGCGCTCGTTTGCAGGGCTGAGGTGTCTGGTGGTGGAGGACAATCCGGTGAACCGAATGGTGGTGGTGAGGCTGCTGGGCAGCCTGCAGGTCACCTGTGACGTGGCAGAGGATGGGGTCAAGGCGGTGGAAGCATGCCAAGCCAAGGAGTATGACGTCATCTTCATGGTGAGTCTGTCAGCTGGTCTAAATCTGGAGAGCTGGAGGTTAAAGAGGTGGGGGAGATGGGGGCGAGGGGAAGGGGAAGGGGGGGAATGGGGGCAATGATGGCTTGATTTGTCATGGATTAGTCATGCAAAGAGGCTGGCGTATTTGCTTTCATTGTTCTCTTGTTACCTATGTTTGAAATATTTTGCAGGATGTTCACATGCCAAAGATGGATGGGTTTGAGGCTACGCAACAAATCCGCCAGCTTAAGCATGATCCAGTGAACAGAATTTGCCCAGAGTGCTGGAAGGGAAGTGATTTTCAAATGACCTGTTTTTTCAAGCCTTACCATTCCCTGAGCCGGCCCGTGATCGTAGCATTGACAGCAAGTGCCCTCCAGCATGATCGTGACCAATGTGGCCAGGCTGGAATGGATGCCTTCTTGACCAAGCCAGTGAGGTTACAGCATCTTTTGAGTGTGCTTGAACCTTGTAGTTTGTTGCAAGGTGGTTGTGAGGATCATGCTGCTGAGCAGGATGACTTGGAGTGAGTTTTTTTATACCAGTACTTGCAATGTGTATATTCTAGTTTTATAGACCTCAGAACTTCATTTCGCTGTTCGGAGCGCGAACTCTATGGCATGTACTCTCGCGAACCAACAAACCTCAACTAACTCGGGGCCAGTTTGGATTGCCCATCGGAACGAGGGGAGGGGAAGCATCAGAGAAATCTAGGGTTCACAACAAAGACGTGCACCACCTGAAGTTGGCCTGATTGGCACAACTTGGCCTGGTTGGCATAACCACCGCAGAATGCCGCACTGAGCCACGTGTGCAGCGATCAGCGGCGCAGATTTATCTGCTCCAACCTCCCTTACCTCCATTGTCAACCTCGAGCTCCTCTCCACAGTAATTGATGGCTGGTGCTTGTCGTTCTTGAGCAGAGCGTCGCTGTATCAGATTCAGCAGTGATAAGGCAGAGAAGAGCAACCCCTTACAGCATGGAATCCCCAGGCAGCATCAAATCAAGAGGAAGTCGTATCTCCCTCCATGAATGACCTTCGAGCAAGGATCGAGCAATTCCCAGGCAACAGAACAAGCCTCCTCTGGAGGAAAGTATTCCACATTGTTTATGACCCGAAGTGCGAATCGTACACCAAGGTTTGGGAGGCAGGTTGACCCCTTTTCTGTGATTTGATGCTGGACACTTCTCAACCGGCGGGCCATCCTTGACTGCTTGGCGAATTAACAGTTCCTTTGCTCGTTTCTTGACTGGTTCCTCCATAACCAGGAAGGATAAAATGGCATTGCGTGACTCACAACAGCCGGCGCTTTCAGATGTAGCTTGCGTCGCCCTTATATCTACGCACGGGGATATAACAGATTGCAGGTGTGCTGCTGCACGTGCTCCAGTATTTCGCAACGATGCATCAACATTACTCTTCACGGTTTTACCGTTGAGAGATTCTTGACTGTTTTTTTTCCTGCAGTTCGGCGTTTTGTAAAGTGCTTGGTTATGACCAGTGCGATATCATCCATCGTCCGTTCGAAGAGATCATAGATTGCAACCACAGGAGCCGTTTTCAGGCACGTACATCCATCTCCGAGTGTCTGTGCACTGTGTCCCCTAGAGAGTACCATATAGGCGCCGTCCCTTGGATTGTATCAGTAAAATCTCAAATCATGATCTCTTGATCCAAGCTTGTGTTGCCGTTTCATTTCCCACAGAGTGCACTGAAGAAGGCTCTCCAAAAAGCAGCGTTCGAGCTTCGCCTGAGATGTCACAATGGCGGCACTGCATGGTTCGATGTCTCCATGAAACCGGTCCTAGCAAATTCCGCGGATGGGCCAGTCTCGTCATATTGTTGCGTGTTCCATGACATCTCCACGCGGAAAACTGCTGAAGTACGTAGCGACGAAACCACTGCCTGCACATTGTGTGTACTCTGTATTTTTTTTCACTGTACCTCTCTCTCGGTTCTTCTTTTTTCCTGTTTCCTTTTTGCCTTTTATGAAGCATAAGGAATACCTCGTGAGGCAAGCTGCTCTGATCTGTTTCCTTTCTGACCTTACCACTTCTAGTAGTCTGTCCAACTTAACTGTAACTGTTACAGGAGCAACTATTGGGAGGGCTCAGAAGGTGCTTCAAGCTCTGCGGAGCATCATTTGGAGAGTTTGATCCTCCGTCATTGTTTGAAAATCCAGATACCTTTCTGCACCGGCTGAAACTGGTTGAAGAGACTCTTAAGACAGGGCAGGAGAATGAGAAGTTCAGAAGAATATTTGAAATGTCCATGGTAAGGCTCACGTTAATGTGTGCAATGGAATAGATATCAAGCCTGTGAGAATTGGGGTTACACTGCATGTTGGATCCTAGAACTGGCACTTTCCACCACATTTGTGATGCTTTTTATCTACTTTAATCCGTTGCATGGAGCGTCCTCCGTGCCTCAATCCCTCAACCTGCTTGCCTCAGGACCCGGTTTTCATCGTTTCTGACGACATGGTAATTCAGGAATGCAACGAAGCAGCCGTCAAGATCCTGAAATTCAAGGATAAATCCGAGATTGCAGGCAAGGTAGACGTTGCCAGCCTGACGCCCGAGTTCCAGCCAGACGGGACAAGATCTGCCGACAAGTTGGCTCAGTTCAGCCGCCCGGTGCTCTCAGGAGGAGGCTCTGCCATTGGCGAGTGGTGGCACTATGCGTCGGATAAAACCCTCATTCCGGTCCTAGTAAAAGTTCAGGTGCGCTAGGTTCGTGAGTTCAGGGTGTGGCATGTGTGATGTGGTCTGGGGCATGGTCCCTGAAGTGTGCTTGTTGCGCGGGATCATGGGCACTGGATTACGTGGGTCTCTGTCTTCTCATTTCAATCACCTACACTACACTACACCCCTCCCAACCCCTCTCTCCCTGCACGCACACCTCTCCCACCCCACCCTGCCCCTCCCTTCTCACCCCCCATCCCTCCCTCCCCCACACGCTTCCCCCCTCCCCCACACGCTAACCTGGCAGTGCGTGCAAGCCAACGGGCGCAGCCACTTTGTGACCGTGTGGCACGACCTCACAGACATAAAGCAGCACGAGCAGGCGCTGCTCAAGGCGCGGGAGAACGCGGAGCGCGCCAACGCGTCCAAGAGCGAGTTCCTCGCCAAAATCAGCCACGAGATCCGCACCCCCATGAATGGCGTCATCGGTGTAGCAGACCTGCTGTTGCAAACCCCGCTGAGCAACGAGCAACGGTCGCTCCTCGAGGTGATTCACTGGGGGCTTGCTGTCAGGGAACTCACTGTCTGGGGATTATATCCGGTGTGCTGGATATTGGCAAGATGCTTTTGTGTCGACTCAAAAGTGTATGAGGCGTGCTGGATAGAAGCAAGATGGAGGCTCAGTCGGTGCTTGTTTGTTGTCGTCAATGCAGGTAATCCGCACGTCGGGGGACTCGCTGCTGAGGATCATATCGGACGTGCTGGATATAAGCAAGATGGAGGCGCACTCGCTGCAGCTGGAGGCCGTTCCGTTCAACCTGCGGGCTGTGGTGGCTGAAGCGGAATCGACCGTGCATGTGCTCGTGCTGCAAAAGGGCATCCAGGTGTCTGCTCTGCTCTCTGTCTCGCTCGCAGCCCTGGATCTCCCTCCCCCCTTTCTGTGCTTCCTGTTTCTTGAAGGATTCTCCCCATCCCCTGCTGCATCTCATTCCTCTGCTGCCACAATTGCTTCTCCTGTTCCGCCCTCACATGATTCTCACACTTGTGCCAGTCTGTCTCCTCCTTTTTTTTGACATGCACAGGTCTCTTCCCTTCTCCCTTTCTTACCCTTCACACGTCTCCGCCCACCCCTCCCTCTTACTACGTACATGTCTCCTCCTATCTTTTCCTCATGCACGGACATGCCATGCTGCCCGCCCTGCATTCAGCTCCTCGTTGACGTGGATCCAGCCGTGCCCTCGCTTGTGGTTGGGGACCCCAGCAGGCTGCGCCAGGTGCTGCTGAATCTCCTCTCCAACGCCATCAAGTTCACTTCCAGGTAAGTGCTTGACCTGTCGAGTCGAGGCATGCGTTTCCTCTCGGGCACGTCAGGCTGGGCAGTCAGAGTGCAGGACAGAAGAGATGTGCATGTCGTGAATGGAAACATAAGGATTCTTCATTCTCAGGTGTTTTTTGTTGAATTCAACTCCACGTGCTTGCTGATACATATTAACAACCCGTGTTCCCTTTTCCTTGCAACAGGGGCCATGTGAAAGTGCGTGTGAGCCTGTCAATAGCAGCTGAAATTCTACCAGCGTCAGCACAGCCAGATGCAGTGAAAGCTGACCCACAAGCCTTGTCAGCAGAACAAGGAGCAGCCTCAGCAGAGCCCGAAACTGCGTCAGCGAATCCTCGTGCATCGTCACTAGAACCCAAAGCATCTCCGACAAAACCCAGCCGAAAGAGAGTGTTATGGGGAACGGGTGAAGGGATGGCAGGATTAGAGGATGATGCGAAGAAGAGGGCGAGATCTGAGGAGGGGGGGAAGGGGGGCGACAGGGCAGGATACGAATTTGGAAAGAAGAGTGATTCCTTGCAGAAGCAGGCGTTGGAAAGACTAGGTGCTGCAAAGATGGCAGGAATGGGGACTTCTAGAGCTGGAAACGGGTTCCAAGAACATGGCAGTGTGCCAGAGGAGAGAGAGAGAAACGGCGAGGCACGAGTACCAAGTGAAGGAGGTTGCTGCGAGCATGTGTCTGCTGGGCCGTCAGCTGATGCAGATGTTCCACAGGAGGAGCAATCAGGCCCGTCAGCAGCAACAGATGTTTCACAGGAGCAGCGAGGTCGGCCAACAGCAGCAGAGGTTTCACGGGAGGAGCAATCAAGTCCCTCTATGGCAGCAGCAGGCATGGCTTTTGAGGCGTCTCAAGAGTTGAGTGCGCTGAGTGCTGGCCTGGCACCCGCCGCGGGTGTGCCACGGGAGCAATCAGATCCATCAGATCCATCACCAGCAGCGGCAGTTGCTGTTTCACCGCAAGAGCAATCACACCCACCTGTATTAGCAGATGCTAACCTTGCAGCTGAAGGCTCTGCAGGGAAGTCACAACATGAAGACATAGCCAGAGCAACCAGCTCGGAGAAGCAAGCTGCATCTGCATGCCTTCCTGAGAATGGCAATTTGATGATCAGGTCCCTTTCCCTGGAGAAGGCGCGGGCAATTACAGTGTGCTTTGAAGTGACAGACACTGGGATCGGCATTCCACAGCAGATGCTGCCAAAGTTGTTCCAGCCTTTCACACAGGTGCGGCCACGCAGCTGATGGCCCTCACTTCGATCACCCCCTAATCTTATTCCTTGTTTTCCCTGCCTGTATATCTCCTCCCGCGCTTTCTTCACTCGTGTAAGCACACCGAACGAGTTCCGTCCTTGTTTTCTCTTTTGCCAGTGACCCTTTCATCTCGCTGAGGTTGTCTGGTTGGCCCCATTCCTCTTCCGTTTTCTGTTCCTCCCTGCTCCTCTCCTCTCCCTCCATCCCTTTCCTCTTCCCCTGCAGGCGGACAAGTCCACCGCGAGGAGGGACGGAGGCACGGGGCTGGGTATCGCCATCTGCAGGTCTCTTGTGTGGCGCTCATGGGAGGCACCATTTCCGCTTCCTTGCACTCTCTCCCGCTGCCTCACCCCCTAAACCTCAAACCCTGCAGGCGGACAAGTCCACCTCAAGGAGGTACGGGGGCACGGGGCTGGGCTTGGCCATCTGCAGGTCGCTAGTGACGCTCATGGGGGGCACCATCTCCGCCTCCTCCCGCCCAGGCCATGGCTCCTGCTTCTCCTTCGCCCTGCCCTTCACTCTCCCCACTGGGAGCTGCTTCGATTCCCCTGAGGTCACGGATACTTGTGCTGTTGCTAAGTGTGGTGGAGTCACAGGGAGTGTCGCAGCTGCAGGTGGGACAGGTGGGGCAGTTAGGGCAGTTGGGGCCGGTGGGGCAGGTGGGGCAGGTGGGACTGCAGGAGCGACTGTGGGAGAAGGCCAAGTACAGATGCCTGTTCCATGTGACTCCCCTGTACCTGACAACCATCTGTCAAGCCGGCTACATCCAGCCACTTCCGTACCATTCCTCTCTCCGTGCACTCAGCTCCCAGCTGCCACTGCCAGTAGCGGCAGCGGTGCATACACACTTTCACCTGCCAATTCACCTGAGCTCTCCGCTCTGCCCTCATCCACAGCTCCACCTGCCATTCCACCTACTATGGCGGCATTGGTTCCTCACGGTCTTGCACCCAGAATCTCTAATCCCCCATCACCATTGACAGCACCATTGGCAGCACTGTTGGCACGATCAGCAGCACTGTTGGCAGCGCCAATGGCAGCACCATCAGCAGCACCATCAGCAGCATCATTGGCAGCATTGCCTCATTCGGCCTCTTGGGAGTCCTTTTCTCTAGTGGCAGCGGCGGCAGCGGTGCGCTCCTCTTCTCCATCGGTAGAGCTGCAATCGTTTGCCGGGCTGAGGTGTCTGGTGGTGGAGGACAATCCGGTGAACCAAATGGTGGTCGTGAGGCTGCTGGGCAGCCTGCAGGTCACCTGTGACGTGGCAGAGGATGGGGTCAAGGCCGTGGCAGCATGCCAAGCCAAGGAGTATGACGTCATCTTCATGGTGAGATGCGGTGGGCAATTATGGTAACTACGATATAGAGTTTCAGCTACATGCAACTGTTGCCTTTTTGTGGTTGTTACGATACAAACTGCGGTGGTCCCTCGTCTGCGGTGGTCCCTTTTCTGTGGTTCAGGGTCTTCCGCCTTCGATGTCCTTTGGGATCATGCGGTTGGTTCAGTAACCAGTTGTTTCACTCCTCCCTCACTCGTCTCTTGCTCTTGCCTGGAATTTCTTTTGCAGGATGTGCACATGCCCGAAATGGATGGGTTTGAGGCGACTAGAAGGATTCGCGAGATTTCTGATACAAACAGCGGCGATTCTTCAGCTTCTGGAAGGCAGTCAGGGCATGGTGCAATTGTTAGCAGCAACGACATGTACTTCTTCAATCCTTCAAGGACGCTAAGCAGACCGTTAATCATTGCACTAACGGCAAGTGCGCTCAATCATGAACGCGACAAGTGCGCACGTGTAGGAATGGACGCTTTTCTCACGAAGCCAGTCCGTCTTAAAGATTTAGAAGCTGTGCTTAGACCCTGCTTTTCCCATGGTTTTAAAAGGACGTGTGCATGAGTGCCGAGAGCATGGGATGGAACACATTGAGATGGTGCACTAGGAAGCTTCCCTCGTGCACCAGGATTTGGCATGTGGGCAGGCATGTGGAAATGAAGTGAAAGTTGTAAGCTCTGGACCTCTGGCCTGGCCTGGTTTCACATCTTGGCCACCTGGGAGTAAAGGTCAGGATGACTCAGCACTGACCAAGAACCCAAAAGTCCTCATAGGGTAACAAGAGATCAAGTTAGATAATAATGTAGAATTCACGTTACCTCCAGTAACAGCGCTACCAGGTCCAATAATGTAAGGAATTTTCCTAATTCCTTACTGAGGCACCGCTTACGCGTACATTTCCAAATTTCGGAGTTCAGGCTCGGTCCGACGACCTCGCCTCCCGAACGTCCTCCGCGTCGCCTTCGGGTTTCCCAAACCCAAACCTACACCCAACCTCGCACGACTTCGCGACCTCAGGCTTAGCTAGCCTTGCTATATTATGCCTAGGCCCCGATGTTTGCTCAGTAGTTGTAATCACTTCCGCGATATTGCATTCTGCGCACTCTTCTTTCATACAACTCATAACACCTGGTATCAGAGCTACTTTCCTAGGTTACCCTCCACTTTCCGGGGTAGTTTAGTACGGGGGTGCGATAGGTTTGGTGGGCTGCAAAGCGGTCGGCTGAGAGATAGATACGATTATCTCGCTCCGACTAATAGCGTTTGCGCCTTCATCAAAACCAGAAAAATCGTTGTTAACCCCCTGCCCGTTAGACGAAGCCTGCGACACATGGACCAGGCGGAGTTAAACGAGCTCATGCAACAGTTTCGGGCGCTGCAGGCCAACATGCAGACTATGTCTGGCGAGTTGGAGCGCCTGAGGGAGGAAAACGCCGAGCTACGCCAGACGCGAGGTGAAGCGCGTCAGGAGTCGCCCGTCGTGGATGAAGCAGGGAGCAGTTTCGTGCCTAACGACGAGGTCCTCAGCGAGCTACAGAACTCGCTGGACGCTGAAGACGAGCGGGCAGCACGAACGCGACGAGCACAAGGGACGCAGGAACAACAGTCACAACCGAGGCAACAGTCGCAGACGACGCCACGACAGGCAACAGCGACAATCCCGGTGATGGCTTCAATGGCGCCCCCGATGCATGCAACAGCAACAGCCTCAACAACTGTTAAAATTAAACCGACGAACCCGCCCCCGTTCAATCCCAGCGACAAAACCGTCACTGTGTCAGCTTGGTTGTTCGGCGTAGAGGTGTTTTTTAATGCTGCGCAAATTGCTGACGATGCTACCCGCATTAATTTTGCAGTGTCACTATTACGAGGACCGGCGTTGGAATGGTGGAAGCGAACTCTTCAGCCAGAGGGGGCTCCGGCAGGGATATCACGTGCGAACGACGGGACCTGGACAACTGTCACGCAACAGGCAACTGCAATCTTCGGAGTGGCCACGATACGCACATGGACGGAGTGGGGCGCCGCGCTGCGAAGAAGATTCGAGCATGTATCCGCCTCGGATTCTGCTCGCATGAAGCTGCGTACCTGGAAGCAGGTGGCGTCGGTCCAAGATTACACAGCGACGTTCTGCAATTTGGCTGACCAAGTGGACGACATGAGCGACGCGAAACGACTCGACCGATACGTCGCAGGCCTCAAGTACGAAGTACAGTACAAGGTGCGACGGGCGAGGCCACGCGTATTTATCGAAGCCGTCCGGGTGGCCGAATCAACGGATGCGCTGATGCAATGGGCGAGAATGAGTTCCCGGGAGGGCACTCAATTCCGCGGACCGCCGCGCCAGCCCACAATCAACGGGGTGGATGCACCGAGGCGGGGAAACAACAACTGCTTCATCTGCAACCAACCGGGCCACTGGAAGAAGGACTGCCCGAAGCTGAAACAGGGAAACAGGAACGACGGAGAGGGGTCCGGAAAAGAGACGAGTCAGTAGCAGTCGGGCCACCTACTGACGAGACCCCGTCGCCCGGCAATCAACATCCACACCGAGTGGTGGTACCGATACGGGCTATCGGCCGCAACCGGACGAATAAAGTGGATGAACACGTGGATCACACTGTGCTGGTCGTGGGGAGGGTTAATGGGAAAAAAATGAAATTATTCGTCGACGGTGGGGCGAGCCACAGTCTCGTCAACCTAGCGACGGCCAAAAAAATCGGAGTCAAGCTGGACAGGTGTCTACTAGAGATTGATGCGCGATTGGTGGACGGAACACCGCTGGCGATCAAGGACGAGGTCCGACAAATTCGGATGAAGTGTGGCGACGATTTCGGGTTCTCCATGCGGATGTTGGCGACAACGCTGGACGGTTGCGATGTGCTGCTCGGAAGGGATTGGCTGCAGCGTTTCAATCCGACCATCGTCTGGACGACGGGAGCGATCACGGTGCTGTGCAACAAGGGGCGCGTGACACTTCCGAAATGGGCGGAGCCGGAGCCGACGACAACACGTGTCAACGCGATAACGATGAAGAGGGCGATTAAACGGGGAGCGCAGGGCTACGCCGTACAGCTGTACGAGGTGGTGGCTTCCGAAAAAAATCGCCGACATCGACACGCTCTGCGCTGCTGTACCCAACGACGTGGCGAGCATAATTCAGAGGTACCCCGAAATATTCGCGGATGACCTACCTGATGGGCTGCCACCTCAGCGTCCGGAAGACCACAGGATCGAGCTGGAGCCAGGCGCGAAACCAACCGTTCGGTCCCAATGGCGGCTCAGCCAACCGGAGCTCGACGAATTGCAGAAACAGCTGGATTATCTGCTTTCTAAGGGTTTTATCCGGCCGAGCACGTCGCCGTACGCCGCCCCGATACTATTCACACCGAAGAAGGACGGAGGCCTGCGCATGTGCATCGACTATCGAGCGTTGAATCGGGTCACAATCAAGTCGCGTTACCCGATCCCACGAACAGACGACCTGCTGGATCAACTTCGCGGGGCTCGTTTCTTCTCGATAATCGATTTGCGAGGTGGATACCATCAAATTCGGGTGTTCGCCGACGACTGCCCGAAGACCGCATTCCGAACCCGCTACGGCAGTTATGAGTACACCGTGATGCCGTTCGGGCTGACGAACGCACCCTCGACGTTCCAGCTCACTATGAATGGGGTGTTTCGCGACATGTTGGATAAAAAAGTTATCGTTTACCTGGACGACATCCTGGTGTACAGCAGGACACGGGAGCAGCATTTACAAGATTTGGACGAAGTGTTCCGGCGCTTGCAGCAGAACCGGCTGATTACGAAGGGCTCTAAGTGCGAGTTCTTACGGTCGGGGTTGGAGTTTCTAGGGCACGTCGTCTCTGGGGAAGGCATTAAAATCGACCCTCGTAAAATAAAAGCGATTTCGGAGTGGATGCCGCCCACGAACATCACTGAGTTGCAGAGTTTCCTCGGCTTCGTTAACTACGTCCGCCGTTTTGTCCCCAATATGGCGGGGGTAACCAGGCCGTTAACCGATCTCCTGCATAAGGGCGTGCAGTTTCTTTGGGGGGAGAGAGAACAGCTGGCTTTCAACGAGCTGAAGAAAATTTTGAGTTCACCCCCGGTGCTTCGACTGGCAGATCCATCTCGACCGTTCGAAGTCGTGACGGACGCCAGCGATTTCGCTGTCGGCGCTGTGCTACTACAGGACTTCAGCAACGGACTGCAACCCATCGCGTACGAGTCAAGAAAAATGCAGCCGCCCGAGCGCAACTACCCGGTTCACGACAAGGAAATGCTCGCCATCGTGCATGCGTTTCGAACATGGCGATGCTACCTCACGGGAGCGGATGTCACAATCCGAACTGACCACAAATCACTACAGTACATGCGCAACCAACCACAGCTCAACCCACGACAAATCCGGTGGATCGACTACCTCGAATCGAATTTTCGCTACACCATCACATATAAAAAGAGCGCCAACAACATCGCCGACGCCCTGACCCGCCCATCCATGCAGACCGCAGCAGTACTAATCGCCCATTCCAACCCTTTATTGACAGGATTGTTCAAGCACGGCTACAGGATCGACAGATTTTTCAGGACCAGTCAACACCGCGGGGTCACTACACCGCATGGAAGTTACTACCTAAAAGTCGGTACTAACCGAGTTTGGGTACCTTCCTACCGACCCTTACGCGAATTGCTGACGCAAGAAGTACACGATTCCAACCTCTCCGGGCATTTCGGCGTCGACAAAACATTGAAGCTGCTGCAGCGGAACTACTACTGGCCCGACATGGCGTCGGACGTGCAGCGCTATGTGTCCGCCTGCCCGACCTGCCAGGCAATGAAGTCATCACGACAACGACCAGCTGGCTTACTGCAGCCCCTTGAGCCACCCGAACGACCGTGGCAACAGGTGACTATGGATTTCGTCACGGGCCTTCCAGCTGGCGCAAGTGGCAACGACTCCGTGCTCGTCGTCGTTGATCGCTTAACGAAAATGGCTCATTTCGCGCCCTGCCGTACAACGATCACAGCCGAAGAAACAGCGCGACTCTTCATCTCCACCGTCGTACGCCTCCACGGGTTACCTTCGGCGATCATCAGCGATCGAGATCCGAAATTCACGTCAAAATTTTGGCAGGAGACATGGGCACAGTACGGCACCCGCCTGCAATTTTCGTCGTCCTACCACCCGCAAACCGACGGACAGACAGAGAGGACAAATCAAACGATGGAGCAGCTGATTCGCACGAACTGCCCGGACATCACCAAGTGGGAAGATTCTCTTCCCATGCTCGAGTTTGCGTACAATAACGCCCCATCTGCAACGACCAAGCAATCACCATTCTACCTGAATCACGGGATAGACCCGGTGGTACCCTCATCGACAACTCCCAACAACCCGGTACCCAGGTCACAGCAGTTTATTTCGGAACTCCAGGACGCGCGTGCCAAGGCAGCTGACTTTATCCGAAAAGCGAATTCGACCGCCAGCCGCTACGCTGACCAACATCGACGGAATTTACCCTTCCGCGAGGGGCAGATGGTCCTCCTGGACACCAAAAACCTCAGACTGCCCCAGCCCGCGAAACTGCGTCCTCGATACGTGAGACCTTTCCGCATCGTTCGAATGCTGACACCGGTCACTGCGAAGCTTCTCCTCCCGGACGACTGGCATATCTACGACGCTTTCCACGTCAGTTTGCTTCGCCACTACGTGGCACCCCAGTCCCCCGACGTCGCTCGACCCCACCAGGCGCCCAGTGTCCGACCGGTAGCAGATCCCACGCTCCAGCCCTGGAAGATATTGAATCATCGCATTCGTGCGACCCCAGCCGGCCGCCACGTCGATTTTCTCTTACGTTGGGTAGATCGCACAAGTGAAGACGACACGTGGGTCCCAGCTGACTCACTACAAGGGCACTCGGTACTCCGGCAGTATCTTTCTCGCCGACACGTGCCTGATATTGACCAGCTTTCTTGAAGGGGGGGGTAGTGTAAGGAATTTTCCTAATTCCTTACTGAGGCACCGCTTACGCGTACATTTCCAATTTTCGGAGTTCAGGCTCGGTCCGACGACCTCGCCTCCCGAACGTCCTCCGCGTCGCCTTCGGGTTTCCCAAACCCAAACCTACACCCAACCTCGCACGACTTCGCGACCTCAGGCTTAGCTAGCCTTGCTATATTATGCCTAGGCCCCGATGTTTGCTCAGTAGTTGTAATCACTTCCGCGATATTGCATTCTGCACACTCTTCTTTCATACAACTCATAACAAATAACCTGTTTTCTGAAAATGAGCCGCACATTTGGCTTGGAAGTGGAGTCGCAGAGATTGTCTTAACAGTCCTTGCTATCCTGCATCGCACATCCTGCATCGCACATCCTGCATCGCACACATCCTGCATCGCACACCGTCCTTGCTATGGGCGGAATCGATCTATGCGAACTGACTGGTCGCAGAGCGCGGTTCATAGTGCCTGGCGAACTCTGCGCAGCGTTGTTCGGAGTCGGTCGTCGTCGCTCAAGCGATTATGGAGGTGCCGACCTCTGACGAAGCTCTTTCCCGCCCATGGCCCCCGACTGCGTCGTAGCTGATCAGACCAGAGCGCTTCGGCTGGAAGCATTTATGAAAGTTTTCGTTTTGAAGCAATTTGTTTTTGTGCTGCCCACTTCAACCCGACTCTTGCGGGTCTGGTCCGCCGCTCCATTCCACTCCCTCGGAAATCGAACTTGGCACCTATGTTTCGAACATGTGAGTGCATACCTGGGACATTTTTCTTTCCATTCTTTGTGCAACTGTCATTCGGTCAGGCGGTCCTCCCGACTGAGGTTCTGTCGCGCTTGCGCCGAGACCGACGCATTTCTGGGCATGAAATCGGGTTTCTCCTTTTCAATAGACAGTCTCCGCTGCCCCAAGGATTTTTGTAGGAAATTACTGCATTGCCGGGGATGCTACCATCCCGCCAACCCATGTTTTACACCCATCACATGATCTCCCCCGGCATCCCATCCCATCCCATCCCATCCCATCCCATCCCATCCCATCCCATCCCATCCCATCCCATCCCATCCCATCTCATCCCTACTTTTTCGTGCCCTGTGTTCAGTGATAGTGCCATGCCACACCAGCTTCAATCTCCGTTACAAGTAGGGGGCGCGTCGCATCGCATCCCAGCATGGGGGGAATTGAAGAGATGAAGCGACGGAGCTGGCAACATTTCATGCCCGTTGGGAAGGCAAGCCTCAGCCCAGATGCTCGCGTCGGCTTGGCTCAGATGTTGATGAGCTCAATTTCAGCATTCTGTACTGTATCTTTGGGAGTGCCATCATACCTCTTAGCCTTCTCAATCGCCTCATTGAAACTGGCACACTTCGTAGCAGTTGATACTTCCTTACAAGTGGCGCATCTCGCACTGTGCACTCGGCATGTCTCGATAGTTCATTCTTGAGTTCCTTTTATCGACCTCCTTTTTTCATGTCTCTCATCGTGTGAAAGAGAGCCATTCGTCCAGGCCTCTCCCTTGGAACAATAATGTAGATTAAACGGCTCTCATCGAGTAGCCTACAAAGTTTCTTAGTGTTAGAGAGCCTTGAAGAGGGCACTGGAGTTCTTTTAGTGCTGAAAGGCGGGCTGGCCTTTAGCAGTATGATATATATACTTCGAGAAGCTTTTTCTCAAGTCGTTTGTTGAGAGGAAAGAATCAAGTAGAGTCAAACTGACATAGGAAGTAAACAACGGAAAGCCATTATTAATCTGATCGCGATGGAAGACTCGATCATCTTGGACCACGTCCTTTTGCAACTCAACACGACCAAGAGCAGGTCAGTCAATTCCGATCCTTAATCCTGCTTTCAGTAGCATGAGCCAAAGAATGGCTCGTCATGCAATAGGATCATCCTGCTACTAGAACACATATGCGTCGGTTTTCCTCTTCTCGATTATAATAATTGTCCCTGTCATTCATCCTGCTGTCTCCGCATGCAATCCTGTCCCGATGCAGATGCGACGTGGTCGTATCTTGCAACGGAGAAGCCACTATCGTGTCCACTGGACTAATCCGTCCCTTCGCGTCGCACATCAAGGCCGTGGACGACCAATTCAAGAGCGGCGCGCACCTGATTAAGCTCGACCCGCGCGAATGCCGCGAGTTTCTAGATCGGCAGCGGCTAAAACATCCGCTAGCAGCAGCAGCAGCGGAGGAGGACCAAGCAGAGGAGGACACGCTTCTCGGCTGGTTCAACCTGAAAACCGTTGAGAGGTCAGCTTCTCTTCCCCGCTGCCTCTCCTCCTCCCCCACCCTTCCCCCCTGTTCCCCTCTTTCCCTCCCACCCTTGGCATGCTTACATTCTCGAGACTAAGATACCCTTTGGTTGCATTGGAGGTTTTAGATGAGAAGGATACTTTCTTGCGTTGCTACGACCGTAACGTTTGTGAAGTCACCCGGGCTGCCCCGGAACAGCTAGCTATACTCATCTGTCACCGTGTCTGTGTCTGCACCTTCCACAGGATAATAACATTCGTGAAGTCACCCGGGCTGCTGGAGCACGCGGTGACGATCGAGGCGGAGTTGCAGAGCCTAGACGACACCATCCATACCCCCGCCGCTGCCTCTGAGCCGTTTCAGGTACGCGGGGAACAAGTCAAACTCCAACTCGTGAGCCTCTCCCGTTCTTCCGCCCAGAACCGCGTCCTTGCCACTTGGAAACTGTTCGACACGTCGCGTGTTTGCTCGTGACGACACGTCGCGTGTTTGCTCGTGACGACACGTCGCGTGTTTACTCGTGACGACACGTCGCGTGTTTGCTCATGAGGACACGTCGCGCGTGACTTATTTATCGCTTGCCCTGTCGCACGTGACTGACTGATTGCTTGCCCCGTGGCGCGCGGTTGCCTGACTACCCTCCGTGCCACGGCAGGCGGAGCAGCATCTGGACGACAGCATCGGCAGAATGGAGGAGGGCCCGAGTTTTTGAGACGTCTCAAAACCCAACTTTTATCACCCTCTGTGCCACGGCAGGCGGAGCCGCTACTGGACGGCAGCGACGGCAGAGTGGAGGAGGCCCTGAGAGGGGCGACGCCGCTGAGAGACCGCCTCTCTGGCCGACGAGCGTCGTCTCGCTCGCCGTCTCCCGCCCGAAGCCTTGTCAGTGCTCACATCCCCGCTCGTGCTCACGTCCCCCTTGTGCTCAAATCCGCTCGTGCTCAAATCCGCTCGTGCTCACATCCGCTCGTGCTCACATCCGCTCGTGCTCACATCCGTTCGTGCTCACATCCGCTCGTCCTCACATCCGCTCGTGCTCACATCCGCTCGTCCTCACATCCGCTCGTGCTCACATCCCGCTCGTGCTCACATCCCGCTCGTGCTCACATCCCGCTCGTGCTCACGTCCCCGCTCGTGTTGACGGTCGTTCCCGTCCTCTGTTCCCATTCTATGTGTGCGTGATCCCGTGTGTGCGTGATCCCGTGTGTGCGTGATCCCGTGTGTGCGTGATCCCGTGTGTGCGTGATCCCGTGTGTGCGTGATCCCGTGTGTGCGTGATCCCGTGTGTGCGTGATCCCGTGTGTGCGTGATCCCGTGTGTGCGTGATCCCGTGTGTGCGTGATCCCGTGTGTGCGTGATCCCGTGTGTGCGTGACTTCGTGTGTGCGTGATCCCGTGTGTGCGTGATCCCGTGTGTGCGTGATCCCGTGTGTGCGTGATCCCGTGTGTGCGTGATCCCGTGTGTGCGTGACTTCGTGTGTGCGTGATCCCGTGTGTGCGTGATCCCGTGCATGCGTGACTTCGTGTGTGCGTGAGTACTGCAGAGCGGATTCAAGACGGATGCGTCCAGCGATAGCGGCGAGCGCGAGAGGTGAGATTGGGGTTGACACGGCGTGATGCGTGGCCCTCAGGCTTTAGAGCCGTCACGTGACGCTACGCTTCCCTGGTTCCTTCTTCTAAAGACCAAGTGTTGAAACTACTCATGGGTGTCCCTCGTAATACTTTTCGAGACGTCTCAAGAAGCGGCCCTTCTTGTGTGTTCCCCCACCTACCTCTGTTTCCGCGCAGTCACCTGCGCCGCGCCAAGGACGTGCGCACGGCCATGCTCAAGCGCGAGCAAGGAGTGGCAATCGCGCGCGCAGCGGCGGCGGGATTCTCCCCCGACGTGGTGCCGCTGCTGCTCTGTTTCGCGGATTGCTTCGGAGCCGTCCGATTGAAGCACGCGTGCGTGAAGTTCTCCTCCCTCGTCCGCCGCCAAGACTCTGCCTACGCGGAAAGCCTCACGCGCGCGCAACTCGCGCAGGCCGCCGCGCAGCCCGGCGGCGGCGCAAGCGCAGGCGCGGGCAGGGGCGCGGGCGCTGCACCGCCGGTGCAGCCACTGCCGCCGCAGCAGCAGGCGTTTGGACTGGCGGGGGGACGGGGCGGCGGAATCTGGTTACCCGACGGCCACGTCACCGGTAACACGGTTACAGGGACTCCCGGGGGCTATTACCCCTTAGTTCCGCTGTTTAACGGGGCTATGCCCAGCGGTATCCCCGGCGCTATGGGCCCAGGGATATCTCCCTCTACCGGGACCCCTGTAACTTACGGCCTCGTCGGTCCCAATGGGGAGATTTACGCTGTTGCCGGGGGCAGCGGCGGCATGGCCGGAATGGGTGGCGGTATAGGCGGCACAATGGGTGGCGCAACTCTCGGCGGGACGGGGGCGGGTGGTTGGGGAAGTGCCCCTGGTTTTGCAGGGTATAATAGCCCGTTTTCCACGCCCGGGGGTTGGTCTGGGGAGGACCAATCAGAATGGAGCACGGACGATACTAACGGAAGGGGCGGGTACGGAACTGGGCCGGCCGCGTATCGCGGCGACTCGCCCGCGGCCGCTAGACGGCGCCGGCCGTTCAAGTCCAAGTCGGCTAGCCGGTTAATGCCGTGGCAGCAGCGGCCGTGGAGCGCGGCGGGGTTCGCGGCGAGTAATGCGGGGGCGTGGACAGATTTGTCGGATACGAGCAGTGCGGTGTTTGGTAGGGACGATGTGACTGAACCGAGTGTGCTTTTTCCGGGGAGGAATTTGGTAGAGGACAGCAGCGTCGCGAGCTCTGTCGCAGAGAACCAGCTCAGCTGCTCGGCGAGCCCGCTGCGACCAGCGAACAGCCGCGCGACGTCGCCCAGGTCGCGCGCGTCGTCGCCTATGTCGCGCGCAACGTCGCAGGATCTGAGGGATTTTGTCCAAGGGCTGCAGAGGAGAGGCGCGAAGGGGGAACCGGGGGTCGGCGGAACCGGCGCGGGGAGGGAGGCGGCAAGCGGGTTGGACTTAGCCGCCGCTGCGATGGGGATGAAATCGGACGGCGGAGCGTTGATCAGGAGCGGGAGTGGCCACGGGAGGGCGTCGCATATCTCGCCTATCATCCGCTCTCAGTCCGCGTATCATGTGAGGGCGGGGAGCGGGGGAAGGGGCGCGGCGGCAGGCGGAGGCACAGGGGGAGAAGCAGGGGGATTTCCGGTGGGAGGGGCGGAGGGAGGAGCATGCGGAGCAGGCGGAGCAGGCGGAGCAGGCGGAGCAGGGGAAGCAGGAGGGGCAGTGGGGGCAGGCTGCACAGGCAGCATAGGGGGACCAGTTGATATCTTGATGGTAACCTCCTCAACTCCCAAAAAGGGCTCCTCGTGGGCGAATGCGGATGAGGGGAGGGATTATCTGGGGGAGGTGGAGCTCAGGGGAGGTACGACCGCCCTGAACGACCGTAGACTGGTGCCTGGGGAGCTCGAAATGGAGATTATGGCCGGGTGGGGAGAGGCGGAAGACGAGGGGGAGGAAGACGTCATGAAGGGGGAGGCGCTCCGCAACTCCCTGGAGGCTGGCGCGGGGACGGGCGGAAGGGGAGGTGGGGGGGCAGCTGCGGGGAGAGGTGCGGGGAGAGGAGGTGGGGGAGTGACGGAAGCGAGGAGGGCAGTGGGGGGGAGAGGTAACGGGGGTGTGGCGCCTGGGAACCGTGCTGAGGGGATGGGGTTTGGCGGAATGGGCGCTTTGGCGCGGAGCAGGAGCATTGGGAGCGCGGGGAGAGGGGGAGGAGCCGGCAGGGGGCGTGGCGGTGGGGGAGTGGGAGGCGGAGGGGGAACGGGGGCGATGAGTGTGCAGGAGAGGGCGATGATGGTGATGGAGAGGAAGCAACAGGAGGCTGCCAAACGCAGGGTGCGTGACCTTTGTTTCTATGTGCCTTATTCCTGATTTCATTGTTTGATTCTGTGTAGAAGCGCTCTTGCTCTCTTTGCATCAGTAGGCTTATGAGCACCTGATTTAATGTGCCTTTGCCCCTTCGCTTCCTCCCCCTTCCCCCACCTTCCCCTTCCCCCAACCCTCTCTTTCATTTCCCTGCACGCGCTCTGTGTGTGGTTCCAGGAGGAGGAGAAGCGTCGGCAGGAGGAAGCAAGGCAGCAGCGGCTCCACCGCAGCTCCTCCCTCGTGCGCTCCTCCTCCTCCTCTGCCTCGCTCTCCGAGCGTCGCCGGTCCCTCTCCTCCGCCTCCCACCCAGCCAGTGCTTCCGCTTCTGGTGCTGAGGTTGCAACTTCAGCCAGGGCTGCACGTGCGGCTGCTGCTCCAACCAGCACTTTCGCCACCCAAAAGAAGCAGCAGCTACCCTCCCCACGCTCCACTGCCTATCGTCGCCCCCTCTCTGCTCCTCGCACCTCCAGGCCTAGTTCTGCTGGTGGTGGTGCTGCTTCTCGCACGCTCTCCTCTTCCTCCTCTCTCACGGCTCCTACTGCTGCTTCTGCAGCCAAAGCAGCAGCTGCGAGTGCAGGTTCCCCTGCTACCACCTCTGCTGCAGCCGCCTCTGCTGCAATTGTGTCTCGTGCCCGTGCCCGCGCTCCGAGCCCCGATCTCTACCGCACAGGCAAGCTCGGGCAGCAAAACGGGCAGCAGCGAATCTCTCAGAACGTCCCAGGAAGCCGCTTGCAAGGCGCAGCTGCTGCGGGCATAAGGGGCGGGTTGGCTATGAGGAGGACAGGCAGCGGGGGAGGTGGTTCTGTGGGAGGTGGATTTGGGGAAGGTGGAAGTGGGGGGGACGTTGAAGGGCTGGTGAGAGGAGGGCGGGTGGTTCGGTCCCAGAGCGCCCATGTTGTTGTGAGGGAGGGTGCAGAGGAGAAGGAGAAGGAGAAGGAGAAGGAGCAAGGGCAGCTGTTCAACAATGGGCGAGGAGTGTCTGCTGCTCGGGGTCGCATTGCTGCTGAGTGTGGAGGAGGAAAGGAACCAACAGGAGCAGCAGCAGGGAAAGCAGCAGGGAAAGCAGCCGGAGCAGCAGGGGCAGCAGGAGGAGCAATGGAGAAAACAGCAGGAGCATCAAGGGAAAGGGCAGGGAAGATTGTGGAGAATGACTATCCGGTTCTGATGAGGAACAAGTCTCCTGCTCGAGGTAGGGAAGCTAATGTAGGGAGTGCGAAGGGCGGGGATGGACTGAGTCAGGAGTCCTTGCTCGTGACTTCCCTCGAGTGCTGGAATTTCAGTGACTATGGAAAGGCGGTGGCGGCGGCTGCGGTGGGGAAGGCGGAAAGAGGGGAGGCGCAAGGAGAAGTGAATTCAGATGCTGATTTCAGCTGGACGCAGGGTGGGGGAAGCAGAGACGAAGGACTGGGTGTGCAGCAGCTGCAACAGCAACAGCAGCAGCAGGAGCAGGAGCAGCAGCAGCTGCAGCAGCAGGAGCAGCAACAGGAGCAGGAGCAGGAGAATAAACAGGTGGCTAGTGGAAAGAACGTGGTCCAGAGAAGGATGTGGATAAGGGATGTCATGTCTAACGAGCATGAGAATGTGGCTGTGATGAATGCAGCTAATGCCCCTAAACTGTCTATGAAGGCTGGAGCAGAGGAGCTTGTTCTTCTGCCTGCTGGGAACGCCCTTGGGCCTGTGGTGCAGTATGGAGGCAAGGGTGGGTGGAAAGGAGCTGAGAAGGCAGGGGCAGGAGGGGAGCAGAACCAGGAGGAGTATTGGAAGGGGGAGAGGAGCCGAGTTGGGAAGGAGAATAAGTTGATTCAGCATTCTCCATTGACTCATTCGAGTTCGGCGTCAGGAGTTCCTAACTATGCGCCAGGAGGAGATTCGCAGCTGGAGCTGGATTTCAGGTCCGGTTCGTTTGGAGACAATGACCTTGGAGGATGGGGGATGAAGTTTGCCCAATCCGCTTCGATCAAAGCAGCTCCCGGGGGTAGTAGCCCGGGCGGTGTTTGGAATAAGAGTGTATTGGGTGAGAATAACGCGTACTCGGAGTTGGGATTGGAAGGGCCGTTTGGAGTTTTGGAGGAGGTGCCTGTGGAGACGAGGAGGGAGGCTACTGACGAGCAGGTGAAATTAAAGGATACAAGGAAGAAGCAGGAGAAGGAGTATATTGAAATGCTGAGGGCCCGAGACACAGCACGAAAGGCCGCAGCTGTGGAGGATTCGCTTGTTGAAAAGAAGAGAGGGTCTAGCCTGATGAAGATGTTTGGATTCGGTTTTTGAGTAGCTAGCTATAATAACTAATAGCCGCGTATATACGTAGCGGCATAGTACAAGTACTGTTATTGGAAGTGGTTTAATTAATTATGTAAGATTAGGTTCCTTGTGCATTTGCTGTCTTGTAACGGAGTTTATCTTGTTCCTTGCACTGTAATATTCTCAGAACAATATGTTGTATCGCGTGCGTCGAACTCCCCCATTCGTGGTCATGCTGGGCCTAATATTTTGGGCGGTAGCGTGTCCCACTTTTTGGCATGTTCTCGGTTCCCCTGCTTCACATGGATGTGCGGATTCACTCCTAACGGTCGATCTGCGGATTTCTGTCATATGTTCGTCGGCACTCCCGTTGCTTGCGCGCATAGCATTTCCGATCGTTTTCTCGGCCAGCAAGCCTGCCTTCGCCTGGATCCGCCACATTACCCCCCCTCCGCCCCCCCCCCTCTCGAAAGTACTATTCCTTCCGCCGCCCTTCTAAGATTCTAGCACTAAAGCAACATCGACATCGCGCGTTCGAAGCGCGCTTTGGTGGTATTTTAAATCGCGCGCCTAGAGTTGTTCAAATCACCTTCGCCTCCAGGCGCGCTTACACTGCTTAAGGCGAAAATGCCGAAGAAGCTAGCTCCGAACACCAAGGCGGAAGAGGCGCGCGAGCGGAAGGCGGCGGTGGCGGACGAAAAGAAGCGCGCGGCGGAGAAAGCCAAGGAGGACGCGCGATGGGCGGACGAGGGCCCGAAAGGCCGCGCCGCGAAGAAAAAGGAGGAGGACGAGCAGAAGCGCGTGGAAGCCGCCGCGAAACGCGCTGAGAAGAAGCGACTCGAGGAGATCGAGGCGCGAGAGATGGCCAAGATCTCAGGGAAGGGGGTCTCCGGCGGTGGCGGAGGCTCCGCGGGCGCGGGCGCAGGGGCTCGGCGCGCAGGCGCGGGGAGCAGCGGCGGGGGAGGCGCGAAAGTGACCCAGGCGGAGCTTGCGCTGATCAAAGAGCGCGAGCAGAAGGAGCTGGCGGGCGCAGAGGCGGAGAGGCGGAAGAAGGCTGCGCGGGTGGCGGAAGAGGCGGAGTATGCGCGGATGCTAGAGGTGGAAAATACGAACCGCATGGCGGTGGCGGTAGATGCGCGGAACGTGGGGGAGGCACTGAGTCAGCTGAGCGTGGCTGCGGGAGAGGAGGGGAGCAGCAGTGTGGATAAGCACCCGGAGAAGCGAATGAAGGCCGCATTTAAGGTGAGAGGAGGGTGAAGGGAAGGGGGGGTGAGCAGTGTGGATAAGCACCCGAAAAATAGGAGGATGCTGCATTCAAGGTGAGAGGAGAGTGAGGAGGGGGTTGAGGGGAGGAGAGAGGTGGGTGAGAGGAGAATGAGGTGAAAGGAGGGTGAGAGGAAGGGTTGAGGCAAGGGGGAGGAGGGGAGGGAAGGGTAGAATATTTGAGAAAGGGTTCTGGAGAAGGTGAAACTCTAAGGTGGGAGGGAGGGAGGGTGGTTGAAAGGGTTGTGGGATGTTTCTTTCAAAGGCAAGTGCAATGCAAGTATGACACTCGGGCCTGATGCTTGATGCATGATGCCTTCCCATGATTTTTATGTTATTCGGCATTCCTTCCTTTTACGGTCCACCCTTTTCCTATGGTCTTCCTTCGTCAGGCCTTTGAGGAGGTGGAGCTTCCTCGTATGAAGCAGGAGCTGGCTTGACCCAACCCTCACAAACTAGTGTCGGTGCATTCAGTTCAGGGCCATGCTTGACGAGTGCCCACTGCCCACCTTCTTCCACCTGACTGTTTCATTCCTTCTGCCCTTTTTTCCTGTGCTCTTCCTCCTTCAGGCATTTGAGGAAGCGGAGCTTCCTCGCATGAAGCAGGAGCGGCCTGGATTGACCCTCACGCAGTACAAGGAGCAGATCTGGAAGGCGTGGAAGAAGTCACCACAGAACCCCATGAATCAACAGTAATTTCGCCTCGTGAAATGTAGTTCTATGCTTAGTTATGTGTCGTTTGAGTTTGGAGGGTGCTAAGTGGGGTTAACCTAGGATATGCAGTGTTTTATGCAGGTTGTTATATTTCTTGAGAAAATCTCTTCAGAGATTCGGACTCTAAATAGACCAAAGCGAACTCCCGTCTGGTTCGGATCTACCTCATCAGCGCTTCGACATCCATACCTCTACTTCCAAACCATACCTGTTGATGAACCTCAACATTCGCCTGCCCATCGCTTCACGTTTCCCCAGTTGGCGGTGTTCTACGGGCAAGCCTCACCGCCGTGGTCATTGCCCTGAGAACCGCTTTGCAATCAGCATAGCTGCTAGTAAAATAGACCGTACCCTAATAAACCGTTTAGCGCGGAAAGATACAAGCCTCGGCGCAGTTTGCGCTCAGGTATCACTCGCCGCTGCTCGAGTCCTGTACGGATGCTCGCCGGGCTGCCCGAACTTCTGGTGTGCTTCCGAACCACCACACAGCCCGCCATGGCTATGATCCGAGGCCAACGCCAAAGGTGAAGGGGTACATATTTCCCGCCATGGCCTTGGTCCTATCCTAGATATCCACGGGTCTGGTCATATTTCGTTTCATTTCATTTTCATGCACCTAGATTGTTCCACCACGGTCCCTTATTTTCAGGCATAATAATCTCTGCTTCATCTTTCTCCTAGTTCCAAGTTTATCGTGGTGCGAGCATGGCGCTCCGATCCGTTCCCTTTACCGCCAAAAACGTTGTGGCTTCAAACATGGGATTTCTAGCCTCGCATTCTCGCTCGCGGGGCGCCGATGGTTGCGGCGGGGGCACCGCAAGCGCTCAGTTCAATAGTTGCCGCAGCTCAGCAGGCCCAGCCGGTGCTGATCCTTCGACCATTTGCACAGCGCAGCAGCAGAAGGTGCGTTGCAACTCTGCATTGTCATTTTCGTTAATTGCGTCGTACCTTCTCTTTCCGTCTTTCTTTCCCCTCCTCCCTCCCCCTTCCTCCTTTCTCCTCGCCCCTCTTTTTTTTTGTTTTTTTCCAGAATCATGGACGCTTGGACTCCTCAAATGCCGTCTTGAGTTTTATTTCTTTCTTCTACTACTTGCTTTTGTTCAACCATCTTGCAGGTTTCGTCGCAAGCTCGCGCCGCACTTCCACACCGCGCCTCCACCGGTGCACCGCCGCGGGAACAACATCCAAAACTCAACGGGAAAACGACAAAAAGAGATAGCGTATCAGTGTCGATGCGCCTTCACCAGGTAGCACCAGGCGAGACCCTCTTCTCCATCGCCGCCAGTTACCACCTCCCCCTGGACGCGCTCCTCGCGGTAAACGACAAGCCGTCGCCCGCGGTGCGAGTGGGGGAGGTGATATTCCTGCCGACCGTGGCGAAAGTCGACGACGTGACGAGTTTCACGACGCGTCCAAGTGCTACCACGAAAGGCGGTGACTTGGCAGGGTGGAATGGAGCGGAAGGAGGAGGTGGTAACGCGGCTGGAGCGGCGGTAGAGAGAGGGGATGTCGATAACGGGTCGCAGCAGCAGCAGCGTGTAAGTCAAACAAGTCAACCAAGTCAGCTTGGCAGTCAACGTCTGAGTCAACCTAGTCAACCCAGTAATAAGCATCTTAGTCAAGAAGACTCGGAAATCAAGGTATCGCAGGACTTCGCCCTGAAGTTCAGAGAGAAACCCGGGGGAAATTACCCTGGAAAGTACGTGGCCGGTCCGAATGTCGGGCAGCAGAGAAACAATTCTGGAGCGCGGGAGGGCGGGAAGGCGAGAGGCGGAGGGGGAAGGGAGGGGGGGCTGTTGGGGGGACGGAAGGAAAGCAGGGAGAGTGGTGGCGGAGGCAGCAGAGGAAGCCTGAGAAGTAATAGCTCTGGGAAGGGAGAGGGGGCGAGAAAAGGGAGGGCGGTTGCTGGTGCGGGCTTGCAGCGAATAGAGGTGTGCGAAGAGAGGGAGGTGGCTTCCGCTTTTGCTAGCGTGGGTGCTCCCAAGGTGAGGAAGTTTCCTGGAACTGAGCCTGCTGCTCTTGTTCGCGTGCTGTCGCAATCCCGTCTGTTTTCTTTTTCTCCTGCCCATCCTCAGGGATATTCGTGCGTGTTTCTCCTAATCTGATGGTCGCTACCCTTATCTTCCTCACCCTCTTTATCCCTCTCCTTCCCTCCTTATCCCTCTCCATCCCTCCTTATCCCTCTGTTGCATCTTGCGCCCCCCTTCAGATCCCGTACCTTGACTGCTCGCCTGTTGCTGCTGCTCCTTCACGCCTCGCTGCAACAGCATTCAGGCAGCAACCGCAGCAGCTGCAGCTGCGGCGGCTGCAACCGCAACAGCCACTGCAGCAGCCACAGCAGTTGAAGCTGCAACATCCGGGAAGGACGGACGGGGGGCAGCAGAGGATAGCAGGTGGGCAAGTGGGAGGGGGATCAGTGGGTAAGCAACACAGGAGCTCTGCCCAACAGTTTACAGCCACGGTCGGGCAGCAGCAGTTTCTGCTGCCCGAGGGGAAACTTCTCGCTGGGTCGCAGCATGGTGGGAGGTGGGCGGTGGCTCTTGGCGTGGCTGTTGCCGTTGCTGCTGGAGGGGCGGCATTGGCCGGCAGGGTTGGAGCATCAGGGGGGGCAACAGGCGCAACGACCAGTGTACATGAAGGGATGAGGGGATTGTTTGGTGGTGGGGGGCATGATGCGAGCAAGGGGAGACAGCAGGAAGTCGGTTCGAGGAAGGACCTCGATTATTCTAAGAGGGTTTTGAGGAATTATTTAAGCTCCAAGGCGGCTGCTACGGATGGCGTGGCTGTATCGGCTGCTACAGCTGTAGCAGTGGCTGACTTGCCAGGAAGAAGCAGCAGCGGTACCAGCAGCGACACCAGTAGCACTAGTAGCAATTCTTTACTCAGCGGCAGCAGCAGCGGAGGGGGCAGTGGCGGCAGCAGCATGGAGGCGAGCGGAACCACAGAATCGTTGGCAGGGAGCTTGGTAGGGAGCCGATACCCTATTGCTGAAGCGCATGATAGCTCAGGCTCTGGTGCAGCGTCTGATGCTGCCGCAGCTGTTGCCGCAGCTGCTGCTGATGCTGCTGAGGGCGTGGGAATTAAATTTATTGAGCTCAAGACATACGAGAATCAGGAGATTATGGAGAGTCAAGTGAATATGGAGAGTCAAGAGGATAGGTGTGTGTCGGGTCAAGGCAACGGGCAGCTACGGGTGGGAGAGGAAGCAGGGAGCAGTGAGACGACTTGGGGCAGGAAGGAAGCCTGGAGTAGCGAAGAGGGGAGACATGAAGTGGGGAGCTGGGAGGAAGGGGAAAGTCAAGCAGAGGCGAGCAGGGAGGAGGGGAGCAGAGCGGAGGGGAGTAACAAAGAGGAAAGCAGTGAGGAGGGGAGCAGGGTGGAAGAAATGAGTAGAGAAGGAGGAGGGGGCAGAGAAGAGGGGATGAGAGAGGATGAGGGAATCAGAGAGGAGGGGCTTAGCGAGGGGGAGGAAAACCTGGAGGAGGGGAATACGAGAGAAAAGGGGAGCATAAAGGTGGTGTGTGCGGAGGGATTGCCTTTGGAGGAGGTGCAGAACTGGAGTGTGGAGGAGGCAATAGCAGCCAACGCACAGGTTGCACGGAAGATGGGACTACAGCAGGGCTGAGAGGCGTGAGAGAAGGCATCTCTTGATTTGACTTGAAGGTGTGTGAGGAGAGGAGGGATTGCCTTTGGAGGAGGTGCAGAACTGGAGTGTGGAGGAGGCAATAGCAGCCAACACACAGGTGGCACGGAAGATGGGGCTGCAGCAGGCTTGAGAGGAGGTGAGGCGACTCTTGCTGGGCCTAGTACTCAAAGGATGTCTGTCCAAGGAGTGATTCGCACAAGGAGTGCAGAACTGGAGTGTGGAGGCGGCGATTACAGTCATTGTGCTGGTTGCACGGAAGATGGGGAGGGGTGCAGCAGGAGGCCTGATTGATGAGGGAGTGTGACGACAGGGATGTGGGAGCTTTTGAATAAGTTGGTTGCTTGAAAATGCCATGAACGCCGTATATCTAAAGTACACCACTGTACATTGTTGTCTGTGTTAGAACAATCCTACCTACCCATTCACTGTTTTGTAGCATGCGAGGATGAGTCGAAGTACTCATCCTCGCTATCCCTACTGTCACCATCGATATCAATATCACTATCATGATACAAATACCCCTTATTTTCCTGCACTAGTTCCCCCCAAGGGCACAGCACCACAGCCATCACCAGCAAAAGCCCCTGTGCAATCACCCCAGCCAAAGGGTTCCTCTTATGCACTCCTGTGAGCCACACAGGCGCTCCTGGGCGGTAGGATATGATTCCGGAGAAAGATATGATTTGATTTGCGGCGACTAGGCTGGTGTGGAGGCCAATGGGGAGGGAGAGACTGGTGGTGCAGCGATGGCGGAGGAAGGAGAGGATGAGGGAGAGGAGAAAGAGGCCTGGCATGGCCGGGATTGACCTGGAGAGGGAAGCGATAGAAAGGGAGAGGGGGAGGGGGATTGGGGAGGGGTGTGTATGTACAGGAGACAGGTGGGCAGTGGGAGAGGTAGGATAGGTGCTGTGTAAGAGGAGGGAGAGGATGAGAGGGAGGAGGAAGAGACCAGGAGTGGTCGGGATAGACCTGGAGAGAGGGGAAGTTGAGGGGTAACGGGAGGCAAGTGGGGCCATGTGTGACAAGAGGCAGGTGGGGCCATGTGTGACAAGAGGCAGGTGAGAAGTGGGAATGACAGGGACAGCACTTGCACTCACCAATGCACGAGAGCAAACAGCAGCGCAGTGAATCCCGAAGCAAACGCCAAGCCTCGGTCCTGCCGAACCTCTTCAAACAGCCAGCCTCGGAATACCAACTCCTCCACCACTGCTACAGCCGTACTCATTAGTAGCGACTCCAGTACAAGGCGAAGGATGCGAGTGGTGGATACGAGGAGAGAGAGGAGGGCAGAGAGGAGAGATGGGAGGAGAGAGGGGAGGAGCGAGACTAGGAGGGCGGGCGTGACAGTTTGGGTGGCAGCCGCAGCAGTCGCAGCAGCAGCAGCAGCAGAAGCAGCGAGGATTGGGGTTTGTAGGGGTTGGGTAGCTGAGAGGGTTGAGGGAGGAGGGAAATGAAGGGGCAGCCAATGCGGAAGGGAGGAGGTGGATTGGTGCAGGAGAAGCAGTAGCGAGTGGAAGGAAGAGGAAAGGTGCGAGGAGATGAGGGCGAGAGTTGGGAGATGGAAGGTGGGAAGGTGGTGGAAGGATGGGAAGTGGAAGGTTGGGAGGTGAAGAGATGGAAGGTGGAAGGTTGGAAGAGTGTCAAATGGGAGGTTGAGGGAGGTGAGGCGTAGATGTAGCTGTATGGCATGTAGCAGTAGCAGCAGGGATGAGCCGAGCAGTAGACCCTGTCCCAACCATGCCACCTGGTGGTGATGGGGGTGGAGAGGTGAACAAGGGGGAGAGGGAAAGGTGCAGCATTGAGAGAGGTGAGGCGCGGATGGAGTCGTATTGCGTGCAGCAGTAGCAGCAGGGATGAGCCCAGCAGTAGACCCTGTCCCAACCATGCCACCTGGTGGTGATGGGGTGGGAAGGAAAACGGGCATTTTTAGTCAATGGGAATGCAAAACTATGAACTATAAGAGAACGGGTTAGGGAGGAGGATGAAAAGCTTGTCTCTCCACTCCACACCCCACAGCCCAAAAGCCAAATAGCATAACAGCATACCAGCATAACAACATACCAGCATAACAGCATACCAGCATAACAACATACCAGCATAACAGCATACCAGCATAACAACATACCAGCATAACAGCATACCAGCATAACAACATACCAGCATAACAGCATACCAGCATAACAACATACCAGCATAACAGCATACCAGCATAACAACATACCAGCATAACAGTATGCTCGAATCCCTGCAGCTTCCTTCCCCAAATGCGCACTAATAGCAGCAGGGCTATGTACAACTCTGTGGTCACAGCTTGCACAACTCACCTCTTGCGTTGACTCAAAGAGCCTGAGGCCATATTGTTCAATCGGATGCTCGAATCCTCGCACCCTCCTGCGCACCAGCAGCAGCAGGGCTATGTACAGACCCACGGCCAGCAGGGCTGTGGCAACAGCATACCAGCATAACAACATACAAGCATAACAACATACAAGCATAACAACATACCAGCATAACAACATACAAGCATAACAACATACAAGCATAACAACATACAATCATAACAACATACAATCATAACAACATACCCAACTCACATCCTGTGTCGACTCGAACACTCGCAAACCATACTGCTCGATGGGGTGCTCGAATCTCCTCACCCTCCTGCCCCAGATGCGCACTAGTAGCAGAAGGGCTATGTACAGACCCACGGCCAGCAGGGCTGTGGTGACGACAGGTGGCGCCGCGGGATTGGCCGAGGCGGAGGTGAGTGTGGTGATGAGGGAGGGGAGGAGAGGGATGAGGATGGGCGACCAGAGGAGGATGAGGAGGAGGAGAGAGAAGAGGAGCCTGGGGGGTGGGGGGAGGGAGAGGGGTTGAGAAGCGATGGAGAGGAGGTGGGGAGGAGAAGTGATGGAAAGGGGGTGGGGAAGAGCACGACAGTAAGGAGATAGGAAGGTGTGCAGATGCGGGTTTGGGAGGAGAGGCAGTGTGGATGAGACGGACGAACACTGTTGAGATTTCACAAGAGTACAATCGTGTTGTCAGCACCTGCTTGTACTATCAGCACCTCACCTGGTTGTACTATCAGGTGCGATCAGCACCTCAATCGTGTTGTCAGCACCTGCTTGTACTATCAGCACCTCACCTGGTAATACAAGCAGGCGATCGTGAGTGCGATGAGCTGCTCGCACAGCCCCACAGCGCCATACAGCCCCTCCGCAAAGAGGCAGCATGTGCATTGCGATAGTGCACTCAGCTGCTTACCTTGTAGTGAGAGATCGCTTGTGGATGTCAGTGAGTGCAATGAGCTGCTCACACAGCCCCACAGCGCCGTACAGCCCCTCAGCAAAGAGAGCCGCCTTCCCCACGACTCTCAGCATGCGCCCCTGTGATCCCCACTGCTGTATCATCTCGGATAACCTGCTTGCAGGGTGGAGTGTTGGTGGGGGAACGGGAGTGGAGGAGGGAAGGTGAGAGGTGCCGCTTTCACCACCCCTTAGTGACGCATCTAACCGCGTCAGGTTGGCTTCTCTCTGCAGGTATGAGACAATTCTTTACGAGTGATAGTCCATCGCTCCACTGGAAGCACAAGGGGTGCCACTTGTGTGTGGTGAGACAATTCTTTACGAGTGATAGTCCATCGCTCCACTGGAAGCACAAGGGGTGCCACTTGTGTGTGGTGAGACAATTCTTTACGAGTGATAGTCCATCGCTCCACTGGAAGCACAAGGGGTGCCACTTGTGTGTGTTGAGACAATTCTTTCTTGAGGCACCAGAAACATCAGTCTCATTCCAGCTTGACTCACCTCTGCAGCTTGACTGACCTCTTTAGGTTGGTCTATCCGTCCTGCTTCCTCGGAATCCCAGGGGACGCCACTTCTATCGCCCTCGTGCATACTCAAGAATTCTCAGACTCCTACAATATTCTGTCTTTCCAACTTGGCTCACCTCTTCAGGTCAATCTGTCCGTCCTGCTTCCTGGGAATCACAGGGGACGCCACTTCTATCGCCCTCTCTGCTATTTCCAGGATCCCCTCTCCTGCACCCTCTGCTGCTCCCCCCTCCCCACGTCCCTCTCCTCCTCCCTCTGCGCTTCCTCTTCCTCCTTCCTCTGCTCCCTGCTTTAGTTCCGCTGCTGGACCACATGCTGTTCCAGCTGCTGCTGCTGCTTTTGCTGCCCCTTCTCTTGCAATTGCTTCAGCCCCTCTTGCGTCCCCTACCTCCCCCTCCCCTCCTGCCACTACCTTCCCACCATGCTCCACCCAAGGCGTTGCAGATCCGGCCCCTGCAGCCGTTCCATGAGTCCCACCTGTAGCATTCATGGCCAGAGCTGTAGCAGCCATGGCTGTAGCAGAGCCCACCATCTTACCCATGGGAGAGCCTGTTGAGAAGGCCCACCGCCCATATTCCTCGTTTCCCTCCTCCTTTTCCCCCTTCTTTGCCTCGTGCCGTACCTCCCTCTCCTCATCCCGTAGTTTACCCTTCTCTTCCCCTGTCTCCTTACCTTCTTTCTCCTTTTCTTCCCTCTTCTCCTCCTCCTCCTCTCTCTTTTCCTCCTCCTCCTTCCTCTCTTCCTCCTCCTCCTCCCGTTTCTCTTTTTCTTGCTTTAGCTCTGCTAAAATCCCACCCACAGCATCGAACACACTCGCCACCGCCACCTGCGAGTTATCATCTACCCCAGATAACGCCTGCACCGCTACAGACAAATTCAGCCCACTGAGAGATAGAGGAGCGGAGGATGCAGGTGGGGGGGGAGAAGGAGGGGGGTTGGGGGAAAGTGGAGATTCTGAAGGAGGGGAGGCGGGGGAGGGATCTGGGGAAGGGGTTGGGGGGGAGGGCGCATCAGAAGTGGGAGAAGGGGAGGTTGGGGGGAGGCTGGAGGGCGGAGGGGTAGCAGAAGGGGAGTTGGGGAGAGTAGGGGAGGAAGAGGTTGAAGCCCCTGAAGGGGGATGAGGGGAAGCGGAGGTGGAGGCGGGAGTGCTGGGGGAAGGAGAAGTAGGGGGAGGGGGAGTGGGGGGAGGGGGGTTGGGGGAAGGGGTATTAGGGGAGGTGAGAGGAGGAGCAGGGAGACTGCTGATAGCGGATGCAGAGCTGGGAGGTGGGGGAATGGACGATGGGGGAGGGATAGATGGAGGAGAGGGTGGAACAGGAGATGGGGAAGGGGAGTTGGCAGGAGGAAGTGAGGTGGCAACGGGAGGTGAGGTGGCAGGGGGGGGCGAGGTGGCAGAGGGGGGCGAGGTGGCAGGGGGGGGCGAGGTGGCAGAGGGGGGCGAGGTGGCAGAGGGGGGCGAGGTGGCAGGGGGAGGTGAGGGGGCAGGGGGAGGGGAGGCGGCAGGGGGATGTGAGGCGGCAGGGGGTGTGTTGGCGGCTGGGGAGACTGGAGGGGAGACTTGCGAAGGAGGGGGGCTAGGAGGGGCGTGGGCAAGGAGGGGAGAGGGCTGTGGGGATGGGCCAGAAGTCTGGGAGGAGACGGATGGAGCGGTGCTGCTGCTCGTTCTGCTGGATTTGCCTCTGCTGCTTCCGTCCCCACTGCCGCTGCTGCTGCTGCTGCTGTCCCCACTGCTGCTGCCACTGCTATTGCTGCCAGTTTTTTTCTTCTTCTCGCCATTATGAGTATCACCAGCAGAAGAGGCCGCATCTGCCTGGTCATACTCGGGTATTTCGTCCCACAACTCGTCAAGCACCTGGTTCTGCCGCTGCTGCTCCTTCTCTTGCTGCTGCGCCTCGTTCTCCTCTGTCTGGTGTTGCATGTCCTCATGCTCTTGCCACTGCCCCTTCTCACGCTCCTCCTGCTCCTCCTCCTGCTGCTGTTGCTGCTGCTCCTGCTCGCTCCGCTCCACAGCAGGAACCGGAAATTGAGGTGCCTCTTCTTTAGGCGCCTCGCTTTGAGGCGCCTCTTTTTTAGGTGGCTCTTTCTGAGGCGCCTCAAGAATCGCACGTGCCTGGGGAAGCAGAGAAGCCGCCTGCTTGAGAGTGCTTTCCAGTGCAGCTGAGCTTTGAGCGGCCTCTAGGCAGTGCCTGAGAGTGGTGGCCACTGCTGTCTGCTGCTCTGGTGGCAACACCTGCTGCACCGCATCTGCTATGCTCTGCCCCCTCGTTATGGCGGATAGGAGCTGGGAGGGAAGGCACAGTGAAACAGGGAAGACCGGGGGGCAAGGGAAGGGCAGAGGCAGGGCAGAGGGGCAGGGAAGGGCGGGGGAAGGAAAAAGAAGCAGAGTGAATGAATTCAAGTACACCTGAGCGTTGGGCCGCCTCAAGGCAGTGCCTGAGAGTGGTGGCGACTCCTGTCTGCTGCTCTGGTAGCAGCACCTGCTGCACCGCATCTGCTATGCTCTGCCCCCTCGTTGTGGCTGCTGGGAGCTGGGAGGGGGAGCACGGTACAAGATAGGGCGGGGAGCAAGGGAAGGGCGGGGGGAGGGAAAGGAAGCAGAGTGAATGAATCTAAGTACTGCTGCTGAGCGTTGAGCAGCCTCGAGGCAGTGTCTGAGAGTGGTGGCCACTGCTGTCTGCTGCTCGTGTGGCAGTACCTGCTGCACTGCATCTGCTATGCTCTGCCCCCTCGTTATGGCTAACAGGAGCTGCTAGGAGAACGCACAGTGACGAAGGGTAGAGGGGAAGGGAAGGGCAGATGAGGGAAGGACAGGTGAGGGAACGAGGTAAAGGGAATGACTTGAGGTGCAACCCGGCCTCACTGACTGCTGCTCGTCGAGACACACACACACCCACACACACTCACGGACTCACTCACTCATGCTTAAACACGCACCTGCGCCCTCTCATTTGAACCCACAGCACCAGGCATGGCAGCATCCACGAGGTTTAGAGCCACCTCCGCCCACTGTGCCACCGACGGTGCTGCTGCCACTGCTGCTGCTGCTGCTGCTGCCTCAGCCTCGGCGTTTCTTTCATCTGCTGCTCCTGTTGCTGCGGCTGCTGCCAGTTCTGCTGCTACTGCTGCAGCTCCTTTCTCTGCTAAAGATGCAACCGCTCTTGCTTCTGGTTTAACGGCTGCTGCTGTTGTTTCGGCTGATGCTGCAGCTGCTGCTGCCGCCTCACTTCTAGCCGCTGCTGCTTCTGCGGAAACATCTGCCGCCGCTGCTGCTGTAGGTAAGTGTGCAGCACCCCCCTGCATCGCCCCCACTGAGTTCACATTACCCCTGTGCAGTTGTGCTAGTGATGGCAGGGAAATTCCTGATACCTCAGTACCTGAAGAAACACCTGAAGAAGCACCTGAAGAAGCATCTGAGGAAGGACCTGAAGGAGCACCCGAGGAAGGACCTGAAGGAGCGCCTAAGGAGGCAACTGAAGCAGCACCTGTTGCGACAGGTTGGCTCGATGTGTTGGTCGGTTGGACAGAAGGAGCAGCAGGTTGGGCAGGCAGAGGGGAAGGTTGAGCAAGCCCAGCAGCACCTGAAGGAGCACCTAACGAGGCTGCTGAAGCAGAACTGCCAGCACCAGTCGCAGGTGTTGAGACAGGTTGGCTCGATGCACTGGCCGGTTGGACAGACGGAGCAGCAGGTTGGGCAGGCAGAGAAGCAGGCTGCGCGGATCGAGGGGCAGGCGGAGGGGCAAGTTGGATGGAGGGAGAAGCAGCTTGAACAAGCGGAGGGGAGGGTTGAGCAGACCCAGCAGTAAGTTGGGTAGGTTCAGGGGCACGCTGAAGGGCAGTTTGGACAGGCGGAGGGGCAGGTTGGGCAAGTTGAGGGGCAGGTTGAGCAGGTGTATCGTCAGGTGAAAATGGTGATGTGGGTGGAGAAGGAGAGTTTAAAGCATTGCCGTCAGGAGGCGCCTCCAATGCATGCCCACTCCTCTCTTCCTCTCCATCCCCTGCACTCCCTGCTCCTGTGTTCCCCTTTCCTTCTCCAGCACTCCTCACTCCCCAACCCTCTCTCGCTTCCCCTGTGTGCTGCTTGTCACTGTGATGCCTCCAGTCTCGGCTTTCTGCTGCTGATGCCCTCCTCTTGCCCTGTTTAACCTTGTCCCGCGCTTGCTTGATCTCCTTCAATCGTTGCTGCAGCAGAGCACTCTCGACAGCTGGTAACCACTGCATGCGGGGGTAGTGAGTGGTTGGAAGGGGAAACAAGGGGGAGAGGGGAGCATGAGGGGTCGATGGGGGGAAGGGTCAGACGTACAGTTTACCAAGTATCCACGCCTGAAATCCCTCAGTCGTTGCTGCAGCAGAGCACTCTCGACAGCTGGTAACCACTGCACGCGGGGGTAGTCAGGGGCGGGGAGGGAAGGGAAGGGAAATGGCAGGGGCCAAGGAAGGGGAGTGAACGGATGAAACGGCTGACTGACCGAGACACGATTCATCATATGCTCGTTCCCCTCCATGCAAGGGCTGTTTTTGTACGATGCGCTACAAGTAGGTTCAGTTCAACCATGGCTTGTACTTTTGAGGTGCCTCAAAAGTATGTTCATTTCCCTCCATGCAAGGGCTGGTCTTGTACGATGCGCTACAAGCAGGTTCAATTCAACCACGGCATGCCAACTGGGAAACAGCGGCTGCTGGCTGGCTGGCTGGCCTGTACGATGCAGTCCCACCTCATCCACGATGTGCAGAACACGGTTGGTGAAATCAGGAGCCCAGGCATGAGCAGACTGACGTTTGAGAATCCTCAAGAGCCCGCCAATACAGGGTACGCACCTGTTCAATACAATACCGTGCACACTCACTCACCCACCTCATCCACGATTTGCAGAACACAGTTGGTGAAATCAGGAGCCCAGGCATGAGCAGACTGACGTTTGAGAATCCTCAAGAGCCCGCCAATACAGGGTACGCACCTGTTCGATACAATACCGTGCACACTCACTCACCCACCTCATCCACGATTTGCAGAACACGGTTGGTGAAATCAGGAGCCCAGGCATGAGCGGAAGAGAGAGGAACAGACGAACCGATCCCTTCAGCAGCAGCAGCAACGGGACCATTAGGAGAATCACCATCAGCAGTAGCAGCAGCGGCGGCAGCAGCAGTGTTCGAAACAGTTCTTGTGTTGGAGAGTACACAGAGAGAGAGGTTGCAGTTGGTGAGGAAGGGCCGCCAGACAGAAGGCTCAGAGGAGGAAGAGGACGAGGAGGGAACAGCAGTGGCGCACGCAGTGCTGCTCCCTGCAATTACACTCCCTCTCTGCTCAAAGAAACGAACCAGAACACACAACAAAGAGCCCACATGAGAAGGAGCACGTGAGGTATGGGAAGGGCGAGAGCTGGGATGCAGCTGAAACCCATTCCTGTGCAATGTCCAAACTCTTCCCCCTCTTTACCACTCACTCGCACGCACAGAATGGGGAGTAATACGGCTTCCACCGAACGATGCGCACAGCATGCATCGTAAAGCATTGACACTTTGATTCGTGCAACACCCAAGAAACAACCCACCCAGTCACCCCACCCACTCAACTTGCACGCACAGAGTGGGGACCAATATGTCTTCCAGCACACCACACACACAGCAGTCATCGTAGATCGCCGAGGTCAACCCCTAGCCCATACTGGCTGCTTAATCTCTCTCAAGAACCAGCCCCTTGCCCTTTCCCCTCCCACTCACTTGCACGCACAGAGCGGGCACTGATGCACCTTCTAGCACACCACGCGCACAGCATGCGGCATAAAACGCAGACATGTTGAGTCTTCCAATACTTAAGAGCTAACCCAATCACCCCACCCACCTCACCCACTCACTTGCACGCACAGAGTGGGCACAGACACGTGCTCCAGCACACCACACGCACAGCACGCAGCATAAAACGTTGAGATCGACCCGCAGCCCAGGGCACGGCGTGACACAGCGTCGTCCCATTGGCTGAGCGACGAAGCTGCCAGCGCTGCTGACAGGTCGAAAGGCTCGTGAGGGCCCCACGCGTCAGAAAATATCATCTGAGGAGGGCGACGGTGGGCAGAGAAGGCGAGCATTGGTACTAAGGACTTTCCAATATGAAGAGGATGCCATGTACATGTGTAAACGATGCATCGTATGATGGATGGCTTCTGAGGCGCCTCAAAAGGGAGTGTGGCAGAGAAGGCGAGCATTGGTAGTTACGACTTTCCTGTATGAAGAGGATGCCATGTACTTTTGAGACATCTAAAGCCATGTACATGTGAAAACGATGCATCGTGTGATGAATGGGTCCCACTCACCCAACCATATGGCAGGGAGAGGAGATACGCATAAATGACTGTGGAATGCGGGAGTGATGGAGGTCGGTTGGAGGGGAGTGCGGGTGGGAGAGGGTGTGGGTCAAAGGCTGGTGGGTGGTGAGTAGGGAGTGGGGAGTGTGTGGGAAGGGAGTGTTGAGGGCAAGTAGCACAACCTCATGCGTGCACAGGAGATGCTGGTAATCCTGGACCATCTTCCTGGAAACGTCTTCCTCCTCGTCAGGGCAGAGATGATTGGAGGAGCAGCCCCGGTGGTGGTTTTGAGTCGACTCAAAAGAGGAGCAGCCCCGGTGGTGGTTTTGAGTCGACTCAAAAGAGGAGCAGCCCCGGTGGTGGTGGTGCAAGCAGGTGGGCGAGTCAACCACAATAGCCGCTTCGATACCCCTATGCCCCATGGCTCCTCTCCGGCCCTGTTTCAACACCCCACCACCTTGCTTCAGCAACCCACCACCAAAACTCCCCTGAGCCCCACCACCAGTCTCTCCCCCGGGCCCAGCCCCTCCCCAGCCATCCACCAGCTCCCCACTTGCCTTTCCGCTCCTTCTCTTCCCCCTCCTCCTCTTCGGCCCCCGTTTCTCCCCCCTCCCTGCTTCCCCCGGGCCCCGTTCTTCCCCCTTCTCCCCCCTCCCTGCTTCCCCCAGGTGCCTCAGTAACACATGCCCCCCCAAGCCGACTCCCACGGCCACTAGGAGGGAATCCGAGTAGGAAGCTGTGAGGAAATTGGCTGTCAGTGCCACGTCCGCGCTGTCAGCTGGTGAGAAGAAGCTGACGGGTGGGGAGGTATGGAGACACGAGGGAGGGTGAAGGGGATGGAGAAGGGAAAGGAGGGAAGTAGACAGGAGGGGATGAAGGGAGCACGACGAGAGACAAGGGGAATGGTAAATGCGATAACAAAATAAGGGAAAGTGACAAGGGGAGTCACAAGGGGAGTCACAGGGGGAGTCACAGGGGGAGTCACAGGGGGAGTCACTGGGGGAGTCACAGGGGGAGTCACAGGGGGAGTCACAGGGGGAGTCACAGGGGGAGTCACAGGGGGAGTCACTGGGGGAGTCAACGGGGGAGTCACCGGGGGAGTCACAGGGGGAGTCACAGGGGGAGTCACAGGGGGAGTCACAGGGGGAGTCACAGGGGGAGTCACAGGGGGGGTCACAGGGGGAGTCACAGGGGGAGTCACGGGGGAAGTCACAGGGGGGTGATCAAGGAAACAGGAATGACATGGCCTTTAGCACACCGATGACTCCCCTCTCCCTCACGCCCAACAGCAGTGCCTCACCGAAGAATCTCACACTCACGCACCCAAGCGACCTCACCGGGGGGAGGTAACGGGACTGCCACCGCAACCTCGCAGGTTGAGAACCACGGGGAGGACATGGCCTCTGGCAGCAATGCTGCACGCAAGGCGCTGAATGAAGGGGTCCGCGCTGCCTGCTGCCGTGCCTTTTGAATGGACTCAAAAGTCACCACAATCACTCACCGTGGGGAGGTAACGGGGCTGTTACCACATCCTCTGAGGTTGAGAACTACGGGCACGTGGCCTCTGGCAGCAATGCTGCACGCCAGGCGCTGAATGAAGGGGTCCGCGCTGCCTGCTGCTGTGCCTGCCACCACCAGCACCACCATGCCCGAACCTGCCCTCAGCTGCTCCCTCAGCCCCAACTGCTGCTGCTGCACCTGATGTCCCTTTGAAGGTTGTGATCCCATAGGCTGTGACAAACCTGAGGGCAGGTTCTTGAGAAAATCCAGGGATAAGGTCCCGCCATCTGGCGTGGAGATGCAGTGCCGCCCAAATAGCCGCCTCTGGATTGCAGCTCCATCCAGCTGCTGCCGCCCCGAAAGCTCTCTCTGCGTTGCTGCGCCGTCCACTTGCCGCCCAAGAATCTCGCTCCCATTGGTTACCTCTCTATGTGCATCAGAACCCTCCCAAGATGGAGGTGAGTGAATCTCCAGAAGTGGCATCTGCTGTTGGAATCCGAGACTTTGCAGCTTAGTATATTCGATCCCGATCTCAGTCTTTCCGATCCCTACTTTAGCCTTTCTGGTTCCATCAGCACTCACAGCAGGAGCATAATCAGGCGGTTTCTGGAAGAGCATGTTTGGTGCAGCAGCAGGGGGAAGAGACGGGCACCGAGCCAGAAAATACTTCTGGAGGCCGCGTTTGTCAAAATCGGGCAGCAAGAAAAACTCTGCACCACTTTCCATTCCCAAACCTTGACTTGATTCTGTTTCCGAATCACTGTTCACCCATCCTCCGTCTTCTATTCCACAAACCTCCTCTTGCTCCGATGCATCTGATCTCCAAGGACCAACGCTAGACGCAGAGGCAGCAGCAGAGGTAGCAGTAGTAGCACCGTTATCATTGTCATCACCATCAGCAGCACCCGCGGCAGCAGCAGCAGCGACAGCACCAGCGCCAGCAGCAACACCAAGTGAGCCAACATCACGAACAGCAGCACCAATCACAAAGCCTGAAAGAGCCAGAGCCGCTCCCACCAGCAGGTCACCCATTGAATCTAATGCCCCAGTCAATGCAACATCCGGTGCGACGTTAAATGCTAAATCCTCAACACTTCCTATCACGGCGTGCCACGTGTCACTGCTGCTCCCAGCACCAGCAGAGAAATCAGCAGGTAGAACAGAAACCGAAAAACGAGCCCATTTGCTCCGCCTCCCTCGGCCAGCTGACGTGGCAAAACCGGCGAGTGGATGGTGAGCTGATTCACCAACTTCACTCTTGAACAGTGGAGCAGACGAAGTGCTTGAGGGACCAAAGCAGGTACCGGAATCTTCGTGTCTGGGTTTGCAGAGGCCAGAAACACTCCCATAGCTGCCTCTCACGGTTAGAGTCACTAATCTCTGCGTTCCAATGGCTCCGTGTTGAGCAGTCGTGACTTCCACTCCCTGGTACCTCCCTGGCGTTTTTCCATAGACGCTGCTGCGAAGCTCTGGTGGCGAATGATGGTCGCTGGTTAGCAACGAGCCCGTTAAGGAGTGAGGTCGGGCACGGACTTTCCTCGAAACTGCACGGGAGCGGATCCTAGGAGGAGCAGCGATGTCCCGAAGGGGCCGGTCGTAGGAAGGTAGCGTCATGGGGACGGCAAGAAGAACGAGATTCAAGTAGTGCTGGTGTTTTATCCTTGTAAATGTACGAATTCCTCCACTGGAACCGAAAGCACCCTTCGTATATTGAGAAACCGAAGGCCTGGCCTACGCAGGAAGAAGCACAGACAGCCTTATTCTACGCGAATGAAAAGAGTGTTGAACAATACGCTCATCAGATAACTTGCAGCCTCGGGAGGAATCAAGGAGAACCAGGAAAGAGTATCTCCAAAAGCGAGGCAAGGTCGCGATAGAGGTTGAGGCTGGTATCGACTCTGTGATGGAGGATGTTTGGACTGTCACGGCATTGGTTGATACATGCGTTCCAGTAAGCATTGCGAATCTGTGTGTTTCGACACTTGAGGAGCCAATCAGGGAAGGACAGACGCGGTTGTTTCGCCGCGTGGCAAATCACCGACCAGGTCGGGTCGCACGACGAAACTGACTGAACACTCTCGATGTCATGCACGCAACCGGCGGTGTATGTACACCTGGTCGGCTAGAGCAGAAGGAACGACAGGAAAAATCCAAGAGAAAGGAAAGCTCAAAGGGAGACAAGTGAGAATGGCAGCGTCAAGCGTCAATAAAAAGCTTTCTCAACAGCACCGATTTTGCCGAAGGATGGACGGTTGTGAGCAACAGAATTTCATTATTCCATCTTGTCAGTTTACAGGTAGTTCCTACCAGTTTGCTCGTTGCCTCGATGCAAACAAGCAAGGGTCTGCTATTGATGCATCTTTTCGACGGTATTCCTCGAAATCTCCGAAAAGAACGAACAGGGAAGAAGGGCAGTCAACCAGCCAGCCCAGCCAATCGGATTGCGTTGACACGGTAAGGAGTAGATTCCGCTATACATGATAGGTTTGCCATTGTTACCATCATATCCTTTCAGAAGAGATTACAAGTGTATATTTATAACAGCTGAAAACATAATCCAATACAGCAATGGGGACAGAGATTTGATTTAATTAAACTTCAAAATGTTTCTGAATCTTTCTAAGCCACTCCAGCGTTCGAGAGTAGTTATGGGTGAGTCCAGAATATGTAACATTGCATAATCATGTTTTGCTATTAAGGACTATATTCGGGTCAAGAAAATACCGCGGTTGTTTTTCTGACCTCCTTTTTGACAGGCGAAAATCTCTTTTGCGGAAAACGAGGGTCAGATGTGGTGCTGCTTTGAAGCCAGCGTGGCACAATGTCAACCCTCAGAACTAGATTGGCCTCGCTCGCGCCAAAGGTTGTGGCTCAGCTGCACTTTGCAAGACGCTTCGGGCCTTTTGAAGGCAGAGGAAATTTCAACGCCCAGTGGTGAGCTAGAGCGTAAACTGTAGAAGCACACAACTGCAGTCGTAACTAAGAGTGCAGCACCCGTCAACTCTCATTGAGTCTCATAAGTGGGAGAGTTTATATCATCGGTAAACAAGAGTCAGCCCAGTAAATTGTTTCTATTACAGGGTAAACTTACCCTTGAGAGCTCTTCCCCCTGATGCTGCCGTGCCATGCCGAAGCTCTCAAGGGTGACTCTCAACCACAGGACTGATTTCAGCCATCACGAAGCCGCCATAGCTGCATCCTATCCAGGACACTCGAGCTCAGCCACAGCCTTCTCATACCGAACGATCTTCTTAGATTTACAGCGCGTCACCTTCTCATTGCTGTTTAATTTTAGCCAATCCTTTATTAATTCTTTTAGTTGCCCACTCTCAGTTCCTGTACAGCACAGCGTTCACGTGAATCCACGTCGTTTTCAAGGCAGCATATTCCTGGACCACTAGTCTCCTGCTTCCTCATCGCCCGGTGGGATTCTACGTAGTGCAAGTGACCCACTATGCAATGCTGATGCAGGGGCCGATTTCAACCCAGAAGATTGTATAAACCAGGAATTTCCACTCACAGCCCCCTAATGCCCTGGTCACGCGGTTTAGGCCACGTCAATGCGAACATGCGCTGGGTTTGACAGCCTGGAAGAAACCCGACATCCGAATTCCGCGTTAATTTCTTTTCAAGATAACAAATTCTGCACCGTCCTTCTGCTGCGATCACCATCGCACAGGCATGCGACAAATGCGACGAAACATGCGACAAGAAAGCTCTTGAACGACCAGCTGCGAATTCTTCTGTTGCAATGTCACCATCATGAGCCGCAGTAATATGTTGCCGACATTCATTGCCGCTTAGTACGCCTAGGAAATTCCAGCTTCTCGTAGTACCCCCCGCTTGCTGCTGTCATGTGATTGCCGGCGTACTATCACCTGCCATTCCAAGTAGTTTCTCCTTACAAGTCACCAAGCAACTCGTTAAAAATATCGATGGTCCGTCGGGTCCAAAAACCGAGGGAGTCCTGATTCGGTCGCTAGGAGTCCTGATTCTATGGAACAGACTTTCTTGATAAGCCGCCTATGTCGTTAGCGCTCACAATGCCGCACGAGTCACTATGGCCCTTCCCCTTTAGTTCTGTCGTTGAGGTCCTTGTTCTCTCGTCCTTCGCGAAGTAGAGTTTCTTTCCCGAAGCGGCCTTCGAAAATGTCTCACGCAACCATGCATGATTGACTCGCGTTACAGTAACGGTCGCTTCCAGTAACTCCCCTTTCTTGCTTCGAAGAAAAACACTTGCTTCTGAAAACCTCGCTTCTGCTTTCAAGTAACACCCACTTTTAACTAAAACTCACTTCGAACGGTCAAGAAGATATTGTGGCTTGTGGCTTCGACAAGCCTTCAGTCCCTGCTAAACCAGAAACGAGCTCATCGTGAGGTTATCTAACTTTCTGAGGTGACCCAGAAGTCTGCTGAACCACCAGATTCGAGCTCAGCGCGAAATTACCAAACGCGGTTGAAGGGCCAACGCCCTGTGCCACACCGAGCCTACACCGCAGGCGGTGCCTTACCAACCTGCACCTCCAGGCTCGGCCACGCCTCTGCCAGAGCGCTAGATACAAGGGGATTCCGGCAGTGGACGGGCAGCAACCACCCGCAGCAACTACCGAAAGGAGGGAGGGGACGTAGCTGGAACACCCACTTGCGCGGCAGTGACAGTGGCAGTGGCAGTGGCAGCAGCAGCGGCAGCAGCACCGGGCAGCTGCGGCAAGCAGCTATGCGCATCCTGTGCGACGTGTGCGAGGCGGCGCCCGCCAAGGTGTTCTGTGCTGCAGACGAGGCGGCGCTATGCCTGGCATGCGATAACAAGGTAACAGCCGCGTCACTAGCTACTCGTAACTCGCTGCTCTGCATTGCACAGCATTATACTATGTTTGCAAAAACTTAGTGTAGTGCTGACTGGCTCTTTACTGCTCTTCTTCCCATGCCTGCTCCCCTCTGCTCTCCCCCCCACCCCCCTCTGACCAATATGCATAGCCCAACCTCCTACCCTGCCTCCCCACCCTCTTCTCCCTCCCCTTCCCACCCTCTTCTCCCTTCCCTCTCTCCCCTCCCCATCAGGTGCATGGGTGCAACAAGCTGGCTAGCCGCCACGTGCACCTGGAGCACGCCAGGGCAATTGTCCGTCTCCCTCCCACTCCCTCACTCTCTCCCCTCCCCATCAGGTGCATGGGTGCAACAAGCTGGCCAGCCGCCACGTGCGCCTGGAGCACGCCAGGGCAATTGTCCGTCTCCCTCCCACTCCCTCCCTCTCCCCCGCCCCACCATCAGGTGCATGGGTGCAACAAGCTGGCCAGCCGCCACGTGCGCCTGGAGCACGCCAGGGCAATTGTCCGTCTCCCTCCCACTCCCTCCCTCTCCCCCCGCCCCACCATCAGGTGCATGGGTGCAACAAGCTGGCCAGCCGCCACGTGCGCCTGGAGCACGCCAGGGCAATTGTCCGTCTCCCTCCCACTCCCTCCCTCTCCCCCCGCCCCACCATCAGGTGCATGGGTGCAACAAGCTGGCCAGCCGCCACGTGCGCTTAGAACTCGCAGAGGCGCGCGCCATCCCGCGCTGTGACATCTGCGAGAACGCGCCTGGTGAGTGCCTTATAAGCCCCTAGGGGGGCTTTTAAGGGGGCTGAATAACGTGCTTATAGCGGGACTGGTGAGTACAGCGTGCAGAGGCGCGCGCCATCCCGCGCTGTGACATCTGCGAGAACGCGCCTGGTGAGTGGTGGGTTGAGCGGGAGGGGTGAGTGGATTTTACTTTTGAGAATTTTCAAAAGAATTGTTCTTTTGAGAATTCTCAAAAGTAGTAAAAAAAATCAGATTTCTCAAAAGTAGAATTGACATCTGCGAAAACGCGCCTGGTGAGTACTAGTGGATTGAGCTGGAGGGGTGAGTGGAAGGGCGTAAAAATGGCCTGGTGAGGAGAGTAGCGTGCAGGGGTGCTGAGAGCTCGCAGAGGCACGCGCCATGCCATCCCCATCCCCTGCTGTGACATCTGCGAGAACGCGCTTGGTGAGTGGTTGTTCCCGGGAGGGCTTATGTCTGGACTGGCGTGGCATTCTGATTGCATGCAGCAGAGGCGCCTAGAACTGGCAGAGGCGCGCGCCATGCCATCCCCATCCCCCGCTGTGACATCTGCGAGAAATTTACAGTGAACTATGCATGCATACACCCCGCTTAGAAAGAAAGAAAGAACGAAAGAAAGAAAAAAAAAATGGCACAGATCTGTGAACGTTGCTGTGCCACTGATCTGAAGCCCGTCCCCCCCTACCCATCCGCACAAACCCCTTTCCCCACCCCTTTCTTAAACTACCTTTCCCCGCCCCCTTCCCCCACCCCATTCCCCCAACCCCTACCCCTGCCCCCACAGCGTTTCTCTACTGTGCGGTGGACGGCACGTCGCTCTGTCTGCAGTGCGACCTGGAAGTGCACATAGGGACGCTCCAACCTCCCCATCCACACCCCTCATGCTGCCCATCCCGCTCTTGCCCCCAATCACTAACCCCTCCCGCCTCTCCCACAGCCTTCTTCTACTGTGCAGTGGACGGCACGTCTCTCTGTCTGCAGTGCGACCTGGATGTGCACATAGGCGGCAAGAAGGCGCACGAGCGATACCTGCTCATGGGGCAACGCGTGGAGGTGAGACAAGGGATGGAAGAGCGGTTTGCGGCGGTCAGAGGGGATGTTGAGGGGTTTGGGAATCTATCCACTCTTTAGTGCACCAAGAAGGCACACGAGCGGTACCTGCTCATGGGGCAGCGCGTGGAGGTGAGACCCTCGAGGGTAGGGGTGGGGGCTGGTTAACCCTTGACTTGACCCGTCTGTGGGCTTCACTCACAAGACACATGCCACCTGGCCTGGATGTGCACACAGGCGGCAAGAAGGCACACGAGCGATACCTGCTCATGGGGCAACGCGTGGAGGTGAGGGGCTGTCAGGGGGTGGGAGAGGGATCAGAGGCGGTGAGTGGTGGGGGCTAATTGACCTGTGGGGTGCTCTCACAGGCCCACCTGGCCTGGATGTGCACATAGCGGCAAGAAGGCGCACGAGCGATACCTGCTCATGGGGCAACGCGTGGAGGTAAGGCGAGGGGTGATGTGGTGGAAGGATGGTGGGGGGCAAGGGATGTGGGTGGGGCAGCGCGTGGAGGTAAGGCGAGGGATGCACTCACAGGCATATACCTGGCCTCGACGTGCACATAGGCGGCAAGAAGGCACACGAGCGGTACCTGCTCATGGGGCAGCGTGGGAGGTGAGACGTTTCTTATGACGCAGGGTTGTCAGGGATGGCCACTTACTCCCCCTGTTCGGACCAAAGACCCCACCCAGCCCGCCCTGCCCTTCTCCTCCCTCACCCCTCTCCACTCCCAGCTGTTTTCCCTCGCCTCCCCTTTCTCTTTCCGCCTACCCCTCCTCCCCCGTTCCCCCTCCTCCCCCGTTCCCCCTCCTCCCTCGTTCCCCCTCCTCCCTCGTTCCCCCTCCTCCCCGTTCGTCCCCTCTCCCCCCCGCTCCCCACCCCCCTTCCTCCCCCCGGTTCTGGCGAAAGAATCTACCCAGCCCGCAACTTTCCTCACCCCCCCTCCCTTTTGTTTGTTGCCTCCCGTTTTCCCCCATTCCCACTCCCGCCCCTTCCCCCTCACCCTCTCTTTCCCCGTTACCCCGGCTCCCCAAGACTCCCCCTGCTCTGGCGGAGGACCCCACCCAGCCCGCCCTCCCCTCCCCAGGGGGAACCCCTCCGGACCACCTACTCCCCCCAGGCGCTACCCAGCCCGCCCTTCCCCTCGCTCCTCTTCTCACCTCCTATTCCCCTCCCCGCCCCGTTTTCACCACCTGCCACCTCCCTCCCCCCCGCTCCCCAAGGTTTCTCCTGCTCTGGCGGAGGACCCCACCCAGCCCGCCCTCCCCTCCCCAGGGGGAACCCCTCCGGACCATCTACTCCAGCCAGGCGGGCAGGAGGGGGTGGGGGTGGTAACCCCATCCCGCCCTACCTCACTCCTCTCCCCTTCTCACTTTCCCCTCCTTGTCCTGTTTTTCCCCTTTCTTTCGCCTGCTCCTCTTTCCGCCTTCCTTCTTCCCCTCCCCCCCTCCCATCTACCCCCTCTCTCCCCCCAGCTCCCCAAGACTCCCCCCGCTCCAGCTGAAGACCCCACCCAGCCTGCCCTCCCCTCCCCAGGGGGGGGCCCTCCGGACCACCAACTCCGCCCAGGCGCGCAGGGGGGTGGTGGGGGTGGTAACCCGACTGGTAACCCCACTGGTAACCACATGGGGAACATGGGAAATGCAGATATGGGAGGTGGGAACATGGGGAACGGGAACGTGGGGAATAATGTGCATGGGGGGCGGGGGCACATGGGGGCAGGTCAGGGGAACGTGCAAGGGGGGGTTGGTTTGTGGCAAGGTGGGGGGAATGTGGATGGCGGTGGGGATGGTGAGGGAGAGAGAGGTATTGACAATGGTGCCGGTTTTAGCCCTGCTGCAGGTAAGGATGGTGAAATGGGCGGACGAGGAGGAGGGAGAGGGGGAGAAGAGGACGAGATCATGCACATGCAGCAGGGAGGGGAGACGGGGGGGAGGGAGAACGACCCAACGCCAATGAGCGTGGTGCTTCCAACCCATGGGGGCGAGGGGGGATCAGGCGGGACAGCAGCAGGCGGAGGGGGTGGAGGAGGGGCGGGGGGAAGTGGAGGAGGAAGAGGTGGAGGAGGGGTGACAGGAGGCGGAGGCAGGGGAGGGACAGGGGGAGCGGGGGGGACAGAGGGTGGGGGAGGATCGGGAGGGTTGACAGGTACGGCGACGGGGACAATGCGGGCTCTGACCTTGAACGTGGGCGGAAGGGGGGGTGGGGGAGAGGGGGGCAGTGGGAGCGCTCTACAGGAGAGGGCTGGGGCAGGGGTAGGGGGAGGGGTAGGGGGAGGGATAGGGGGTGGGGGTGGGGTAGGGGTAGGGGCAGTGGCAGGGAATGGGTTGTATGGTTTGCGGTCCGGTGCTGCTGGGTTGGGGATAGGGATGGGGATGGGGACTGGGATGGGGGTTCGGAAAGCGGGGCCAGCAGGAGGAGGGAGAGGAGGCGAGGAAGGGGGGGCTAGGAGTATGGTTATGGGCAACGTGAGTGACGCCCCTGCTGTGGCTATAGCTGTGGGGGATGATGAGATCCCTGCGTTGTTGTCACCTGCTGTAGAAGCACAGGAATATCAGCCACAGCACGAGCAACAGCGGCAGCAACAACAGCAGGAGCAGCTGCAGCAACAGCAGCAACAGCAGCAGCAGCAGCAGCAGCAGCAGCAGCACCAGAAGCGAGAGGAGGGGAATCAAGGCAGGGGGGGCATGATCGATCTGAACTCCTGGCCTCAACGATCCACCGAACCCTCCCAAAAAAAGGTGGGCTATTCTGAAAACGGTGAGGGGTATGGACGGGGCTTAGCACATGCTTACCACTCCTTTCGACTCTCCGGTTGATGCTGTTCAAGGGCGGAGAGTGGTGGAATGCTGCTGTTGCCGTTTCCGTTTTCTCCGGTCTCTCTTATGTTTTTTTTCCCAAAACTTGGATGCTTCTGTGCTCCTTCTCACAGCAGTAGTGAGCTTGTGGCTGCAGGCGGGGAGCAATGGAGGGGAGCTGAGCAGCGAAGTGGGAGTTGTGCCGGATATGCCGCCAGATGAGATTGCCGTCCAGGCAATGTGATGCGACTGGTGCTGTGCTCTCAGCAGCATGTTTGGCTGGTCTTTCTCAAATCTGGTACATGCTACGGGATGACTTACTGTAGTTGAATGTAGCCAGGCAGATTCTATTGTGAGGAATGTATGTGAATTGACCAGTGAATTACGGATTGTTACATAGGTTACCTGCCAACAATCATGTAACGAGAAACTACTAGGCTAAACGCGGATGCTAAGCATGTGATTACTGTCTGTTGTTTATTGCTGACACTATATGCGACCTGGTGGGGCAGGCACGTTATTTGGTCCATTGCAGGGCAGCAATGCTGGCAGTGGTACAGTGTGATAGCCCAAGTAGGGTTGCATAGATATGGGATCATGGCTGGCAAAATAAGAACTGGCCAGGCAGAATGAGGGGGCCAACAAACACGAAAAGAATGGAACAGAGGTACCTAAATTACTTTGCATTTATTTGTCCCCATACATCAACTTTTGTCAGAACAAGAAGCTAGAATGGATAACAAAAGAAGAGAGGTTTTACTGGCAAGCAATGGGTTACACATAGCAAACCCTAACAGGGCTGTACTGTCAGAGGTCCATTGGTGATCCCCGGTTGATCCTAGGGAAATGTTACAGGCATGTTGGCCTGGGGGGTTATGGGCGCACTGACCCGCTACTTAACAAGCCCTTTTATCCCACTGGTCTAGTGGTTGGGATTCTGACATGTACTCACTATAGAGTACCATACTGCAGACTAGACAAATATAACATTCTGACACACCCCCATAGGCAAAATGGGGTATAATTATCACAGCAAGCAGTCGCATAATAAGTTCACAAGCACAAGTAAAGCTAGTGGCAGACATAGAAGGTTCGTGGGGAGGAGGAGGGACTATGAGAGGAGAAGAGATTGGAGGCGGCTGCTGAAGCTGCTGGCACATAGGCGACTGGAGCAACTGGCACACTGGCTACCGGAGCAAGGGCCGCGAACTACTGGAGTAACTAGCGCCGCGGCTAAGACGAGCGGTGGAGCAACGAACCCACGGGCGACTGGCGCAACGGGCTCGCTGGCTACCGGAGCAAGGACATCCGGACTACAGGCGCTGCTGGCTCCACAACAGCTACCTCCGGTCAACCTCCCCCTATTGCCCCTGTTACAATCCCAAAAGGGACTTAGCAAAGGATTGCTCAGGGTTGATCGCAAAGTAGTGTTGCAGCGGAAGTTTGAATCTCAGGTCAGAGTGAATGTAAATGACTGAGTTGATAATAGCATGCATACATCAAGTTTATATAATACAGAGGAATACGAAAAGTCCTAGGCTAGCCATGTAATCTAAGGGGTACATTCCCTTATTGCAGCGAATTCAAACTGTGCGGCGCGTGAACCCGTTTTGAACCTGTTTTGAACCTATTCCCGCTCTTTTCACTTCAAATGTTTCTGCCTGCATCGGTCTTGGTCAGACGGTTGCTGCGTCGCTTCGACTCTTCTGACTTCTCGACTTCGTACTCGGTAGAGTCGGCTCCTGCAGCATACAGGAATGCCTTCTCATGAAACTTCATATTGTAACAGCCCCCAACCCCTTTCTCACATCCCCCCCAGCATCTCTACCACCACTCTTACGGCTTCCATACACCCCCCCCCCCCTTTCAGCAGCAGCTGCAGCGGTGGGAGAGAGGAGGAGGAGGACGAGCAGGGGAGTTCACACACTCGCCACCCCATACCAGCCACCCCATACCCCCCACCCCCACACCAGGAGGTTGTCGCGCGGCTACAGTGGGGGGGCGGGGGGGGGGAGGGCTGCGCGTCGGGTGCACGAAAGGCCTCGCGCGGCTCCACGGGGCGGCGCGATGGGCGCACGGGGGGCCGTGTGCAGCTCCACGGGGCAGCGCAACGGGTGCACAGGGCCCGCGCGCGGCTCCACGGGGCAGCGCGCGAGTCCAGCGAGGCGTCGCGCGGGGCGCACAGAGCAGCTCGCGGGCTGCACGGGGGCGACGCGACGAGAGCCCGGGGCGACGCGACGGGTGCACGGGGGGGGGGGGGGACGCGACAGGAGCCTCGGGCGGCGCGACGGGTGCACGGGGGGCGACGCGACGGGAGCCCGGGGCGGCGCGACGGGAGCAGTAAACCGCCGCGCGCCCGAAGCGTGCGGCGGGCAGAAAAAATCGCCATGCGCCCCGGGCGCGTGGCGGAAAGAAAAAACGTCGCGCTTCACGGGGCGCGCGACAGACAGAACAACAGCGGAAGCAAGTGGGCCCACAGGCCAGGAGCGTACTCGCTCTGATAGCATGTCAGAACAAGAAGCTATAATGGTTAACAGAAGAAGAGAGGTTTCACTCGTAAGCAATGGAATACATATAGTAAGCCTTAATAGGGATGTACTCACAATAGAGTACCCCACTAATAATCATTCTGACAAGTTCATCGCAATCCCATTTACCATCCAAAGAAATATGAACTCACAAATAGCACAAGAAACATGACCTTATTGCTTCTACTGCGCACAAGTAAGCATACTAGTCTGCCATCGAGAGCAGTCCTCATCATTGTGTTCATAGTGTTGGGTTGTTGGTCGGAAAACAACCTGTCGATGTGGAATTACTGTGGATGATACAACATATTGTTGACTGTATCTGTGATGGGAGAACCATACAGTGATTATTGCAGTTTGCACCGCTCCGTTCAATAACGGGTAAAGCGAACCACGCTTTTTGAACAGCTGGCGACACGCACCTGGCGAAACGATGATGTTCATGAAGGTGGCAAAAGTGCCATGGATTGCTGAACACCATTCAAATCAATCCCTTCGTTTTTCCAAGCAAAAGAGAAATGTTTGACTCCCCCTTGTCATTGTTTCTGGTCTCAAGTGAAAGCCCATTCCCTCAGATGGACTCAGGGCGCATTCCGCTGGGGACACATGTCCCAATCGATGTGTCCCAATCGAGTGTACCGCTCCGAACCGAACTAAATCAGAGATGCGAAAATTTCGAAACTAGGGTGCGATGTGGTTTTATACGATGCAGTACGGTAAAAACGATTGGGACACATCGATTGGGACATGTGACCGCAGCGGAATGCAGCCTCAAACCTCAACTCTTTTTGAGTCACCATTTTTTGTGACACACGCACCGCCGCCCAGCCCAACCTCGCTTTTCCAACAAAAGCGGTGGCGCGCGTTCACGGAACCTGGAGAATTCCCAGATTCACGACATGCGCAGCGCTTTTCATTGGGTGGTTTGGTGCGGCTCTCCCAGCTTTCTCGCAACGCGACATTTCTGAGAAAGCACTTGGAGAAATCCCAGATTCACGACATGCGTAGCGCTTTTCATTGGGTGGGTTGGTGCGGTTCTCCCAGCTTTCTCGCAACGCGACATTTCTGAGAAAGCACTTTTGGACCACAAGGAAGGTCCGCGGGGCAGAAAATTTTGAAAAAAACGACGGTGCACACTACGGCCCTGTTCGGTAGCCCCCCCAGTCACACTGCGGTTGGTGCAGAAGCTCTTCCTCAGCCCAATTTCGACTCACCTTAAAACCCACCAAACCGTAATTAGAACACCATACCTGCCGAACGCGTGAAACCCAGCCCGAGTGAAGTTGAGGACGCTACCACGAAAATGCTTGCTCAGGCAAGCTCCACCGCCAGTGAAAGTCAGCCCCATTTCTGCTTTCCAGTTCCACTCAGGCAGGCCCGCTCTGAGTTGCACGCTGTAGGGTAAACGCTGCATTAGTTTCTAATCGGGTCAAATTACGTTTTTCAGCCTGCTCTTTCAAACAACGAGAGATCGTGCCCGTTCGTGATTTTCTTTTATCCATATCGAGGGTGTTAAACTTGGCAGGCTGTTTTTTTGTTAGTGATTTGGGCAGCCTCGTACAGAAGTAAAAGTTTCGACCAGTAATTTCTCGAGAAACACACGGTACTTGTTGCGTTTGTGGACGAGACTTCCTTTCAGTGTGAGTGGACGCCCGAGGCTACGAAACATGTTGTAGGCTTCCCCAGTTCGAGTGGGCCCAGTGTGAATGGAAGGCTGCCGAACAGGGCCTACAGGTGTGCATCCTTCTCCAGCTACACGCAGAAGCTTCTGTTTCCAGAAATCCCATCGGCTGACAGGGCCCACTTACTTCTGCTCACCTCAGTGCTCCTCTTGTTTCATCTCCTCCCACTGTCCAGTGTGGATTTATTCCTTGAGATCTCAGGCAGCTTTACTCGAGAGTTTTCAGTTCAGTCAGGATTCTGAACAAACAAGCCGTCACAATTTATGAACCCGCACAAGCACACTACACTCCCATTCTATTTTCTTTCCCTACAGGTTTTACCTCTTCGAGAAACCACTACTCGAAACTGTTGAACCAACGCAGCTGTACGCGCAAGAACATGAATCTCAACCATGACACCATTAAGGGTTTAAGACGGTTATTTCCACTGCGTTCCAGCCCGCCGAAACTTTGGCCAAAGCAGGGGCAGTAATTGAGTTTTAGTTCTGTCCCATTCCACGTTCACTGCGTTTGCCACAATGGTTTGAAGGGCACCACGCATAGAAATGGTTGCGGGACTATAACCCGTGTGACGGGTATCGCAATGACAACGCGTGTCAGGCCTATTCGATTTCAGTTCACGAATCACTTTTTAGACTGGTGGGTGGCGGTTCAAAGCGGTGGAGCAAGCAAACCGCTCTAAAAGGCATAGCATCTCGTTTTACCGAGTATGCTGCTGTTCTTGCCCGGCGTCGTCCACCTGCCTCCACTCCACTCGTAACCAATCGACAACAAGCTAGAATGCTGTGAGACAGTTCAAAGTACGGTTTACAGCCTTCATCAACGCTCGCTCTGGTCTCTCGTCTTCCCATTGGGTAATGTTGAGGCTTCTGCTCACACCTTCTGTTGGTCTCTCGCCTTCTCACTGTGCGAATGCAGCCTATGACTGCCTGGCAAAGTCCTCTGTACAGTAAGGCAGAGCGACGCCAGCTTTTGCGGGGAATTCTAAGAATATCTGAGCGTAGCCACCCCGTGTGACGCCTTGCGGTGGTAGT